ATTGTAAGGGGACGAAAAAACTACCGATGCAAATATTATGTGTTATGTGGGAATTATTTAATTAAAAAAGTATTATATTTTAATTAAATTTATAACAATAAAAGAAAAGACATAATAATATACAGTCTTAGCTCTCTTGATGAACTTGACGAAGTGCTAAAAAATGTTCTCCACTTTTTTCTTTCTTTTGTAACTGTCGAGGACATAAGCCACTTTACTTTTGCTAAGCAGCCCTGAGAAATGAAAGTACAACTCGACGTCTTCTCAACAAGATCATATATGCTGGAAGCTCGACAGCTTTAAAATTCTTCAAGTTCCGAGAGCTGTTAATATTAATGTTATTTTGTTCTTATTATAAGGAAAAGATGAGATTACACTTAATTTAATTACATATATTTGATTCATTAAATTCTTTATTGTTAAATTCAACTTCTTTCCGCTTTCGTTGCACAATGTACTATTTCTTGACAGTTTTAAAATTCGGGGTACAATTTTTATTTTATAGTCGTTTAATTTACATGACTTTTTATTCAAGAAACACTGAGAAAAATGTCTAGTCAGAGCAACCAAAATTTGGTTGGGCCAACAAAAAATTTTTTTGGTATTTAAGCAACGAAACTATTTGGTTAAGTGTTTTTTGTTGGCATAACAAAAATGTTTGGTTAGCTCAACCAAATTTTTTTTTGTTAGGTCAACAAAAATGTTTGGTTGATCAAACAAACAATTATTTTTGTAAAATTAAAAATTTTATTCGACCTTATTTCTTTTCTTTTTATCTTTTATATTTATTTCATTATTTATTTATTATCCAATTTAACGATTAATTTATATTTATCCAATTGAAATATTTGTGGACTTTGAAAAATCTCATCTCCGCCTTGAATCGAACCTCTGTTTTAAAATTGTAGGTCGGGAGTTCTGACCACTGGACTACCCATCCTTGTGAGATATTTAAACTAACTGTTCTCTTAAGCTGTGAGCTGAGAGCGAATCAAATTATTTAGTCATCGCAACCAAAGTTTGGTTAGGACAACAAACGATCATTTGGGTTTTTTAGACTAAACTATTTTGTTGTGTTAACCAAATTATTTTGTTGTCGTAACCAAAGTTTGGTTGGAATTTAAAAATGTTCAACCAAATAATTTTGTTGGCCTAACCATATGTTTGGTTGAAATAACTTTACGACTTTGTTTCAACCAACCAAAATTTGGTTACAAGAACCAAAATTGCCTAACCAAACAATTTTGTTGCAAACACTAAATTATTTTTTCTCACTGAAATTTTAATTATATTAATTTAATCGAATTTTAATTTTAAAGAATTCTCATTCCATCGAATTTTTAAATGACAGAAATTCCAATTCACCGAATTTTAGTTTTGTACCAATTTTTATTTGATAAAATTTTTAAGACGCCGAATTTTCATTTGTCCGAATTTATAAATGGCCGAACTTACAGTGGACAGAAAGATTTCGGCGCAATTTTAAAAATGACTAATTAGAAATTAACAAGAAAATCGTGATTGGTCAATTTTAAAAATTGCGATGAAATCTTTCTGTCCATTGTGTTTGTTTGGCCATTAGTAATTTCGGAGAAATGAAAATTTGGCGTCTTAAAAATTCAATCAATTAAAAATTGGTACAAACTACCCATATGCGAAATGCTAAAACTGCCAATACGGCCCAACATTGGCCCAGTAATGTATGTCGAAGTACAGCAAACGTTACTGGACCAGTACTGGCGATCAATTCGTCCCATTATTGGGTCAATATTGGCACCGATTATCGGTTACTCTAATTTGCCATTATTGGGCCGAACTCCGTCACATTACTGGGCCAATATTGGCACCAATACTTGGTAATTCTAATTTTCTATAATTGAGACGAACTCTGTCCCATTACTGGTCATTATTGGCCCATTGACGGCTGAAATGTTCCTCAAAGTCAAATGCAGCTTATCAAAACATTTTTGTGTTGAGATTCCCATATCCGCGGATAGTGTAGTGGTAGCGTGTTAGACTTCGGTGCGTTAGGTTGCGAGTTCGGTTCCCGCGAGCGTTACAAATTTTCGAATGTTTAAACAATTGTGCTTTCTGTCAGGACTTGAATTATAAATTTATAATGAATTAATTAGTTAATTAATTAATAAATACAATTTTTTAAACTTTTTTAAACTATGACAATACTGGGCCACTAATCACCGCCAATATTGGCCCAGTAATGGCGTCTGATACTTGGCTGCCGACGTCTAATCGCAGTTAACACTACAAGAGTCGGACCAACATTGTCTGCTATGGCTCGGTGCCTGTTTTGCAAATACATACTGGGCCAGTATTGGGCCGTTTTGGTCTTCGCACATGTGTAAAATTCGGCGAATTAGAATTTCTGTCATTTAAAAATTCGTTTGAATGAGAATTCTGTTAAATTAAAATTCTCTAAATTAAAAAGTCATGTAAATGAAATTAACTATAAAATAAAAATTCTGACAAACAAAAATTCGGTAGCTGAAAAATAATTTTCAAAATTGTGACTGAAAAGTCAACTATTATAAATTAATAATTATAATAATTAATATTAATAATTATTAAATACAATGCTTATTTATTTTGCATTAATTATACATAAATTTTGATAGAAAATACAAATAAATAAAAAAAAGTAAATATTGACTGGCATTTACATGCGTAGATAAATATTTTTTTTGCTAGAAATTTATAGGTTATCTAGTCGGGATATGATCGAGTACTACGTTTTATCAACAATCTGGGCCAGATCGTATATATAATTTCTCCGAACTATAAACTAAATTCTTTCAGTTGAGACGATGGTGTATTACTCAAACGACAAGACTGTTGTCTGAGATATGAAAAGAAAACATGTAAATTTCCTACAATATTTGTAAAAATAATGTTTTAGCTATTTCTTTATATATTTTATCAAAAGTACACATTTGGCAATCAGTTCAATAAGAAAATTTAATGAAACAGAAATGGAGCTATTTTTGAGACTCATGAATAAGTTTCAAAATTAATTTGTTAGAATTTTCATTTCACAGAATTTCATTACCATGAATTTACTTTTAACCGAATTTTTATTTCTTCCAATTATTATTTAACAGAAATTCTATTAAACCGATTTCCTATGTTTCAGAATTGTTACTTAAACGAATTTTTATTTTTATTTTACAAATTATATAATATATCCTTTCAAAATTACAAAAATTATTTTTTAAGTCGGGTATTTATAATAATAATAAAAGTAAAGATACGAAACTATACACACAGAAATGGAAAATACCTTCTGGAAAATTTTGTTATCGAAGTCTCAGAAATAATATATTTAAAACTTTTTTTATTCTAATATATATATGCCATAAGTTTTATGAGGTCCCTTTCAGTCAAGTCTCTTCCGTAATACGGGGTTTGGCTATTATATATGTGTGTGGTAATCACATTCCTGAATGAGAAAAAAAAGTTTAGTTATATGGACACTATTAATACAATGACCATTTTTGGGGACAGTAAAATGGGCTGTTACTAATTTTGTTAGTTAGGGTAGTTATTTTTATTTGTTAGCGTAACCATTTTATTACTTGGATTTAAGTACTTCGTTTGTTGCAACATATCTATTTCAATGGCTGTATTAACTTGTTAAAATAGTTACGCTAACCAATAACAGTTTGTTACAATTCAGTACATATCACTGAATATTACAATATTAGGGAATTTTCCGGGCAAATGATTATTCCACAAAAAATAATTAGTTACAATTTTCAATTTAAAAAATTTTATTAAATATAATTATTTTTTAAACGATTTTTCATTTTTCAATTAGCCTTAATTAATCTGACATTAATTAAATTAATTATATTAGCTGGAAACTTGTTACTCAGAGGTTTGCGAGGTCACTGTTTATGAATCAGCGAGGATGTCAGTTTTCAAAAATTCAAAATGGCGAATCCAATATGTCGGAAAAGAGTAAAAATTAATGGATTAGTTTGTGGGATTTGTGGGGTCGTAGATTATGAATGTAATATCAGATTTTTCATAATCGACTCCAAAAATCTCTCAAGTACAAAAAAAATTATTTTATTAATAACTTTTAAAAGGGAGAAAAAAATGCATTACATATCTTTCTCTATGTATATTAAAACATTTTTAAGACAGTACTTCTTTTTAATGAACGCACGAATTTTTGCTATATACATGTTGACTCAAGAGGATCCACATGTGGACAGAAACTTATTAAAAACAAAATTGTACTATATACAATTTTTTTACTTTTCCATTGAAATCTCTCTCTCTTTCTCTGTCTCTATAGATATTTAATAAAAATATTTTAAATTAAATTAAAATTAAATTTTATCTATAACGGTTTTACGATTTTTCTCTTCAATAATAATCTGAAGAAGTTTTCTGAAAAAAGTTGAAATAACATACATATATATTTTATCGAAATAACCGTTAATAGGTATAATATCCAAAATGAAGAATTCAAGTATTATGAAACAGTTATGATTACTATTATTTATCATTATTGAATATAAAAGATAAAGATGTATTGAATCTATCTAAATGGTTTTTCTCAAATATATATATATATGTACGTATATTGCAAATACGAGGTTCTGTAGATATGCTATATGTATATATGAAAGTCTGGTGAATGCACGAATGGTTAATACGATACAAAGCACTTAAGATCTTAAATATTCAAGCACTTCCTTCTCTCTCATCTTCTTTCCCAACCATCTTTCGTTTCACTATATAGTTCTGTACCAAATGTAAAGTATCTCATCTCGTTTCTCTTCGTATGTATGTACGTATATATATATTGAGAGAGTGGACGACGACAATCCGCAGTATCTACAAGGATCCACAGAGCGCGATACAGATTATGTCCCCCACCATGTCTCTCTCTCTCTCTCTCTCTCTCTCTCTCTCTCTCTCTCTGAAAATCCACCACACCCCGCTATGCCAACCCTCCGCAAGCAAGTTGCAGGCCTGGCGCTCTGCGAGCATAGTACTATAGAGAACTGACTAACTCCTCTAGCTGGCTAGCAAGCAGCAGTCAGTAGGCTGATGTGGGTTGACGTGAACTCTCATTGAGTTTCTCTGTCTCTCTCAATGTGTTGTTGCGAACATTTTTTTTTTCACTACACATACAATATTTTGTCGTCACGCACGGAAATACTTTACTCTCTTAAATACTCTTTTTTTGGAGTTCTACGAATTTTCTATATACATACATTTAACAGAGTCGGCAAAGGCTTGGAACAAAAGTCACTTGATAAAACTGATATATAACTATATATCATGTGAATCCTGGTGTGTACTGATGCCGTAAAAAAGATCAAAGGAGTGAAAGACTTCGAAATTTCCTTTTTTTAAGACATTGGTTTTGTGAGTGTATATATGTGAGATTGAAATTTAGGGGAATTAATCACTTTAATGGATATATATATATATATATATATCTCAACTACTGATGATCCTTAGAGTAAGTTTCAATTATTCCTATATTTCGATGGGTTTTTCAATCTAAATCTTGTTTTACTATTTCCAAAATCAGTTTTTTTGGAGATAAATATTTATATGATTTCACATAGCATCCTCTCGTGAAGGTTAAAATTTCTTTCATCTTGCCTTGTTACAGGCCAGATTTGATGCGTTTCTGAATTTTGTTTACAAAAGAGGAAAAGATTATTGTTTACAAAAGCAAAACTCATAAAATTTAAATGTTCAAAATAACAGTATTTTTACTGTTTTACATTTTTTACTCGGGACAATTTTTATAACGATCGAAATGAAAAATTTCTATAAACAATCATAGTTTGTAAATCGTAAATATTATTTTAGCTGTACTTATTTTTTTATCTATGTCCATATAGGAGTAAAATAAAGGATTAAAATTATTTTCAATTTATATTTTTTATGTAAATATAAATAAATTTGTTCGATTTTAGAAAACAATATTTTTGCATTAACAAGTATCCATATGGAGAATAAATATATTTTTTACGCTAAAATAATAAATTTAATAATAAAGAGTAATAACTAATTTATAAAAATTCAATTTTCAAAGTTTTTTATCAAAATTTTCATTTTTCAATCAATAAAAGAATGGATAATTCTAGATGTACTTTCAATAAACAATGGGAGAAAATATGTTGTATTCCACACGAAAAAAGTATTAAAATTTTAATACTGTTTTAGGAAAACAATACTAATTGACTAATTTTTATTATTTGTTAGAATTTTAAGGGACGCATGAATATTCCCCACATATTGAATTTGTAAGAATTTTTGCATTGTTGAATTAAAAATAATCGAATTTCTATTTAAGAGAATTTTGTAAAGTAGATTTTATATTTTTATATTTCATATTTTTATATTTAATTTGTTCAAGTTTCTGCAGTGTCGAAAAAACAAGCTTGAATTTGTATGTTACCAAATTTTATAAAGTAGAATTTAAATTTAATTGAATTTCCATATTTAAGAATATTTATTTAATTTAATTTATAATTAATGGAATTTTCATTGAGTCGAACTTTTATAAAACAAATTTTCTAATTGACCGAATTTTCACTTACTATAATTACTATTTAACAGAATTTATATTCTTCAAAATTTTCACGCAGGTTAAATTTTAATTTTTCAATCTAATTTTTATTTAGCAGAATATTGACTTAATAGAATTTTAATTTAACTGAATTCACATTTGAAAGCATTTTTATTTAATTGAATTATTCATAAAAAAAAGATTTTAGCGCGAATTTAAAAATTGACCAATCACAATTTTTTTGATAATTTCTGATTGGTTAATTATAATTTTAAGAATTCTATATATATATCAAATAACAATTCATTTGTATACGAATTAATCATTGGTGGGAATTTTAAAAGTAAACTATCACAATTCTCTTTATTTCTAATTGGCTAATTTTCAAATTCGCGCCAATATATCAATCTGTCAAATATTTGTTCGGCCATTTGCAATTTCGGTCAAATGAAAATTCTGAGATTTGATAATTCTCTCAGATGACAATTTGTACAAATGAAACATTCGACAAATTATGTTATATATGTGAATATGTAGAAATTCCAACAAATTCAGTGTGGGGAATATTCATGCGTCTCATATTTCAATACTACTTTACAAAAATAATACTAATTATCTAATTTTTACTATTTGTTAGAATTGTAAAATTCATTTCATTCAAGACTTTTTTGTGATAAATCTAGTAATTTATTTTATAATTAATTGGAAAAAGTCTTGAAAAATCTTGAAATGAATTTTAAAAAGTCTAAAACGGTACATATAGTAAAAATTTGTCATATTTTTTTTGTACAATTTTTTTCTTTTCGTGTAGTTACGCTACTTTTGTGATTAAAAATATTTAAGGAATATGTTGACTATTCTTTTTTCGCTTTTTTTTAATTATGGTATTTCTTTAGAATTTCCTGTAGGACTGGATTTAGGCCTAGCCAAACCGCCCGGGGCGCCAAAGAAGCCTAAAAAAAAGAGAATAGAAATACAAAAATATGAGAGGGCTAAAAGTAATATTTGACTGTAGGTTAAAAAGAATATAATATACTGTCGGTCAGGTCATTTATTTCAAATTTAATTTCACTATATAAAAAATGGATAATCTAAATTAAAAAAATTATTTATTTATTTTGACAGTGTATAAAATTATCATAAATATTGCATATGGTTGAATGAATATTCCACAAAAAATTCAGTAGTTGGAATTTTCGAATTTCTTTTCAATTGAAAATTCTTTTCAATTAACTGGAATTTTTATTTAACAGAATTTTTCTTTACACAATTTTTTAATTTCAAAAATTCCGATTTAACGAAAGTTTTTACTAGACGAATTACGTTACAAAATTTTGTATGAATTTTTATTTATGTGATTTGTAATTTTATAAAATTTCTAAAAAGCCGAATTTTCATTTAACGGAATTTCTTAGTTGATTATTTGAAATAGTTCTTAAAACGACGAATTTCCATCTGACCGAAATTGCAAATGACCGAACAAAAAAACTACAAAAAATATTTTCGGCGCGAATTTTTAAATTGATCAATCAAAAATTATCAAGAAATTGTGATTGGTCAATTTTATAATTGGCGCAGCAATTTTTTTTAGGTTATTTTTTAGTAATTTAAAAGTTCGATTAAATAAAAATTCCTAGAAATGTCAATTTGCTGAATTCTATCAAATGAATATTTGATTTTTTATAATAAAAATTATCAACTGTGAGAATATATTTAATTAATAATCCTTATAAATAAAAATTCGATGAAATAATAATAATATATGGATAAATGAAAATTCTATCAAATGAAGGGGCTTATTCATGTGTCTCGACATTTAATATTTGAAAAAAAATTAACACAAGTCCAATATTGTCTAACTTTAAAGTGTGATTTTTAGTCTTTTAGGTTAATGAGCGAAATCTTCTCGCGCACGTCTTGTGTATTCAGAAATTAAATTTTCACCTTGAAATATCGAGACATAGAAAAAAATTATCATCTGCTTTAAAAGTAGGATTGGAATTAAAAATAAAGTTATATTTTATATATTTAAGACAAATTTTAATTTTTTATTAATTATTAAATAATTAAAATTATTTTATATTTTCTAAATTTTCAATTACTCCAAAATATGATATACAAAATTCATTGCTTCCAAAATATAACTTGCATTCCATTAGCAGAATATAATTATTTGTGCGTAAATCTTTTAAAAATTACAAATAATATAAATAATAATAAAATATAAAATAAAATAAATAAAAAGAAATTAATTAAATTAAATCAATAAAATGAAATACCTAATAAATATAAAATATAATAATAAAATAAAAATATATTTCGCGAATTCATTTTGCAAATAAATTTATTACAAAAATATAAAATCGTAAAATAATAAAATATAAAGTAGGTACCTATCTCTATTTTTAAATCCTTTGAAATAAAAAATGATTTTTTTAAATCCGAACAATTCCTTCCGAAATGGGTGATGTTAAAATTTTTTTATTCTAAAAGTAGGAATTGATTTATAGCTTTTTTTAATTTCCTTCAATGCCATAAGCAAAAAAAAGTAAAATAAAGTTTAATTATGCTATATGGGGAATAGATTTAAATTTTTTTCAATCCTATTTAATTCCTTTTTAGTTTGATTTTAAAAGATTAATTTCGTAAATTTATTTATTCCTAAGATTACGTGGTTGATTGATCACCACTTCTTAGACTTATAGCGTGAAAACCTAGGTTAGATTCTTTTTGCTCTTTTTTTTATTTTTCAAGAATGAAATTACAAAATGAATGGAAATTTACTTATTTTTATTCTCTATACGTGGAGTTAAAAATAAATAAAGGGAATTATTAATTAAATTAAAATGAAAATTATGGATGGTTTAATGAATATTTTAAAATTTGAACGAATTAAAAATTAAATTAAATAAATGTAAAATAGGCATTAAATAAAATAAATTTATAAATAAATATAAAATAAATTAAAAAATTAATAATTAATTAATTATATATATATATTATTCCAAACTTGTTACTGGATGTTTTCTTTTGAAATTCTAAAAAGAAATTTATTCTTATAAAAGATAAATTTAAAATTTGACAAAATGCATTTTTGACTATTTATTAGAAAAAGAAAAATAATAATTTCTATGCAAATTCGAACACAAAATAAAATTGATACCTACATTTTTTTGTGTATTTGGTTTCACTTTTCCCGAAGATTTGGAGAAAAATTTTATTTCGTTGATTGATATTACAGATAAACCATAAAAAAAGAAAGGAAAAAAAAGTTGGCTCCCACGGTCATCTCTTGGGTATAGGGCATAAAAAAAAATTTGTTACGCCCATATTGGTGAGACCGCATGTGGTAACTATCATATAGCATTTTATATAGAAATTTTACTGAAAATTTGTGTGACCAAAAATTAATTTACCAAACAACTGTTTACGAGAATTTTCTAATTTATCCGAATATTTTTCGGATATTTTTTATATTTCATTAAAATTATAAGGGGAAATGTTTTTTTTAAGTTTTAAAGTGAAATAAAGTTGAATAATAATTATCAATAAAAATTTATAGTTTCCTCATGTGTGGTCTAACAAATTATTAAAATAAGAAATTTTTATTTAAAAAATTTTTAATTTTTACCAAAATTAATCATGTATTGTATAAATAATTATTAATTATTATTATTATTATTATTATTAATTATCATTAGTTAATAAAGTATAAAATATTAATGATAGAATAATAATTATAATGTAACAATAAAAACAAGGAAACATTTTTTTATTTAAGAAATTTTTATAGCAAATTTTGAAAACGATTTATCATAGAAATAAAATGAAATTTAAATAACGCAATTGTGTCATTAGTGAAAAAATTTGAATAAATTAAAATTTTACTATAAAGTTCAGTAAATTAATTTACGGTAAAATTTTCTTTTTCTTAATAGTTTTCACATGCATTTAGCCTGAGTAACATGAGAGCGTAACGAATTTTTTATCCCTTACCCTATAGGTATATTAGATGACCGTGGGAGCCAGTTTTTTTCTCTTTTTTTTTTGTTTATCTAATATCTAAATGAAATAAATTTTTTTTTAATCTTCGATAATCGTAAAAGTCAGCAAAAAATGTAGATTTCAACTCTCTTTTATTACGTTGTAATGTGCAAAGAAATTTTTTTACAGATAATAGTAAAAATAGCTTTTTCGTTAATTCTCTAATATGATTTATTTATCAAATAATAATCATATTTTTTGGAAAATTGTTGTTTAATTAAAATATTTTTGTCCAAAAATATGAATCTTTTTAACTATTTAAAAAAATTCAATTAATATTAAATTATTAATAAATAAAAATAAATAATAATATTAAACATATGAAATAATAATAACCTACCTAAATAAGATTAAATAAATATAAAATATTATTTTTTAATCTAATTTTTTCTTTTTGTTAGAAATGAATTGAAATTAGATTTATTGTATATAGAAAAATCTTAAAATGATAAAAATTGCGTTTAGAATAAAATATTTCAAAAATTATGAAAAAAATTTTCTTAGAAAAATAAAAAATCCGAAAAAATCTTTTGTGAAAAGTTTAAAAATTTTAAATGAATTTTCTAGCATAGACTCTGGTACACACTATAAACGGTTGTTCAGTAATTTGATATTTTTGCTGACACATAAAAATTTCGATAAAATGAAATTTGAGAAATATTTCTAGGCCTCAAGCGCTATACATTTCACCAATGAAAAGAAACGTACCGAATAATATTCTTAAATGTGAACTATTTTTTATTTCTCATCTATTTTATTTATATATTTATAATATACGATATTTTATTATTTATTTTTTTTAATTAATTATTTATTTAAAATTTTATTAAACATTCATTTAATTATTTATTTAATGAAAGTTTCGGTGAAATGAAAAATCGGGAATTTAAAAATTCGTCTAACGTAAAATTTTGTAAAATTAAGTTAAATTACAATTTTTTGCAATAATTTCTCTTTACCAAAATTTGTATTTAAAATAATTCTAAATTACCTACGCGAATTTCAATTTAGCAACAGAATTTTAAGTCAATAAACATTTTAAATGACTTAATCTTTATTTCATCGTATTTTTATTTGTCTGAATTTTTTTCACAAGACTTTGTTATTTGATCGAGTTCATAAAATCCCAATTTTTTATCTAACCAAACTTTACAAATAAGTAAAAATTAATACTTTACAAATAACTGAAAAAGTAACTGTTAAAATAGTTGCAACGTGAATTTTAAAATTAATCAATATGAAAATTTGGATTTTTAAGAATTTTTTTATAAAATTACAAGTTACGTAAATAAAAATTTGGTCAATTAGAAATTCTATCATTTAAAAATTAAAATAGGTAATTTAAAATTTTGTATAATAAGAATTCTGTCAAATTTAAATTCGGTTGAATTAGAATTCTTTTCAATAAAATTTTGGGTAAAGATAAAATTCTGTAAATAGAAAAATTCCAGAAGAAATAAATATAAAAATTACTAATGTGCATATTGAAAAAACAGTTTTAAAATTAAAAAAAATTTTTAATATTTTTTATACAAATTTTGAAAATAAGCTTATTGTATATACTATATAAAGGAAACTGTAGGCTAAAATAGATGTAACAAAAGTTTTAGAGGCATACAAAAATTTTAAATTAAAGACGTACGCACCGCCGACGTACATGTGCGCTCATCTGCGACTTTCGCTCGCGGTTGTGTTAAGATGGACGATGCGACACATACTTCTTTAATTAAGAAATGTCTTGTATCTCCAAAATTATTCCAAATTTTTTCCTAATTTGTCTCTCTCATGTAAAAAAAGGCAAGTTTTTTTTCTACAAACCACAAAGAAAACATGTTTCCGTAACTCATCTTAAAATTATATAAATAAATATTTAATTTATTTGTTAACAATTAAATTATTAATTTTAAATAATTAGAATTCATAATTAAAAACAAAATTATAAACTATTTGATTTTTACAAATTTTATAATTCTTAATAAGAAACCAAACAAAAGTTAATTTGCAAATTGTAAAATTAATTTATAAAATTGTTTAAAAAAACTAATTTTCAAAAATTTGTTTCTTCTATTTTCTCTGCAGAAGAAAATTTAACATTTTTACAAATTCTAATAAGAATCAAAGGAAAGTTAATTCGCAAATTGTAATATTCATTTAAAAAATTAATTTTTAAAAATTTTTATGTCCTATTTTCCCTATAGAAAGAAAATTCGAAATTTTAATGAATTTCTATTCAAAGATTTTTAACAATCACCTTTAATAGAAGCAAAAAAAAGAAATAAAAGTGAAAAAAAATCTTTACTGCGTCAAAGGAAATAAAATTCTTAAATTAAAAAAAAAGTATAAGAAGATCGAGAAAAGAAACACAAAAATCCAAAGAAAACAATAAACATCCCTAAAAAATAAATCGAATAGATAGCACGCGCGAAGTTGTTGAGAAAGAAAATAAAATAAATCTTTTTTAATTGTTACTGTTTTAACAAACTCATCGTAAAAGAGAAAAAAAATAGGTAATTGAAAATAAAAAACAAAAATATAATCGAGAAGTGGGGGGAAGAGAAAAAAAAGTGAAACAGAAAGCGGACGGACGTCTGAAGTGCTACTATACTTAAATAACAAATAAAAATAGATGACATGCACAAAAAAAATTTTGTCACACTCTTCGAATTTGAATGTTAAATTTAACTGCACAAATATTATAGGTTACAAATGTTTTCTTTATATTTTTATAAAAATTTTTTTTTATTTTTTTATTTATTATTGTTTTATATTTTTTTATTTAAAAAAAATTTTAACTCAAAATGCATTGTAAATCATTGTAAATATGACAATGATTTTTATATAGCAACAGATTTTTTAAATAATAAAAAAAATGTCAATTTTAACAGACAAAAATCGCAATTTTTTTTATTTTTTATTATGTTTATAAATAAGTATTTAATTTAAACGAAATAAATATAAAAAATATATATTTTTCTTAAATCAAATTCTGTTTTTTTTACCCTTTCGTGAAACGATTTTTTTTCAGGATAATATTTAAATAACATTGCGTTAAGTAAATAATTAAAACGCGTCAAATCGGACACGTGGCGGGAATTATGGGGAACGTGTCTTGTAGCACTAAAGTAGGGATCAGTCAACGTATAGGGCTAAAGTCTCATTAAGTATCTTCTTAAAAAGATGAAAGTTTAGATCTATTTTTACAAAGATTTTTTTTTCTCAAGAAATACATCACACGCACTTTTATGGGGACACCCATGATTCTTTTTTTGGGGGGGGAGGGCGAGTTAATCCTGAGTGTATGAGGATTAACATTCAATCAAGTATATTGAAATCATTCCATCATTGTTAATATACAATTGGTAACTTTGAAAAGATTACTATTATTTACATATATGCCCACTAGAAATATATTTAGTAGGATTAAAAATGCCAGGTTCATCAAAATTGTGTTATAAATATTTTTATATTGTAACTACTATGGAATTTTTATTTTACAAGGTTTTTTTCAGCTTTTTATTTACAAAAGTTCCACTATAACGAAGTATTAATTTAGCAGATTAAATTAAATGAAAATTCAGTAAACTTCTGTCATTTAAAAATTCAAGCAGAATTTAAAGTGATTTTGAATTTTTAAATCCAAAAATTTTCAAAACTACCTACATGGAGTTTATTAAAATTTTTGTAGCGTCGAATTGAATGTGAATTTATAAATGAAATGAAATTCGATAATTTGAAATTGAATGTCAGAAAAATTGTTATATAAATTCAGAAATATTTATTCGTCACGTTATAATTATTTTGCGGAATAGATAAAACAAAAATCACATTTTCCCATAATTTTTTTTCACTCTGGGAACTGAGGGAGCTGAGGTACACTCCTCCCTAATTGTACACGTGTGTAATCTTGAATATAATCTCCATTGGTGTATTAGCAGTAAATGTCGTGACATAAACAGTGTACCGTATTCAAACTCCCTCTATATACCATTCTATATAGGATATGCTTACAAACAAAATCATTAAAACGCTGTCTATAACGATTCTTTGATCTTTGTCTATGCCTTTGAAAATAATGTAAACAGATCATTTTCAATCTCTGTTCGTCAATTGCTGTACAAATTTGAAATAAATATTTTTTCTCATCTCTGTACAAAAGTATACAGCTTCAACGATATGAACAAATTATTCCAACATTGATATTTATAAAATAATGTAATAAGTACAATGATTGACAAATTACGATTTTCTTGATACTTATTTCTGATTATAGTCATTTTTTAAATTCTTGTAAATCAAAATTGGGACAAATGAAGCTTTGGCGAATTCAAAATTCTGTTATTTAATATTCGGTTAAATTAGAATATTTTAAATAAAAATTTGGGTAAAGAAAAATTCTTTCAAACTAAAATTCGGTTCCTAAAAAATCTGTTAAGTAAAAATTCGTTTAAAAATATAAGAAAATTCTAATATCTATCCAATGAAATGCTATGAAATAAAAATTGTAACAAATTAATTTTAGGCATTATTCGTGCGTTTCATGCGTCTCTATATCAACAATAAAAATTTGTCGTGGTAGCAAAAATTTTGCAAACTTCTTCTATGCGTGTATAATGATATCACGAACTAACAATTTTGTTTCTTCTCTGTTTTAGAAATGAAGCTGCCTAAATCAAGAACAATGAATCAATATCGTGATGAATTCTGTTATTAGTGAATTTTTCATCGTCATCATCAGTCGGGTAAATCACGTGCTCAAGCGGTTTGAAGGTACCTGATTCGCGCTACCTGACGACAAACAGCGATATGCCAACGAGTGGTTTACGCTGCACGATGATGGGGAGGATAAAGGATGTTAGATTCGTGTTTTGCTCTTATCTTGCTACGTAACGGAGGAAGTAATTACAAGATTACTGTAATAAAAAAAGGCCTAAAGAAAACGCGATAGGATATAGTGGCAACCCTAAACGAACATAGACCACAATTATTTGGTGAGTTTTATATACACATATAGATATGTACATAAATTATCTTTTGCATCTTAAAGACTCGATTAAGCAAAAATTACAGTTTAGTACCCTCTTTTTCAAAAAAATCACAAAACTTTAAGAAATTAGAAGCATTTAATGAGATTTATGCCAAAGCAATTAAGAGACGCTTTAAAGCCACTCTAACCAAACATTTATTATGCATGAATATAAGCCAGAAATTATTTAGTGTGAATTTTCACCCTTTCGAAAACCACAAGTTTTCAAGTGTTATTAATGCGAATTATGTTAATGGAAATTGTGTGACACAATATACGATAAAATTTGCAATAGTCACATTTTTTATTTGAAAAGAATTTCATTGGATACAATTTTCCTGTAGACAAATTTTCATTTCTTTGATTTAGCTTTTGAGGAAATTTCATTTCTAAACAAATTTTTATTTAACAGAATTTTTATTTAATAAAATTTTACAAAACTTCTCTTTATACAATTGTTTATTTAAAAGAACTCTAATTGATCTGAATTTTAATTTAGCAGAATGAAGATTCGTCGAATTCGAATTTCTGCTCGGGCATTCACAAATTCGAGTCACTTAAAATTTTGTTGTAAGGGAAAATTCTGTTAAACTAAAATTCGTTTAAATTATAATTCATTCATATAAACTATTTTGGCAAAGAAAAATTCAGTTTTTAATTAAATAGAAATTTTTTGATACTTATTACAACTCGGTTCAATGTAAACTTTACGTTCTAAAATTGCTTATACACCTCACAAATACTGAATATACTCAAACATTTTCAGAAATTTCACTAATTTTGATTGGCTTTGATTGGGAAATTTCCAAATCCTCAATGTATAAAGCCAATGAAAATTAGTAAAATCTCTGACAAATTCCGAGTATACTCAGAATTTATGAGGTGTACAAGTGTCTTAATTTTATAATTATAATATTCTATAATTAATTCTATTAAATAGAAATTCGATAATTTACAATTCGATGACATATTTATTTTCGTAAGTTCATACTATTCCGGTAAAAATAAAATGAGAATTAAAATAAATATATAAGAAGGAAAAACATGCTTTATAATTCCAGAATTTTTTTGTGATTTAAAAATAATCCTCTTCTTTAATTCACTGCAATTATTTCATACATATTCCGAAGAATTTTTTCTCTATAATTTTAAGAAATTCCCTTTAAAACAAAGAAATCTTTTCTCCAATTGAGAGAAAATTTTTATTTGATCTACAATATTATTTTATTAATTTTATAAACATATTTTTCTAATTTAAAGAGATGTTTGTGTTTCAAAGAGAATTTTCTTATATAGGATATCAAAGAAATCATTCTTCGGAATTAAACAGTTGCAGTGAAAGAAAAGGAATTTTTTAAATGCGTTTGAAAAAAACTTTTTTTTCGATTTTTTATACATTTTTTTTAATCCTTTAAAAGTCAAAAATAAGCGTGTAAAATATTGTGAAAAAATTCGAATTTTTAAAAAGTTATTCATGAATATATACCTGCATGTACGCAAAAACTATTGCAAAAACGAACATAAACTTTAAACTCGTTTTTCTCGAAACAGTTTTTTTAAAACTGGTGTACCCCCTGTAACAAAAAATCTAAACGAGATTTTGAGAATTTGTTTTTTGCATGTTGTTAAAAAACATATTCTTCAGTGGACTAATTATCAAAGTTTTGAAAATTAAATTTATTTCCATTTTTTATAACCAAAAACTGTAAAAAACAATGATTTTTAAAATTTTGATTTTAAAAGGACGCTATTTTGTTTTTTTAGAATTTTTTTTTAATTCCATGATATTAGTCCACTGGGTATTCATGTAGGGGAGAGTGACAAACAGTAGGACAGTTTAAACAGTAGGACATTTTAATTTTCTGAAGAACTACTTAAAGAAACTCGACCAAAATTTAAATGTAAACCATGTTTATGACAACACACTATCTCCAAAAATTTTAGCCACATTGATTCATTATTTAAAAGAAAATTGAAAAAAACTGTGTTTGACGTTCCAGAGTAAATTTTTTCTTGAAATACAATGCTGATTTTTAAATAGATGGGACAGTTTTAAAAAAAAGTGTATGTAATTATTAACAATGAAAAAACAAAACAATTTTTGCTTTTTGTAGTTTTAACAATGTATTTTTAGGAATAAAAAAAAGTTTTCGAATTATTATTTGATAGAATTTCCATATAACCTATTTTTTATACTACAGAATTTATATTTAACCTAAAAATCATTTAACAGAATTTCTATAATTGATAGAATTTTCATTTTTGCGTAATTGCAAATGGGCGAATAAACAATCAACATAAATATTTCGGCAGTAAAATCAACCAATCCATAAAATTGTAATTATTATATTATGTATTATAATATTATTACAATATTATATTAATATTAAAAAGATTATATAAAAATTAAACTTTTTTACGTATATTTAAATTTCCATAACACATAGTAATAATTTATTTAGCAAAAATAATACTTACTCGTCGATTGATGGAAGAAACATGCAAAACGTGACACCGGCCGGCTAATACGCATATCAAGGTTAGGTTACCACGAAATATATATAAATTCAGAAAGGAAACATTCAAAACAGAATTGCTCTGACGCATAGTCATCTGTCGAACAAATACGTAAACATTTTAAAAAATTTTAAGCCCAAATAATACCGTATATATTATGTAGTCCACTTATATTCACAAGTGTATAGGCGGTTCCAGAATAAGTGCAATAGCCAAGTACAAGTCCAAATGCAAATCCCATGAAAGCAAGAGAAATAGATAGACTACCTATTTGTTTCGCACTCATGAGATTGGCACTTGGACTATCGTAGTTGTGTTCATGACTCTCTCAAACCTAAATTGATAACGTATAGACGACCTCTAACAGTAATTGTTTTTTTTTTTTATTTTTAACAGTAATTCCTTTCTTATGTTTACTTGAATAATGCCACTGCCGAAGTGGAATAATTTTTTTTTCTTAAAATTATTAAACAACATATTATGGTGCAGATACAGCTCAGTTACTTGAGTATTATCGTCATGGTAACGTATAAGAGTGAGAGAAATAAAAGCATTTTTTGTTTCTCTCACTCTTATATACGATACCATGACAACCCTCAAGCAACTGAACTAGCAAAAAATATAGTAAAATATTAATACATTGAAGTTACAAGTTATTGTAAAAATTGGTAAAAATAGAAATTAAATATTTATTAATTAAATAGTAGTTAACATTGAAAAAAAATAACTACATAACATTACAAAATTACGAGTAACACTAGTAATCGTTGAATGTAGAAAAAGTAAAAATAAAATCTTTTAAAATTTCTTGTTATAGTTCCTATATATAAGATACAGAATATTATTGTATACTCCTATTGAATCCACTCTGTAGGTAATACTATACAGAATACTTGACCGCTAATCAAATTTAATTGGTTAATTTGAATTTTTCCATTAGGATAGCCAATCAGAATTAATAATTTCTTTGGGGGATATTATTGACATTCATACTGTACATACATATAGTAATTGACCACATCAAACTTTTTTAATTCTACATTGCAATTAACATTTTTAGAGTTAGTAGTGCTATAGGCATTTTATTATTTTATATAAGAAATAGTAATTAATTTTATGGTTCTTTATTTAAGCATAACATGAAACCTGTTTTCTATATGAGGCATTACACGTGAGATATTCATTCCAAATTTTTGTTATTTTATTTTTTGATTTGATAAAAAAAATTATGGAAATTATGATTTATTTTAAATTTAATATATCGTCAGTAGCAGAGTAATTTCGAAACCTGTTTTTCTCTGTCATACTAATAGATAAAAAATATTTTTTTGTTTTCTACACTTTTCTACACAATAAAATCAATAACATTATCTTAAGGCTAAATAAAAAATCGTTTGCCCATTATCGGGCTAGGCTTAAAAGTTTCGTAAAAAGAAGTAGTTTTTTTGAAAAAATTTAAAAAAAATCGATCAGTACGTCAAATGAGAAAAATGACTTGTTATCATTAAAACTCAAAAATTTGTTAGTAATATCGTTTAAAAAAAATTTTCGATTTTTTTTTTTTGAAAAGTATGTTTAAAAACACACATCTTGAAAAAAGACTTTTAAAATTGATGCGTTTTTAAGGAAGTTATGAGCATTCAAAAATTAAAACTCATGAAAATTCCATAACTCGAAAACGGCTTGCTAAAAAAATTTGAAAAAATTCATGGAAGCTAGTCTCAATTAATACTAAAATAAAAAAAATCTCAAAAAAATCGGAGATGCAATTGCAGATGGACTTACACTTTGGCGTGGAATACATCATATATAATTGTATTTACAAAAAAAAAATTTTTTTCTCTATTACTGGAATAAATTGAAATGTTTTCAATTTGTAAGAACTCAAATTTAAAAGCATTAATATAGTGCAATTCATCCACTCGCCCATGATCTGTCAAAAAGCTCGCAAATGCGTCAAGTCGTTCAGACGTTATCGTGTTTTTTAGTATTGAATCCAAATTTGTAAAGTGTGCGTCAATATTTTTTAATGGGCAAGAGTTTTTCATGAAATACATGTTTTTCTGTTGAAAGCAATAAAAGAAAAAAAATTTATTTATTAATTTAATAATAATAATAATTTATATATAATAATAATTTATTCACTTGATATTTATGATTAATAAATGTAATAAATAGAGTCCAAAATTACAATAAAAAATATAAACAATTTTTTGTAATAAACGAATGAAAATAATCTTTTTATCTTTCTCGAATTTCGATTTTTTTTTGCAAATAATGGAATTATTAACTTTAAAAAAATTAAAAGTATATCAAGTTCCATTAAAAATGTAATGAAAATTCACAAATAAGATTACTGATTGTAAAACAAGGGTTTAAAGGCTTTTTAAAGCTTTCTTTTGTAAGGATGGAAAATATTTTTAAAAAAATTTTCCTATAATTAAAATCAAAAAATATAAAATAAACAATAAATGAGTATTAAAATGAGAAAAAGAAATCTATTTCTCTTCAAGTTATCTTCAAGTTTTATATATATGCATAGTTATGCGGTCTTTTACGATGACAATAAATATTGATGACAATTAGATATTGACTTCCGTTTCTGTGAATTGGATGAAACTCGAGACGAAACCGCTTGCATCCGTCAAACAGGAAGTCTCGTAAACGTGAGACGAATACGAAGACGGTTCTTTTCTTTTAAGAGTATACTTAACGTTAGTAACGAAAACCAATAGAGTAACGTCTGTTTGTAAGCATCCTCTTTTCTCATTGTTATAATACCACCTAAACCGCTTTCAACTTTTATTACTTGTGAATGTGTGTAATTTTTTAAATCGTGTATCATGAATTCATTATACATTTCTTCAAATATTTATAGATATTTCTCATCATTTAATCAATTTATTTTTTGGCAATAAAATAAATATTTTTAAAAAATTTTCTATTTGTTCAAAATTAGACGCATGCTAAAATTAATTTGTTTGAATTATTTTTTTTACAACATTTCCATTAAAGATTAAACATAAAATTTCTATTTTTTCGAATTATTTTTTTACGGAATTTCCACTAAACAGATTTTATATATTACAGAATTTTTATACAACCAAATATTTACTTCAAAGAATTTCTATTCGATCTAATAAAACTATTTAAATTGAAAATTCTAATTATTTTTATGGAATAATCATGCGCCTCATTTTTTCGATTAGGAAAATGCTCTTTTGTGGAAAATTGCATTTTTTCAATTTAAAAATGTTAAAAGTTTAGAAAAGAAAAAAATATTTTTTTTCCTTTTGATATAATAAATAAAAAAAATAATTTAATAATAATTTGAGTTACATAAACATAATATTGGAAAGTAAAAGTATAATGACCTTTTATTAAAGAATCACCCATGGATGTATGTATATTACAATTCAATACGATCGTTATATAGTGGGAAAGTTGTAAATTATTGTATAATGAGAATAATTTCACTTACATCAAGAAATTATCATCGGCTTTATATTTGTGAGCCAGCACTCGTGATTCTGAAATATACTACACGATGAAATGGACCTTAGGTTGTTGTGGTAATTGCCTATTCACGGACGGATATATCCCCTACACGCGACTCGTTTTTCTCAAGTGTATGAGTAGAGTGGAAGGGAATCAAATTGTTCGCAAAGGGAGAATTAACGCAACAATCTGAGGTCCTTTCACTGTGAAGTGATACATACATATGAATAAATCCCCAATCAGTCCACATTGACGGATTTCAAAAAAAAGACTGCGAATACAATATCAAAAAAAAAAGAATTGAAAAATTCAAAATATTCTACGATGGTGCAAATTATAATAAAAATAATCGTTAATAAATAATTTCATTTCTTTATAAAAAATTACCTTAAGGGCGTGCGTTTGTTTGAAATTCTTGAAATATTCTTGAAATATTCTTGAAAAATATACTTACTCAATTTTCCTTGATTTTTTTCAAATTTTCAAAAAATGTTCCATTATATATGGTACAAATATTTATAAATTTATAAACATATATACATATATATTTTTTTATTTTATATTTATAATATTTTTCAAAAATTTCAAAACCTCTTGCAATGATAGAAAATGGAAAATTGAAATTTTTAATTTTTTCATAAATTTTTATGTTATTATTATTTTTTTTTACAAATGATAAAAAATGTAAGGAAATATGTAATTTAAAAAAAAAATTCGGAAATAAATTTAAAGAAAATTGATTATATTTCAAAGAATAGAATTCAGAGTGAACGCCCTTAAAAGGAAGCCTTAGAATGTTAAAAAAAGCATTCATTATTTTAGACGCAAAGGGAACGTTCACATTTGACGTCACATATCAAGAACAAGAAGAAGGGTGGTTCTTGTTAAAACGTGACATAGTGTTGAAAGCCCCTATAACCATAATCTACAATGCAACATTTTTACAATTTTATTTTTATTCCTATTTATTTTTATTCGAAACACTTTTAATACCATTCTTATTATTTTGGAGATATAATTTTAGACAATAGTTTAAATTTTCATTTAATCGAATTTTTAATTTGGACAAATTAAAATTTGCTGAATTGGAATTTCTATAATTTCAAAATTCGAATTACATGAAATTCGATTGAATATGAGAATTCTGTTAAATTGTATTTTATATTTTGTGTTTATTTGAAAAAAAACAATTAAAACCAATTTTAATGGTTCTTCCCTCCCCCACAGAACCTAAATTAACCGAATTATAATTATAATTAGGCGAAAATTTAATTTAAATGTTCAGGAAAGTTTCACAAAGTTTCACACTAAACATTTATTTAATCGGGACATTTAAATCTTTACACAATTTTTAATAAACATTGCAATTAAATATTCCGAACATTTCAAATAAATCTTTGGGAAATCTTTTCTGTTCTGTGGGGGTCCCTTTTTTACTCTAACATTTATATTATTAGGTATTTTCATCAAAAGGCGTATTACGCAATTCCCATTTTATTATTTTTAATTAAAAGATTGTAATAGTTACGGGATGATAAAAATTGTATGTTTTAAAAAAAATGTATTAAAATCAATTTCAATTAGACTTGCTATATTTTTCTTGTAATCTACAAGTGAAAATATACGTACATTTCTATCAATTTTCAACTCCCATTGTTAAAATGACTGAAAGTTATAGGAGGATGGGGACATAAATCAGGACGGACAAAAAGTGATTGTAATCTTCTTTGTGGTCATTTTGTGAAAGGAACCCTAAAAATGGATGTCACAACTATGTTACGCATTGATGTTGTATAAGGAGAAACAGAGTGATATTTAAGAATGAATTGGATACATATTAGAAATTCTTGCAATTTCAAGATTTAATTTCTTTCTGATCTAATAAAGAAGTTCTCGAAATTCCAGAATTTTTTACTAAATAGTTTAAAAGTTTTAATATAACATAATTGGTTTTTCAATTTAATTTTCAACTGAATTCACATGTAACAAAATTTCTACTTGACAAAACTTTTATTTAACCGAATTTTCAATAGAGATTTTGTATTGAAATGAATTATTTTTATTTTTGTCGGAAGTTTCATTTGCACAAATTGTCATTTGAGAGAATTACCAAATCACCGAATTTTCATTTGACCGAAATTGCAAATTGCCGAAAAAATATTTAACAGAAAAGTTTTGGTGCGAATTTTAAAATTAACCAATCAGAAATAATTAAAAAAATTGCGATTGATTAACTTTAAAATTCCCGCCAAAACGGTATATACATATATTTATGGGAAAAGAATTAATATTTTGTTTTATTCATTGTTGCAGGTCCGCAATTGTCTCCTGAGAATCTGTCTATTACTGAGGAAGCAGTATACTTGATTTATGTGCATTTTTGCCACAAACATAAATTCTAGGAGTAGTGTTGATTGATATAAATATATATATGCAGAAAATGAATGAATGATTCTATGCCTCATCGCAATGTGTCTGAAATTGTGTTTTTTAATCATTTTACTCTCCTTGCTTCTTATCAATGCAAATGAACACTATACATCTAAAGAAGGTAAGTTGATTTGCATATATATATAAAACTTTTTTTCCACAATTTAATAGTATATTGCTGTCCTTTACTCTTTGTTATCTTCTCCATATATAGGTTATATATTTTATCACTTTTCTAGGGTAATTTTTCCTCTCACAAACTAACCGTAAATTTCTAGTTCCCTGCTCTTGTATTTCCTTTTTCCTAATATTGTCGCACGACTAAGAAAAAAAAAGTAAATAAATAACGGACGCATAAATGTTTCGCAAATTTCATTTTACCGAAATATCAGAATAATAATTTTAAAATAATGTAATAATTTCCATTGTATATTTAGCTGCTTTCAAAATAGCTAAATCGCATTGTCTTGAAAACGATTTTTTAGGACGAGACAATGCGCGCGCATCCATTGTAAACTGTCGACAAAAGATTTTATTTTACATGTTCGACTATTCCAACGATTTCAGCTTGTAAATATATTGTAAAATAAATTTTTTAGCGACAGTTGCATCGTCTCGTTCTAAAAGATCGCCTTCTGCTAAATTAAAATTTGGTTAAATTAGAATTATTTTAAATAAAAATTTGGTACCTAAAAATTTTGTTAAGAGAAAATAATTAGTTACAACTAATAAAATTCTTTAAAATGAAAATTTTAATCATCGATTTTTAGGAAAAATTTAAACGCCCCTATATTATTTTGATAACTTTATCTAATTATGAAATTATTAGTGTCAAGTGTTTATTTTTACGTAATAAATCTTTGCTGTATATATTTATTTATTAACACTTTGTGTAGAAATAAGATGATTCCGCGAGAGCGAAACGCCTCACGCAGATTTAGTGATGACATACACGGTTAGATCGCACTTTTGTTACTTATAAGAGAAAAGCGTCGAAAAACATCAAAATTCAAAGGAATTACAACTTTTTGGTGTTGCGATTCTAAATTAAAATTAAATTTTTATTTTAAATCTATCTAAACTTTAAAAGATTAATTAAAAAAATTTAATTAATTAAATTATTAAAAATATATTATTTTACAATTCCGACTTTTTTTTGAGTGGACATTTTTCGAAGCTTTGCTCTTATATCCAAAAGTTCGACACCCTACGGCGATTTATCTAATTGACCCGTTTCACAAGAGTTATAGTAGATAATTTTGATAAATTATTTCTCCTAATAATAAATATTATTTAATTACATGTATTAGTACGTTCAATTAATCCCAGCAAATTATGAAAAAATTGAAAGAAATTAAATTAATTTTGAGATTGTGAAAGGGTTGTGAATTTTGATCATATATTTGAAATTATTTTGTGATATACGTGCATTGATTCATTTCAATTTAAAATATAAATGTGAAATAGCTACCGTTCTTTAAATTATTATAAAAAGAATTCAATGTAGGCAGATAAATTACCTCAAAAAGGAATTAAAACACGAATATTCTAACGAATACCTATAGTTTATATATTTATTAATTTTTTAATAATTTTTTTCATTTTGTATTTATTTATTTTTAAATACTAATGATTTTTAATCCTTGTTAATCTCTCGAAAATCATTGTTCTTTCGAGGCGAATGAATATACTCTAAAATTAATTTATAAAAATTTTTGACAAAATTTCATTAAATAGAATTTATTTTTGGTCGAATCTTTATTTCTTCGAATTATTATTTAACAAAAATTCAATTTAATCAAATTTCCATATTACAGAATTGTTACTTAAACGAATTTTCATTTTACAGAATTTTTCTTTTATCGAATTTTAATTTGACAGAATTATTATTTGCTCGAATTTTTATTTGATATAATTTTTTAAAACGACGAATCTTTGCAATTTGTCCGAAATTGCAAATGACAGTTTATACAATCAACAGAAAGATTTCGGCGCAATTTTTTAAAAATTTGGGTAATAATTCGGTTAAATTTAATTTAATTCTGTCAAATTCCATTTAATTTTTATCAAATCCGAAGAAATAAAAATTCCGCCAAAAATAATTTCTAGGTAATGAAATTCTATCAAATGAAAATTCTAAAAAATTAATTTTAGTGCTTATTCATGCCTTCGTTTTTCAAATATTAATATTTAAATATTATTTCTTATAGCAAAATATGAAAATGAGAAATACACTGTGAAATTCAGTGATGATAATATATTTCCATAGTCTCAGATAACCTTTAATACAAAGAAATCGAAAAAAATTGATAAGAAGCATCAATATATATTTGTTAAAATAGATAAAAACTGTCCATATTTGATTAAAGAAAATAAACAAAAGAAATATGACACGAAATGAAAACTATATATTTTTTTATTTTAATAAATGACGATTTTATTACGTATGTACAATTTTTCAACGTACTAATAAAGTTTTATTAGTTTTTTTTGCGTGGTTCCCTTGAAAAGAAAATTCTTTTTTTTAACGTTTTTGTGGAGTGTTTGACTTATACAGAATATAAAGCTTCTTTAAATATTTGCTTCTCTTTCATCAGTGAAAGATAAATGAGTCTTAAAGAGGACCTACTGGACAGATTTATGCATCAAAAAATAATTACCAGCAGCACTAAATTGATATACGTTAGGCCGCCTACGCGCAGATTTCATTGGACAATTAAATTTTCAAAATATGTACTGCTAGCTCAAAAGAAAAAAAAAAATTTTTTTATGTTAGGTTATACTCTAGGATTTTCTAAAAATAGAATTTTTTTTCTTAAACGATGACTTAGAATCTTATATAGAAATGTATAACCATGTGACTTTATAATATAGTGCGGGGACAAAGTTTTAAATGTCTATTTTAGGAATACTCTGCCGTGGTTAATACTGCACTGAGCCCTTCTAAGCTTTGTGCAGATTAGGCTCATATATATAATTTAAGGGATGTGCGGGATTTATTAAGTTGCTCACATTTCCTATTGAATATAGATATTCTAGGCTTTACACCAAAACCATAATTTATTTTGAGTATGTGGTATCATTTGACACTATAATAATAGTTAAAAAGGGGCGCAATGAATGAAAATTCATTATAGTCAGAATTTCCATATGGCAAATATTTTATTAGATTTCTTTTTAGACGAATTTTTCATTTCTTCGAATTTGACAGATTTTTTTAACCAAATATTTACTTTACAGAATTTTTAGGTATTGAATTTTTGTTTGGCAAAATTCATATTTTATTGAATTTTTATTTTTTAAAATTCCTACTTTCTTACAGAATTTAATATTTATTATATTTAAAATAATTCTAATTCACCTGAATTTCAATTTAACATATTTCTCATTCAACAGAATTTTTAGTGTTTCAAATTTTTTAGTACCAGAATTATCCAATTCACCGAATTTTTATTTACATGAATTGAAATTTAACAGAATTTTTACAATCGACAGAAATATTTTGGCGCGAATTTTAAAAATGATCAATCGAATTATTAATAAAATTATGAAATTCGCGCTGAAATTATTTTGTAGGTTATTTGTTGGGTCATTTGAAGATTCGGTCAATTGGAAAATTGTCGTTTTAAAAATTCCGTTAAATTACAATTAAAAAAATTAAAATTTTCAATAATTTCTGTTCATTGAAATGATTTGTAATTTTATAAAATTCTTAAAAAACCTAATGTTCATTTAATCGAAATTTCAAATTTCCGAATATAAACAACCAAGATTTAGCTATAAATTTGAAAATTAACCAATCTTAATTTTTTGCTAATTTTCTAATTGATTAATTTTAAAAATTCGTTTAGAAAGAAATTCTATTAAATATGTTAATCCAAAAAAAATCTTTAAATAAAATAATGAAAATTTATTTTCTTTTTTATAATTACATTTTGTATATCTAATAAAACTAAGGAAATAAATAAAAATTGATAGTGTACATAAAGTTAGAAATAGGAAAAACTTGAGAAACAAATAAAAATTTAGTGACTACAAAGTTGGGGAGGGAAAAACGGAAAAGTTTAATAAAATTGCACCGTGTACAAAATGGGAATAGTGTTAAAGTAAAGGAATTTTCGGATAAGAAGGGAAGTTAGACAAGTAAAGGTGCTTTTTGAGGGGATAATAAAATATATAGCATACTTATACATATATATGTATATACACTTAACATATGCAGATGACGTAATGCTTTTAGTAGATGACGAAAAGGGGATGAAATTGTTAATGTGAGATTTTTTGAAGAATATGTGGGTATAAAAAGACGTATAATGGTTGAAGTAGAAGCTGTGAGAATGTATATGGATGTGATGATAAACTTGTGTGTGTGTGTAGTTGGTATTGAATTATGGTGTAAAAAAATGTGTGGTGATGATGAAAATATATATAAGAATAGAAATAAGAAGTTTCTAAGATGCTTTATGGAAGTGAGTCACACACATGTGATCCGAAGACTCTCAAAAATGTTGTTCATAGTATTAATTTTCATGCATGATCAAAGAACCATGTGATGCGGCTTTCCCCTCCTGACACATAATCCTTGTATGCCTTATTCATAGATATATGAATGCCAATATAATTTAGGCAAAGTATTCATTGAAACGAACAAAAAAAAAATTAAATATAAACGGGGCGCATGAATTTTTCATAAAAATCATTAATTACAATTTTTATTTTAAAGTATAATATTTTATTAGAAATAATTATTTTTTGAGACGAATTTCAAATTTTGAATTAAAATTTGACAGATTTTCTTTTTATACGAATTTTTTGTTAACAAACTTTTTAGATACCGAATTACAAATGTCTAAAGTCTAAACAAACAATCGACAGAAAGATTTTGGCAAAATTTTTAAAATTGACCAGATAGAAATTATCAAGAAAATCGTGATTGCTAAATTTTAAAAACAGACAAATTCCTTTAAATGAAAAGTCATGTAAAGAAAATGACTGTAAAATAAAAATTTTGGCAAACAAACATTCGGTAGCTAAAAATTTTGTTATATAATTATTCGTATAAAAAGAAATTCAGTTAAATTTTAATTCGAAAATTGAAAATTCGTCTAAAAAAATTATTTGTCTAATAAAATTCTTTAAAATGAAAAATCTGAATAATAATTTTTATGGGATAACCCATATAAACTTTAGTTTTTTCTTACGTTTAGTTTTTCCAATTTAGAGTTTTTTCTTCACAACAAAAATGCAAAACTAAAATACACCAAGAAAGGAAAATAAAAAAATAGAAATATAAAAATCGAGCCACTTAGAATTTGTTTGATTTAGTTTGTATAATAAATTTCACCATTTTTTGGTACACTAATTAAAAAATGTTTGATTACAGCAGGCGAAGATGATGATTCTTATTTATTAGAGGAAGATGACACTGCATCGGCAACAATTGCAACTGATACTGAATTTATATCCGAGGAAAGTGGTCATTTGCCAGTATTTCTAACTGAGCCATTAGATGCATTTGTCATTAAAAACAAACCGGCAACGCTTCACTGTAAAGCAGCTCATGCATTGCAAATTTACTATTTATGCAATGGCATTAGAGCAGAGGAATCGTTTCAAACTGCATTTGTTGATCCACACACGGGAACACGGATAGTTGAATGTGAACACAACATAACCAGAGATCAAATTGAAGAGTATTTTGGAAAGAATAAATTTAAATGCGAATGCATTGCATGGTCAGGTTCTGGTCAAATCAAAAGTCAACCAGCAACTGTGGATGTTGCCTGTGAGTGTCTGGAAAATTTTATTTTTATTAATTAAAAAAAAAAAATTACAAGTTACAATTTTCATTTTAAAGATAATTATTTTTTGCAACACTAACCTCTAAAGTTAAATTTTACATACCGAAAAGTGAGTGTAAAGTGATTCACTTTACGCACCGAAATTTATCTCACATAATATAAAGATTGTTTTAGACCATACAAAACCACAAAATTAAATAAAGAACTTTACTTTTGAATTTATACACTACTGCTTAATGATATTTTTCCTGATTTTCGATTGATTTTTTTAATTCTATACAGTCGAAATTATTCGAATTATTACAGTTGGAATTCTTCATAATAGGTACTTGACTTTAGAGGTGCGTGTTACAAAAAATGTTGCATGATACACGTGCGTAAATCTGATTATACTCGTGTGATTTACGCACTTTACGCACTTGTATCATAAATAACTATTTTTCGAACAGGCATTTAACAAAATTCATTTTAAGACATGCTAGAGAATCCAAATCACCGAATCTTAATTTTTATTTTTGTGTTAACAGATTTAAAAAAGCAATTTGAATCGCCGCCGTATTCTCAGTCCGTGGAAGCTGGACAAGGTACAGAACTTCGATGTATTCCACCAATTGGTGTTCCATTGCCAAATGTTTATTGGTTAAAAAATGGTGTCAAATTAGATTTAAATGCGGATACTCTATTGGTATCCAGCGAAGGACATCTTTTGATTGGACAGACAAAATTAAGTCATCAAGCAAATTATACATGTGTAGCTGAAAATATTGCAGCTAAACGTCTCAGTGATCCTGCTAGTCTCACAGTTTATGGTAAATTTCAAATTTATTATTTTTTCACATTTAAATATTTATTTATACGAATTGTAATTTAACAGAATTCTTCAAACGCCAATTTTTATTTGACCGAAATTTCAAATAACCTACAAAAAAATTTCGGCACGAATTTCAAAATTGACCAATAAAAAATTATCAAGAAAATTGTGATTGTAAATTGTAAAATTATAAATTTCGTAATACTGCAATAAAATTGAATTTCCTTTCAGTAAATGGAGGATGGTCTCAATGGTCTTCATGGTCTGAATGCCATTCTCGTTGTGCTAAAGGTGGTCAGAAAAGAACCCGAACATGTAGCAATCCAGCTCCCATGAACGGTGGTCAACCATGTTTAGGTCCCGCACAGCAGAGAAATGATTGTAGTACAAATTGTCCAAGTAAGAATCTAAAATTTACCAAGATTTCAATTTGAAAGAAAAATTCCCAAAGTTATTCGCTATGAAATTTTTCTACTATTTTGTGCTCGGCAATAAACTCGGTGTTCCCACCCCTGGTGCACAATATACTACTGTTATTTTATTTCTCAAAAAAATTCAAAAACTCAAATATTTATTAAATTTCATAATAAAAACTCGATAGTAACTTTTTTTTATTTTATTAGTTAATGAATTACTGAAGATTTTAAGAAACATAAAATTTGAATTTAAAAAAATTATAAATAAATAAATATTTATAATTGAATGCAATATAATGCCATTTATTTCGAGAAGCGTCATGAGTATTTTATGAGAAAATTCGCTCTGTTCTTAAGCAATGCAATTTGAATACTATTGGACATCAAAATTAGACGCGTCGTGAAATTTGAAAGGAAGGAGAAAATTGTCGATAAGAAATATACAGAGAGCAAGTACTCGACGTGAATGTAGGTGGGGGATGAACGCCAATTTTACAATCGATCACCTGTAAGGGATTATACAAGACATTCAAATTGCATTGAAATTATAGAAATTTCAAAGAAGAAGAAGAAGAAGCTTTTTATGGGAAAGGGGAAAGTCTTTATAAACCAAGAACATAAATGATTTCGGTCTAATTTTATTCATGTTTCATTTTCATTATTTTATTTCACTTTTTCTTTAAACTATTTAAAAAAATAATTTTATCTGAAAAATGGATGGAATAGAACATTTTTATTTCACAACTTGCAAAGAAATTTAAATATGATACCATTGCCCTCTGAAAAGTGGTGCTACATCAAAGGAAATAAAACTTTCTTCGCTTTTCTGAAAGTAGAAAATGACGCTAAGGCTAGGTATTAGAAAATTCGATTGAATGAGAATTCTGTTAAATTCAAAATCTTTTATATAAAAAGTCATGTAAAAATTTGTATAAAAAGAAAATCTGACAAATTTTAATTTAAAAATTGAAATCGTCTAAAAAATAATTATTTTAAAAATATAAACAATATGTTAATTTGAAAATAAATTGGTTTAAAGTTATTGAGTAAGAGAAAGAAAAAATAATTCTATACATGATTCATAGTCATATATTTACATTTTAAAAAATATCAGCTATTGTATTGATACAATCTTATCTTGTGATGACATAGTTTGGCACGTGCCACATTGTATTGACATCAAGTAGAATGTTCTTTTAAATTTTGGACAATAATAGCTATATCATTTCCTTTATTATATTAAATTGACAATATGTGGGTGATAATTGACTAAATATTTACGTATGAGGGCATTTACCTCCATGTATTTTCAACTTGTTATAGTTTCACAGAATTGATATTATGTCAGAGCCAAAATTAAATATAAAATAAATGTTACAGTTAAATTGATTAAATTTTCCAAATGTTTCCAAATGTCCATATATATTTCATTCAATTCCATTTATTTAATTGAAATCAATTAATTCGAACTTCATTTATCAAGATATGTTGTAAACAAACTTTTATCACTTAGATTTTTATAATTTTTGGAATTTTCATTTTTGTTTCAATTTTCGATTTCTAGTTGTATATTTCTATTTATTAATAAATAAATGTTTATAATAAATAATATATTAATTAATAAGAATAAATTATATGAATTTTCAAAATATTTATCACTCGGTCGCAATTTAAATAATAACAAAGAATATATATTATATATATATCACTCCTAGTGATCGATATCTTCTTTGTTATTATCTAATGAATTATGTTTTTTCAAATCATTTTAATTATACAGACCGCTTAATATATTAATCATTAAAATGAAAAATGATGTACACTTATCATATCTATTAGTACTTCTATTACTAGGAATAATTATTGGTAAATAAAAAAACCCCATAACATTGTACATGTATAATTTACGATTTTTTCTTAAATTAGTACACGGAGAGAAAAATATAGCTTTATAATAACATGAAAATGATTCCTACCATTAAAGCATGAATTTTTCCTACAAAGAAAGCAAGAATTCATACGTTCTTAGTATGTTTGAGAAACACGCCTTCGTAGTATGCATTTAATACTTTAAATACATAAACGCCAAGCGTAAATAGTACAAAAATCAAAACCTACTACTTTTGCAGGAGTCTCATGCTTTTTCGGTATTAGAGTCCTGCAATTGGCGATCACCAAGTTTGAGTCAAGTTAAAGTGGGCGTGGCTTAATCGACAGTTGCAGGACTCTAATACCGAAAAAGCATGAGACTCCAGCAATAGTACACGGAGAGAAATCTGTTACTAATAACGCATGAACAGTCCATTCGAAAATAGCACAGACACAATCTTGCGTAAATTGCAAGAAATCCATGCTGATTTTTCATGTCTTTCGAGGAAAACTCGCACAAGCTGTGCAAAATTCACAGATAGCACGTAAGCTTGCAGCAACCTTGCGGCAAGCTTCAAATGTCCCACCTAACCCAAGCTTGCATGGTAAACTTGCCGAAAGATTGCAGTGTAAGGTTACTGTAAGATTGCACAGTAAGATTATCGCAAGATTGCTCAGTAAGCTTGCACGGTAAGCTTGTCGCAAGGTTGGTGCAAGGTTACCAAATAACCTTGCCAATCAGCACAAAAGGTTGCAGCAAGTTTGCTCGGCAACCTTATGGCAAGTTTGGCACAAGCTTGTGGAATATAAAAAAAAATTTTAGGGGGGAGGAAATTTATTTTTGTACATATGTTGAGCACTAGTTCCTGGGAGGTCAAAAAAATGTACTGCGCAGCCGTAAGTGCTTGTGATTGTAAGTGCACATAGTGCTCATTTTCAATACAAACTTCTGTGCTGATTGGGGAAGGTTTTTGGCACCTTGCTACAAGTTTACCGTGCAAGCTTGCGATAATCTTATCATGCAATCTTGCAGCAACCTTACACTGTAATCTTTCGGTAAGCTTACCATGCAATCTTGCGATAATCTTACTGTGCAATCTTGCAGTAACATTACACTGCAATCTTTTGGCAAGCTTACCATGCAAGCATGGGTTAAGGGGGACATTTTGAGCTTGCCGCAAGGTTGCTGCAAGCTTACGTGCTGTCTGGGTTAGCACAAGTCTTCGCGATATTAGCAAACGAAGCTCATGAGAAAAGCGCACGCGTAAGTCTTGTGAGCTATTCGTAACAAATTTCTCTCCGTGTAGTAGGTTTCAGTTTCATACGATTTGCGCGTGGCGCTTATGCATTGAAAGTATTAATTAAGCATGGACACCAATCATACTAATAACGTATGAATTCTTACTAATATTACTAGAATTTCTCTACTATAATAGCATGGAAAAGATTCATGCGTTAAACGTATGCCTTATCATGCTATAAAATAAGCTAGATTTTCTCTCCATGTATAATATTGCAAAATAAATTGCATTGAAGAAACTTTATTATTTTCTTTCCACAGTGGTAGATGGAGGCTGGTCTAAATGGTCAGCATGGTCTGTTTGTGGAAGTGATTGCACTCATATAAGACGACGCTCATGTGATGAACCTTCTCCAAGTCATGGAGGTCGAATCTGTCAAGGAAAGAATATTACAATAACAAATTGCACAGACGGAATGTGCAATGGTAAGATAATTCTTTTATTCTACTTTTTAAAATAATTTTTTTTCGTAAATTTTTATCAATTAGGTGAAAAAAGTACTGAAGATCTTAATTAAAATTGACTTTTAGTTTAAATTACATTTTGATCTAACTAATTAATAGTGATTTAGTTGAGTTCAAAATAATTTACGATCATAATAGAAATTTATGTGAATTAGAAATTTCTTTTAAACAAATACTTTTCTTTTATTACAGTCGATGCCACGAAATTAGGAGTGGAATCTTCTAAAAAAGGTAACTATTATATTTTATGTAGCAATAAGTTTAAATTTTTTATTCCTTGCATTAAAAGTTAGGAAATTTTTTCTAATATGTAAATTAAGTAGCTGATAAAAAGAAATTATAACTTTTCCAGGCAATCGAGAGTTGGATGTAGCCTTTCATATTGGTTTGACCGTGACATTTCTTATCACCAGTGGACTTATTTTTTTTCTCGCCAAACTACTTCGACGTAAGGCCCACAACCATTCACTGTACTCAATGACTCATAACGGTATGTAAACTTGACACATTTTTCATCTAAATTTCTTTTTAATATAAATAATCTGCGCAATGCATTTTTTATACAAACGTAATGAAAATCATAAAACCTGTTTACAGAATTTAACCCGCAATTTTTCTCCGATCAAGATAAAAAATTGAGTATGCAACCAGATGTTGCACTCACGGGAGTTCCTGCCTGTTATGAGTATCCCTTCGATCCTAAATTACCAATGTCACGTTCATCTTCGGAGCATCATTACGATGTTCCACATCTATCATTACCATTACAATCTTCGTCTATTTCACCAACACCGAGTACATCAACTCAAGAATTCTCCAGTCATAAGCAAATCCATTCAGACAGTGAAAATAGTGCTACCAGTTCCTATTCATCATCGGAATTTAGCTACAATATTTCAACGAAAAGTGTGATGCCACCAAAATTAGAAACGGAAAATGTTGCACGAGCCGTTGTAAATACAAGGGGTGCTCTATTGGTATTAACGGATTCTGGAATTTCAATGTCCGTTCCTGAAGGCGCTGTATCGAAACCATCAAAGGAGAAACTTTATTTGGCAGTACTCAATGATGATCGATTTAGGCCACGACTACCAGGTTAGTAAATAGCAATTAATAAAATTTTCATTCTAAGTCAAACAAACAAACAAATTACCTATACAATAATAAATAGAAAGAAGAAAATTTAATTAAGTCTCTAACTTATTTAGAATTTAATAAACAAAAATAATATTATTTAGTCAAAATCTACTGACTACTTCTTGAATTTAATTTTTATTTAACATAGTCCTTCTCGAACCTGGATGTCAACTTGTGTATTAATGAATATTTTTTGTTATTGTTGCTTGTCATTAGATGGAATAACTCAGCTCTCAGCGGTGGTTGCATGTGGTCCATCGTCAGTTACACTAAATAAACCGGTAATTTTACAATTTGAACATTGCGCAATGATGCATTCAACAACATGGGAATTAAGCATATGGGCCTCTAGAAGTTTAGATATTGATGAAATATCACTTAATTCATCGATGGATGAAGATTCAGTAATTCAGTGGGAGAGAGTATTGACTCTAGGAAGTGAAACAATAAATACACCTCTTTTCACTCAACTCGATCATTCGGAGGCATTTATTGTAACTGATCAATTAAGAGTTTACATTTTGGCTGGTCAAAGTTGCAAAAATTCAATAGCAACAAAAAGATTAAAACTGCTTTTGTTTGCTAGTCAAACAGGTGAATCTAGTATTCGTGTTTATGTAATTGAAGACACAAAAGCCGCAATGAAGACAGTAATCGATAGAGAGGCACAAGTAAAAACATTCATTTTAGATAAACCAAGAACAATACTCTTTGAAGATAATGGTGAGCCACTTCATATTCATTTAGAAGAAATTGGCAACGATGAACAGATTCCAGTTGAAAAACATGAAATTTTATTTAACGATATTTGGAATAGTATGGAAAATACAAGAAATGTGGCATTTGATTTAGAAACAATCAGTGAGAATTTATCAATGAGATGCTATAAACTTCAAGTATTTCAGGGTAATTCGGACAGTAAACAGATGTTTAAAATTTTCTACGACGGAATGAAAAATCTCATTTCTTCGGGAAGCATCACTAGACCACTTAGAGAAGTCACTGTTGTTAGCAGTGGACATGCAAATAGTACTGTAACTGATTCTGCAACATTGCGACCGTTTCGATTTACCAAATCTCTTAGAAGGCAACTTTGTCAGTGCCTTGATCCACCCAATGCACTTGGTAATGATTGGAGAATGCTGGCGCAAATGCTTCAAGTTGACAGGTACATTTTTCATTTTTATTTCAATTTAAAGGATTGTTGCTTGACTAAATTGACATCAAGTTGCATCAAGTCATTAAATTAATTAATTAAAACTTTCTGTTTCAGGTATATAAATTACTTTGCTACCAAGGTGAGTCCAACGGAGCACATTTTAGATTTGTGGGAAGCAAGACACCGAGCACCAACTGCCGTTACTGACTTACTAAATCACCTAAGGGTTATGGGTAGAAGTGATGCAGCCATTATTCTTGAAGCCCAACTTGGACCTTGGCTTTGAAATTGTTTCCTTGAATGTTCAATATATTATAAGTACTTTCTTTTTAAAACTAAACGGAGACATTTTAAATTTCAGTGCCACAAAACCAGTGATATTACATGAAAGTGCAAACAGTGAATTGCGAGTTGCTATATGACCTAAAAAACGAAAGAAAGAGATACTAGCCAAAAAACACTGCCTTAAATTCCATCTTATAGAGCAAGCGTAATTTACTTGTAAATAAAATATTGTTAGTGAGTTTTGACGACGAAGACATAAAAAAAAATAACGAATGATTGTGAGAGCATTAAAATATGTGACAATTTTTTCTGTGTGAGGGTAGAATTTGCGAATGCTTTTGTGTTTTACTAATGGTTATTATAAATATTTACATACATAAGAGAGTTAAAATAAGACTGTTCTTTTAACATTTTTCTGGAAAAAAAATTTTGTTAAATAAAAAAAAGAAACTAAGTATTACTTTCTCACATGATTTAAATCATATGAATGTCGATTAATTAAGGATATAAAGACATCAATTAGTTGTCGAAAGATTGAATGGTAATTCAATAATAATTAATCAAAAAAAATTTTATTTGTTATAATACAATGTTGAGAAAAATGATTAAATATTTGTTTAAAAGTGTCAAAAATTAAATAGAAAGACTGAAAAAAAACATTTAAAAAATATTTATTTTCAAAGATTCTTGTATTTTTGGTATTTTTGGGTAACAATATTTCCTCTGGACGCACAATATTGTCTAGAGTATGCCAGTTCCATTTTTTAATAGAAAAACGAAAAAACAAACATCGAATGAAAAATATTTATATGCTTCACAAAATTGAGGTGCACTTAAATTATAAGTGTCAAAATAGTTAATTATTAAAATTAATAATATAGTGTAATTTAAGATTTCAAATTCTATTTCAATTTCTGACTATTTTTGTTAAATGTTTTAATATAAAAGATTATATTACGAATATTTTTTTGAGTGATGAAAATGGTTCTAATGTAAAACAAAAAAACCACAGGACAATATTGTAATATGTATGTATGGACTGTGCTGCGGCAAATAGTGCGTGCATAAGAAAACGTTCCTTTTTATCTGTATATTTTAAATAATATTATTGACATTTTTTTTACCGAAAATGTAATTATGAAAAAAATAGAAGCCAATAATTGTTCGTTGAATTTTTCGAGTGCTAATTTTCATATTTTAAATATATTGTCTTTTAAGTTTTAATTAATAAAAAAAAATTTATTTACGAACACCAATGCCTTTAAACAATTTATTACAAAATGAGCCTTCTCTTAATAATATAAATCCTTTTTATTTTGATCCCCATTTATCAGTAAAAATAAAAAAACCCTTCACAAGTATACTCTACATATTATAAATTCTGCACATTGAATGAAAATAATTAAATTCATAACAAGAAAACTGTACACAATTGTCCTTTAAATAACAATTTTGTTTTCTTGCAACGAATTTAATTACAATTTTCATTTAATGTGCAGAATTAATAACTGAGTAGAGTTGGTACTGATTCTACACAATTATCTCTAAATGATAAAACTCTACACGTTGCATTAGAAAAGTGCTATTAATTCTATACAAATAAACTCTTATCAAAAAAACTCTACACGTTACAATTAGATAAAATTTAACTTAATTTAATTTACTGACTTCTTCACGGTTAAATTTTACACCGTAAAACTTTTCACAAAAAAATATTATTATTTCTGTTTTAATTAAATTTTAACTCTATGCCGTTAAGTTGCACACCAGAAATAAATATATATTTTCTTTCAATTAAACTTTTTTAAATTCTTCGTATTTGAATTTCATATAAAAATTAATTTTATAAAATTAAATTATACACGAATATTCTACATTTATAATTCTATGCACAAAAAAACTGTACACCGTAAAATTAAATAAAATTTGTTTTTAATTTAATTTTTTAATTCTGCAGCGTTAAATTATACACCGTAAAACTATCCTTATTTTTTAAATTAAATTATCAGCCCTATGCCATTAAATTCAAAACGAGATAATTCTACGCAAATGAATACGTTAAAGTTAAAAAAATAAGAATAATATTTTTTTGTTGCAGAGTTTACAGTGTAGTTAACAGTTGTAAGGCTCTAGTAACTAAAGAAACTAATGAAAAACCTTTTATAATAGCTTATCTAATTGCGCAACTTTTTCCTAGAGACACATGTACCTTAAAATGTATTGTTTAGCTGCTGCATCAATTTTAAAAAAATTTGCAAACTGGCCGGTTTGCCCCACCCCTGAGGTAAACCGGCCAGTTTATTTTTTGTTTGTTTGTTTAGAGAATTAATTGTAAGGAAAACGTCACTAAATATAAAAAATCAATAAACAATCTTCCCAATAAGGAAAATAATAAGACAGGATTAAATTTCAATTAAAGAAACATCTTATTTATTATAAAACAAATATTTTCAACTAATTGTTGTCGTTCACGAAGAAAGAAAAAAAAAGTTTTATGGCGCACTCACACCTTTTTTGGCTGCCTGCCTGCAGGTTACCATGGCAACGCACGAGTGTGAGTGAGACAGAAAATTTGAATATTCAAAATTTTAAATCTTCTGTCGCACTCACTCTCATGCATTGCCATGGTAGCCTGCAGACAGCCAAAAAGGTGTGAGAGTGCCTTTAGCTTTAGAGTACGTAGGATATTTTAAAAATAATAATTTTTGTGGATTTGGCAGCTATTTGAAGGAAAAAGTCGATTTTTAGGGCGAATTTTTTTCAAAAAATCTATTGACAAAAAAACAAGACAAACCAATAAAAAATCCGCTAGACTGCCCACCGTTTTGATAAATGTCATTTCGAGAAAGACTTTCTTTTTGAAAAATGCCTAAATAACGGATGTATAAAAACACCTTAACCTTAACCTAAAGATTGTTATTGTGGAAGCAACTTAAACGCAGACTAGGTGTGACGCATACGTTCCCAACTCTGACAGTGATTGCTCCCTGAAAAGTAGAAACAACCCAGACCTGATGTTTACATTTTTTTCTTACAGGCATTGATAATTCCGGTATTGTTTGGATGTATCAAGTTTATAAAATTATTTAAAAACTGCGATTACAATATAGAAGCAGTAGCAGTTTTCGTTAAATATATCTTCCTACTGATTTGATTAAATTAACCTTAGAAGTTACAAAAGAAAAAATATTGTTTTGTTATTTAATGTTTCAAGAGGTTATACATAATTATATTTAGTTGGAGAATTTACTGTTTTTCATTATGGAGGAAATAACAAGTGATGATTTAATTATTCCTGAAGAAAAGTATGAATGTAAGTATAATAAATTTTGAAAAAACAACATTTAGTTGAAGCCTATTTAATTTAAACAAATTTTTGCACCCACATGTAAAATACACGTGATCTCTATCTCGTTACATAGCAGACGACAAAATGTACTGTAATCTCTGTAAAATATGAAAAATTTAGATTATGAAAATGACATAAATACATTTAAAAATTTTCTACAGTTGCATATTTGATCTTATATAAACTAATTTTTCAATTATTTTCAAATCAGAGAAAATAAATTAAAATTAATATTTTTTCCAGAATTGCATTATTTCTTCTTTAAAACTCTCATTAAATTTTATACGTTAAATTAATTTTTTTAATGTAAATATTTTAAAGTTTGGTATTTAAATTTTTCAGATTTGGATCATACCGCAGACGTTCAGTAAGTTATAATTAAAAAAGTTCAGAAGATGTTCCACATTTTTAAAATAACTAATTAACGACAAAATAGCCGTAAATTATTATTTTGTATTAATAGTTTTAAGTTTTAATTGACAATACACAGGAGCGCCACTTATATACGTTTTGATAAATTAAAAATAAATTCTGGTTATTCAAACCTACGGTATAATATTACAGAATTATTGAATTTTTAAAAACAAATAAGATTTTTTTAAGATATCGAGGTGATTTCCAAAGCATTTTTGTGTGTTGAACACGATCCCGGGTTCCAAAATTGTACATCACGTCAGGATTTTGAGTAGTGTCAAAAAAACGTGTTTTTGAGTTTTTTTTTAATTTTGAAACGATTTATGTTCTAAAATTGAATGAATTTTTAGAATTTAAATTTCTCAGTTTTTGTTAATTATTATCTAAAATATTCGTTCTACAAAAAAAGTCAAACGAAAAAAAGATGCTCTTTTTGATAATCTGGTCAAAAAGACATTCTGAGGACGCATAGACATTTTTTCAAATGTAAATTCTATTAAATTAAAATTCGGATAAATTGAAATTCAATTCAATATTAAGTTAGAAAAAAAGATCACCCGAGTTGAAATTTGAATCCCCTTTAGCTAAAGGGGGTCTGTTTAACCCTACTTTACTCCTAGAAAAGTAGGCCTTAAATTTCACCTCGGGCAGATTTAAATTAAAAAAGTCGTATTTTTTAATTTTTTAAAAAAATTATAACTTTTATCAGCCCTGTAACATAATCATAAGGAAGTAATTTTATTAGGTTACATGCTTGGGGCAGTACCTTAAAGGAAGCTTTCGAACAATGTGGAATGGCAATGTACGGATATATGACGGATTTAAAAAGAGTAGAAATTAAAGAAATTCATAATTTGGAAGCTGAGGGGCATGATATGGATAGCCTTCTCTTTCACTTTTTGGACGAATTGCTATTTCTCTTTTCTGCAGATCCATTTATAATAGGAAAAGTAAGTTTTTATGTTTAGTACATCTACATATATATACACGGAGAAAATTTGTTCCGAGAGTTTTACTGATCTCAGTTCGGTAAAATAGGGATATAACAGCAAAACGGTAATTTTTCAAGAATTAGTACAGTAAAATGAATTTCATAAAACAGTAATGTAAAATGCATAAAAAATTATAATACATATATTAGTGTCGCAAGTTCAGTTCGGGAAACCGTAAGGTACTGGCAGTACATAAACTAGAGCAATAGCTAAGAATATTAAGGTCCGTTTTTGATAAAACAGAATTGAAATTTCATAAATTATTATTGAAGAGTTCGTTAAAACTTCAGGCAGAAATATAAAAAATAAATATTACCATTACTGGAAATCTCAATTCACCTACTTTAATGATTCTCTGATCGTTTACAATTTTATACTCACATATAGGAATTGAAACAGTATACATCATGTTAACCTTACACCAAATACACGCAACACATTTTTATTTTACTTAATACATATTAAACGCATACATTTGTAAATAATAACGCAATACATATAATCGCTCGCTTTACATTGCTTCTGAAGGTTTGAGCTGTTCTTATATTAACCAGGATTTTAGTTTACTGCTTGTGAGAAACGTTCAAACAATTTATTGAAAAAAAAAATAATTTAGATTCAATTATTTCTGAATATGACAACTAATTTTAAGACTACATATGACAAAATTAGGAAGCAAACTTATTTTTTTTAAGTAATTAATTCATTTTTTATGAAAATTTTATTTAAAATTTATTTGTGATTTGAATAGAAACAAATTAATGAAAAAAAATTATTTTGTTTGTATATTAAAAATAAATTATTTTCCCTAAAATTTAATTTAAAAATATGATTTAGTTTGAAAATACATTTGAACAAAATTCAATTTTTTGTTTATTTCACCTCTAATAATAGTTAATGAATTAAAATAATTTTTTATTATGTTTCCTGAAAAATTGAAAAAAGATTGTGCAATAATAATAATAATAATAATAATAATAATAATAATAATATATAGAAGGTATAAAAGTTCATAAAAAAGTACTTCAATCCTGAAAACAAATACGGTTAGAATTGTACGTAAGTTTTACCGAACTGGACTTGAATTATGTAGTGCCCAAAAAGGAAATACTCAGGAGAGCTGGCTATAGTTTCATTCGTCAAACTAAAATTCCATACAATTACATGTAGCTTTAAATTTGATTTGTTTGTAAAATTAGTAGACCGTTAAGAGAAGGACTACATATTTTAAATAAAAGATTCATCAAAAAGTGATAAATAGCACAGGTTTTTTTTGGTTACTTTTAAATCTTAATAAACGATTGTTTCAAAAACCAACTTTTTGAGAAATTCACTGAATAAATATTGATTTATAATTTCTTGTAGACTTGTCAACATAATCTACGTATACGTTATCGTAATATAAACCAATGTTTAATGATTCAAATTTTTCATATATTTACAGTATAAGCTTGTAATAAATTAAAATATCATATTAAGTTTTAACTGTCATCACTACAAAAAATAAAAAAAATATTTTGAAAAATTTCTTTTGTGCAACTATATCCCAACATTCAGTTAAAATTCAGTAAAATATCCGGAACAAATTTTCTTCGTGTAGAAGATTTAACATTTTACTATAGGAAAAATTGAAAAAATATTTCGAAGCACAGTATTGCAACTTTGCTTATATGAACTTAGGGGCGCATGAATATTCCCCACATTCAACTTATGAGAATTTTGGCGGTGTTGAATAAAAAATTATTGAATTTTTATACAAAACAATTTCTATTTATTTTAATTTTTATGTAACCTAATTTTTACATAGCCAACACTCTAGTTCACCGAATTCTCATTTAACAAAATTATTTTTCATTTAATTTGCTGCTAACCTAAATATTTACTTGAAAGTATTTTTATTTCACTGAATTCACATTCAACAGAATTTATAAGTAACACATAACTCTGATTTAACCGAATTTTCATGTTACAATCAGCTGATCATAACGTCGGGTTATAATTTATCCATTCTTTAAAAAAAATGTTTTTTATTGTTACTATTTTAACTATTTCGACTCAAAAATTATAATATACATCACATACACGCATTACATATATATTCTCTTCCTTAAACGCTTTTATATTTTTACATTATTAAAATCTCTTTTGCAAGTTGGCAAAAAAATCGAGTAATTTATTTTCCACCTTTTTCAGAAAGTCACAATCACTGAATTTGATTCCACAAATTTCAAGATTAAGGTACGCGTTGCCGGTGAAACTTTTGATATAAGGAAACACAGTCAAGATTGTGAGGTGAAGGCAATTACTTATTCAGCTATGCAAATTTACGACGAACCCGATCGAGAAAAGAAAGAACTATTTGTAATTGTCGATATTTAATAGGGGAGTCGTGCTCCACCGTAATTTTTTTATTATGGCAATTAATAGTCTACAAATAGTGTCTTTTTTTCTAAAATAATTTTATTTTATCTAAAAGTAATCTTTTATTATCTTACCTATTACTTTATTTTATGTAAGTTATCTTACTTTTCACATTTCATAATTTAAATAAAGAATATTTTAAAAAATATGTTTTTTTCTTCAATTTTCAACGGTGGAGCACAACTCTTTTTTAAGAAGTCATAAAATCAGTATTTTCGAAAAAAAGGCAAAATTTTTATTTCCGTTTTGAATTTTTTAGTTAATCGATCATGACAAAAGTTGAGCTTGTACGTGTACTAAAAATTGTATATAATAGAATAGTAAAAAAAAATTTATATAGGTAATAGTTTTAATCGAAAAACAAAACCCGGAGCACAACTCCCCACTTTCCCCTATGTAAAGTTCTTCATTTATTTTGCGTTTTTTAATAAGTTTTTTACAACTATTTAATTATACATATGTACAGATCAATCATATATTTGTAAATAAAAGATTTTATTTAACTTCTATTTTATGAAATGTAATCTAGAAATTGTTGCAAAATATACAATGTATTTTTCTAGTTTGAAAAATTAATAAAACATGACACTTTTAAAAGACTCAAATATGATAGATTTGAATCTTATTTGTAAAAATATATTGAAAGTTTTTAACAATTAAGAGCAATAGGCAATAAAAGATTTAAATGGTTTTAATAAATCACAGTTTTTTTTAGCAAAACATATTTATTATTAAACAAGATTTAACAAGAATACACATTAAAAGAATCTAATGGTACTTTTTCCCTCTTACATAATTAAATTAATGTTTATAAAAAATCTCCTAATCATTTCACCATAATAAAGTGATAATTGGTTTTGTTTGATTTAATTTTGTAATTATTATTCGAATATGATTTTTCTTAACAAAAGAAAAATACCATATCATTGCGAGATTCTAACAATATCCGAGTAAAACGTAGTATCTGTGGAAAATAGCTCATGAAGCCTCCTTGCCATTTGAACCATTCTTTTTTCTATTCCACTATCATAATCAGAAAGTTTCATATACAACACTTTCCTACCTTTAATTGTTTTAAAGCGTATGTCATTCAATACGAATTCAAAATTTGCTGTTGCTATATGAAATGGATTTCCATCATTAAAAAGACGATTAATGTCCACAACGCCTATATGATTTGTTATTTTAATTTCCATTAATAACGGAATTTGTGATGATGTGCCCACCATGTTTAAACAATTTGATTCTTCCACAATTTGATTTACAGAAAACTTCATAAATCTATCAAATTTAATAATATTATTCTTGTCAATTGATTTAAGCTTTAAAGACATCTCCATATCCAGCTTTTCACCACGGTAAAGTATAATTGGTTTCATAATTATTTCCTCGCTACATTGTTTAAGAGCAAGTCGATGAATTGCAGCTTCAAATCGTCTTACTCCATCTTTAGTCATTACTAATTTGTTGTTCGCGGAAGAATATAATACATAATAATCTTCAAATCGAAGATATCGTTTAACGTCTACTATCTTTCTGTAATTTTCAAATGCCTCTTCTATATTTTGAGTATAAACAAAATCATAAATCTCGTTAATTATTTTTTTTGCTTCACTCAATTCAGTGATTTCATCTAAATTATAATTTAATAACACATCTTGAATATACTTATTGCTTTCTATTTTCCAATCATTATAAGAATGCAAAGAATTCAAATGTATTAAATCGTGAGCTAACTTCTCATATGTTGGTACAGAGCTTAAACCACTTGGATTTATGTTTAAAATGTAATTTGAAAGTACATTTTGTGATGTCTTGAATGTATGTAGAAGTGCATTTTCGCTAATGAAATTGGCAACTTTTGAGATGGTTTTCATTCTTGCAGTTTCTTTAATTACTTCCTCGTTTAATAAATTGCTAATATCTCGTTGTCTTAAGTGCTGCCATAAATCTTTCGACATTTCTTTATTTCTGAGATGAACAATTAAAATTTTATCAGATAAAATAAAAAAAGAATCCGTTACTGTAAATAACACGTCGCTGAATGTGATGTAATTTCCTTTAAATTCGTCATGAAAATGAGTTAAATCCACAAATCCACAATATGAAGAATCAATCGTTAAGTAATATCGAACTTCTACTTCCAAAGATTGTCTTATCTTATCAATCACAAATGGACCGGGTGGTTTATTTTCTAATAGAGTAATGTCATTAAAGAAGAAAGTATTTCCTCTCAATTGTCTTAAAACATCTTTGTTAAAATGTCCGTATACAATTTGAGTGTACCACAAATTAATTTCTGCTTTTTGTGAAAGTCCTGTCTCCAATTGAAGGAGGGCCAATTTGTTAATAGTAGTGCGTAGGAAATTTAGTTCCACATTGTTTGTCTTTATAAAAGCTAAACCATAATTCTTCAACATCCTTAAAATTTCCACCTCTTTTGTGTATATTGGATATCTTATGATATTGTTATTAATTGTTGAATCTACATTTTTTACAAATTGTCTCGATGTACCCGGAATATCATCAACATCTACTTTTCTAATCTTTTCCGGAACTGCATCAAACTTTTTGTGACGATATTGTACCTGAGTTACTGATCCATCTTCTACGAGTAGAATTTTTTTCATTTCTGGAATATCTAATTTAAGAAATGATGGTGTATTAACAAAATATTTCTTATTCATAGAGTATAATGGATCAAGGGATTGTGAATAGTCGTGTTCTTTTCTTGCAATTCCTGTTGATGTTCCCGGAAGTTCGGAATTTGTTACTTGAGGAAATTTATTTCCTGTGTTTTCTTCCATAGTAATTGGAGATTTAGAGTTAGGTAAGTTCTCTTGAATATGAGAATTGGTGTGCTGTTCCATTATATTTTCTCGTGTATTCGCGGGATTCTGAAGTGATTCCTGATTGGGTTCTTCAATAGGTTGATGAAAAATTTCGGTCTGCTCCTTCGCAGGTACTTTGTTCCATTTTATTTCATGATGAAAGACATGATAATTGTGTAACAGATTTATTTTCTGTCCACCGATAACCAATTCGTTTAACAGTTCCCCTAATCGATGTAAAACGTCGTTGTTTCCCTTTTGAAATTCGATATCTGTTATTTTACCAGTTTCCGGAATGTATTGTTTGTAAGAAAATGCTCCATTTGATTTAACTGGCACAACTGGAATTTGGAATGAATATCCTTCAATGCTTCTTAATTCGGCGGTTTTTCCAAACGATTGAACACAGGCAGGTCCAAATAATTGTGATCCACCGGGATAGAAGTACCTAACAAGGTTGTAACCATTATGCTCTGCTAGAACCAGTGGTAGTAATCCCATCTGATCAGGAACGTTTAAATTTTGTTTTACATTTGTTATTAATGATTTTATAAATGCTACTGTGCTTTTAACTGCGGGAATGTTCTTAAAATTGGAAATCATGTTTCGAAATAGGTTGCGAAGTGCTTGAAACCCAAAGCGACTAACTTGGTAAGACAATTCAAATCCAGGATCCACTGTTCGAATAGACGCTACAGCTAAATCTTTCAAGAGTCTTTTAGTGAGAATTTCAGTTGCGATTGTTCGAGCAGCAGTTCTTGAAATTTCATTCAACGCTGTTGTTATCGGCAATTTGTTAATAATTCCTGCTCTTACAAGAGTATTAGTGATTAAGTACTTTTTACCAATTTCTACCGTTAAGCTACTGCTTAGTGTAGCTGTATATTTTGCTGCAAAACCCACAAGTGGAATCAGACTAAGAACATCCATAGAACAAATAAATGTCGCTCCTACCACGTTGCCTGCTTTTGCACTTTCAATACACTTGTAAAATGGAATAAGAGATTTCACGTAGTTCAGAAATTTTTCCCCAAGCGTTTCATCGTAATAGTACATTTTAAGGCTTTTAAGAAACTGTGTTGTTTTTATATCCGCAACCCTTTCTATAAATATTCCATAATCTTCATTCCTATATTTAAGAGCTTTCGAAAATATTTCATTTTCCATCTGTAAGGAAGAATCATTAGCAATTGCTCTAGAAAACTCTTGTTCGTTTCCACTGTTTGTAAGTAAGGTCAGAGTATTATTCTCTTGTCTAAGTGCATAAAAATCATTTTCCCCTTCTTTTTTTATTGCGAACAAAAGATAAATATTGCTGTTTGTCCTTCGGTCCATAGGTGGACAATACATGCAATGCATTGGATAGGTAGGAACTCGTGCGAGCATAACAGAATTGAAATTCATTTTTTCTACCATTTTTCCATCCACTAAGACTTTTTCAATTGCATTTTTTTCAATTGCATTGTACGTCTCCCTAACGTCTATAAACTGATCTTCGTATACTTTTTCCAAATCAGGAAGATCACCAATTAGACAATGATCTGGAAGAATAAGAATCGTTAGCCAAAGGTAGAAAGTCATATACGCTTGCACATAAACTACAGGTACTTGTGCATAATTCTCATAATCACAATAAAATCTAAGTATTTCCGTGGCACGAAACGTTCGACTTTTTAGAGCACTGATTTTCTTCTCCAATTTGTAATGCAAACTATTTTTAATATCTTCCTGTACAATTTTTTTCACAGTAAAACTGATATGTGAAAATAGATTTTCATAAGCTTCATTCCAAAATCCATCATTTAGAGTATAATCTATTTCTCGAAATTTAACTTTTTGATTAAAGGCGTAGAAAAATAAAGCAGGAGTTGAGAATAATTTCAACACCATTTCATAGATTTCATTACTGAAATTGTGCAAATCAATTTCGCGGGAAATTAAAATATATTCCTGGAACGTAAGACTCACTGCGTCTGCTGATACAGATCTGATTATTTTTAAACCTACCATTGCGTATATATAATTCACTTCAATTATACTCATATCTTGTTCAGGTTGGGGAAAAATTGTCCAAATGTGATCTTGAAAAACTTTTTTAATTGTCAATGGTGTAAGTTTCAAACTGTAATTTTTTGCCAAACAGTATTCCCTACTTGTGTAATTTTCCGAGAGATGTTGAAACACATTCTCCTTGAGATATGAGTAATTTGTATTATTTCCCCTGTTAATTATTTTTGCCAAGTATCCATTAATGTTGCCATAGTGAGAAAACAATGTTGTGCTAATGATGTACTGATATGTTTCGTTTACGTATTTCATGTCAAGTGTTTCATTTCCTTGTCCACCATATAGATCACTTCCTTTCAATATAGTTTTTAGAAGCTGATGTTTTGCCTCAGTTTCATTTTTCGATTTATTGATATATTCAAAGAAAGTATTTAGAACAGGAACAGTCTGATTTCGCTCTTCAAGTGTAATTAAATCATTGTTGTAAAAATATATGCCGAGAATAGTAATGTAGTGACAAGCGGAAAGAAACTGAAAGTCTGATGACTGTTGATTAAAAATTGATGTGTTGTTCATTGAAAATTCGTGCATATTATTTGCTGTTTAATTTAACTTCTATTGACCCTTCGAATCTGAAATTGATAATTAGGCCAGTCAATAAAGACAAAAAGTGCCATTAAATGTAGACAGGCAGTTCTAAATGGATTTCGGTAGTTTAAGGGGGTAGTTTGCTCTCGATTTCCGGTTGCAGAAATTATTATTATTAATATATCCCAACTTTAACCATTGTTTATAATAATTTTTGCAACCGGAAATCGAGAGCAAACTATGGGGCCTTTAAACTACCGAAATCCATTTAGAACTGCCTGTTTACATTTAATGGCACTTTTTGTCTTTATTGCCTGGCCTAAATCGTCTTTTGTTTTTAGAAAAATGAGAATATTAACTTTTTTAAAAAAAATTATTTTTTGCAACACTAACCTCTAAAGTTAAATTTTACACACCGAAAAGTGTGTGTAAAGGAGCTCTTTTTAAAACGGTGTGTAAAGTGATTCACTTTACGCACTGCGAAATTTACTTTAGGCACCAAAATTTTTCTCACATAATATAAGGATTGTTTTAGACCATACAAAACCACAAAATTAAAAAAAAACTTTACTTTTAAATTTATACACTACTGCCTAATGATATTTTTCCTGATCTTCGATTGATTTATTTATACTTACTACTTACCTTACTTTTATATCTTCTTTTTGTAGGTTCAGTTGTTCGTTGATTTAATTTTACAGCGTTTATTGACATCTTAAAATCACATATATATTATGTTCCGTACACGTGTATTAAATAGTATTCTAAAATTATTAATTTTTAATGTAAATTTATCTCAGATAACAGTAGACACTTAATAAAATTTTTAATATTATAATGAATACATTAAATGACGAACAAATTTATTAAACAAATATTTAGGAAGCAAATAAAAATTTGCATTTTAATGAAGTTAATTTTTAAGATTGAATTTATTATGGTGAAAAAAATTCTTAATAGATTTGATTAGTTTTCTTAACTATTCTGCGTAATTTTATAGATTCTCAACTTAATTTAATGCGATGTTTCTATATAGAAGAAATCTTTTCATTGCAAAGGATTAGAGTTTCATTTCGTATAATTTTGATTAAAATTTTATTCAAATGTTCGAAAAAGATTGATGGAAATTTTTATTTTGTATTGAAAGTGATAGAAATGTCCGTATTTGATTAATTTTAATGCAAACTTTAATATTTCTGTGATATAGATATATACCTAATAAATTTAGGGAGACTGGGTATAGATCCCGCGGGTTCGCTGTGCAGAAATGAATAACATAAGAAACTGTCAGGAGAAAAAATTTAGCTGCAAGTGATTCTATTGTTTGACACAAATGACAAACAGGCTAACATTGCTATAGGGTCAAAAAAATATTTTTATTTGAATTAAATAAAAAATTTTGTTGATACGAAAATAATTATTTTTGAATGAAAGATAATTTGTTTGAAACAAATAAATTTTCTGTATATCTTATATCTTCTTCAATATAATAATATATAAAAAAAATAATTTATAGTGGTAATTAATAATGTATCATTATATTAAAAAACTTCTTCAAACGCAAAAAATGTATAAACTTTGTAGAATAGCTACATACGTTGTCATGTTAATATTGATTAAATAATGAAAATTATATGTGGAGTTAACAGCAAGAAGTTCGGTTAAATTTAAGTCTTATAAGTCGATAAATAACCAGACGATTGGTAAAATTATAGAAATTGTTTAAATGATTCCGACCAGTATTTCAAAGAAGCAGAATATATGTGTATAGTTTGGATGACAATAAAAAAACTCCAGTGCCAATCACTGAAAATAAGCAAAAACTCAAAATTTTATAAATAACATATATTCTTTTTTATGGAAAAATCAGGATTCATCTGTTAAATAATTAGATTTTCTTATTATTAAAAATTTTAATAATATTATTGTTAAACATTTTTATTAAATTAATTAACAAATAGGGTTAATTAAATGTCAAAAAGAATATTGAATCTTAACTATTTTCACAGTATTTACAAATAACAATTGTTAAAAATTCATTTTATATTTTTAAAAATATTGCAAAATTGTATCTAATGCTGAATACAAATATTTGCTAACGTCAAATATTTAAAAAAAATAATATGCGAAGCAGATTTCACGAATTAATCGTATAAAATTCAAAATATTAATTTCATATACAAAAAGGTAACAGTTACTTTCTAATATTAGATTCTTAAAATTATCGTAAAAATATTGTTCATATTTATAACATCTGTTAAATATTCTATAATATTATTTACAATATTGCAAAATTATATTTTGTGATTTAAAAAATGACGTTTCATATATCTATGAAAAATAAGAATACAATAAATTGTGTGAAAAAGTGTAACCTCAACATGATATAATATAATGTCGTTCTGCCATTTTCACAGACCTTAACTAATTAAAAAAAAAATAAAAAATAAAAAACCCACGAGTAGCCATAAAAATGGCTACTCGTGGGTTTCAGGTCCGCTAATTACAAATTCAATGTCCCCAAGTAATAAGTTTCAAGTAAATCTATAATGAAATTGGACATTGGATGCACAATGCGTGATCCCTAAAACCTCCCCAAGTAGCCATTTTTATGATCGTATCTCGATTTTTAAAATTTTTCTCCACCATATTGGATCCACCACAATCTATACAATTGAATCAATTCTCCAAAAAAATTAATAAAATAGAAATTTTTTTTCTCTAAAGGTATTTTGTAATAAGACGAGAAAATGACTTCAGCTGTTCCTCAGATAATTACATCAGAAAAATTTAAGTACTACAAAAATGTTGGCAAAGTTGTCTCTAGTAAAGAAATTCACTTACAACAACAGTTAGAGGAAAAAGAAAGAAACAATATGATACTTGAAAGTATGAAAAGGCAGTCGAAAATGAATAAAATAGACTCTAAGAGAATAAATACAAACAATGACAAACTAAATGATGTTCTATCGGAAGCTAGACAACGCTCCATGCACATTTTACAAAGAGCCAGCAAACTTAAAATGGAACAAGAAGAAGAAATTCAAAAGTGTTCTAGACTTATATTAGAAATGAAATGTAGAGCTGTAAGAGATGCACAAGTAAGTTTAGTAAATTTTATTTATGGATCGACAAATATCAATGGTAGTTTAAAATTTTCATATTACATAATTGTATCGCTTTAAGAAATTTTTGTATTCTATTTATTAATTTAATAGAAATTAAATTAAGCTTTATTCTATCAAACTTCTTCAAATCACATACCTCAGAAGTTGAAATTTGTTAAGAGGCATTTATAATATTTCCTTTTTAAGATTGCTGAAAAGAATATTATCAATGAAGAACTTAAAATGGAAGCGCAAAACATTAATGATATGATGGAAAATGAAAGAAGATTAGCAATTAAGTCTGAAATTGAAAATAAGAGAAAAGAATATGAAAAGAAACGACACTATGCTGAAGCGTTAAAGACCCAAATATTGGAAAATGATGAAAAGCGTCAACTAGAAATTCAAAGAAAGCAAGAAGAAAATAGAATGAACAATTATATAAGAATTATGAATGAAAAAGCAGACATTTCTAAACTTAAAGCTCAAGGGATTGAAAATGCAAACATTAGAAAGAATTTGTCTGAAACGAACGATCAGTTAAAGCATTTTAAAAATGTTGAGACAGAAGAAAATAGAATAATGGAAGCTAGGTAAATTTATGTCAAATTGTTAAGCATTAGTAAAGTAAGGCAGTAAGTTCGAAAACTAGATAATTTTTTCCCAATTTACTCAACAAAAATATTTATCAATGACATGTTAATATTTATTTCAGGATACAAGAATATCATCGAATGAAACAACAACGTGATAAGGAAAATGTTCTTAAATTAAATTTATTAAGGTATCAAAGAGAGAAGAAAAAAGAAAAAGTTGCACTTGAAGTTCAAAACGTTTGCAAAATTAAGGTAACGACTTTTTGTATAATCTTAAGCTGTTGGAAAAATCTATAGTAATTATTCTCTTTTAAGATTATGAGGATAATTTCAATATTCATATTGGCTCAAAACGTATCTAAAAAATTAAATTTGTACCCTAGTTTTTTAATAAAACTATTTACAAACATTAAGTTAATCAAATTTTCATAAAAGTTTTAGGGAAATCTGAATTGGGAATCTGAAACTAAACAAGTTAAAATTGTGTGTACTCTGTCGTCAACAATTAAAATAAACGGATTTTTGTTTCAGGATGTACAACAAGAAATAACTGCTTTAAGAATACAAGAAAAAGTTGAAAAACAATGGAAGTTAAAAGAAAAAGAAGAAGCTTTTGAAGCTGCAAAAAATAAAGTTATTCTGAAATTGGCACGAGATGAACAAATTAAAGATAAACAAATCATGTTGGCTTTAGAAATAAAAAGGGATAAAGAACAACTGGATAAATTCGCTACAATTCAAAGTCAGACTATTAATAATGATTTAAAAGAGATGAGTAAAAAACATCAAGAGGCTATTTATTATCGAAATGAAATTTTAAAACAGGTACATTCTGATAAAAAGATACTACTTTTTATTTTATTATTTTATTCTTGAAAATAAAAAAGCGCCGATATTCAACTCAAAACCATAAGATGAATAAAATCAAAGAGTTGACCTCTTATTTAGAATGTTCCTCATATATAATATTCAATTTCTATTACTATAAGTAATTTATTTTAACAGATTAGTGAAAAAGAAAATGAGCGTAAATTAGAGAAGCAACAAAAAATTCATGAAGGTCTCGTTAAAAGAAAGGAAATGGAATCCTTTAAGCGTCAAATTGATGCAACGATACGTCAAAAATTTGCTGAAATGGAAGAGAACCCAGTACCAGGAAATAACGTCAAAAAAATCATCGATACAGTGGATAAATAAAAGATGAAAGCTTCCTTAAACTATACTTGTACACCTACCTTCAAAAGTTGTAAATTGTAAATTTCTCAATCACAATGCTTTTCACAGACTTTTTGATCAAAACATTTATTTCTTTGAATTACATGACGAGAACGAATGAAAATGTATTACTGAACTATAATAAATCTTTTTTCTGGTACCTAAAATTTGCAGTAATCATTACTGAAATGTGCAGATCTAACTAATTAGGAATACGATGTCATATTTTCAAAATTCAAAATGACGGATCCAATATGTTTGACCAATTATCAAAAAATATTCGAATTTTTATTAATGTAGATATATCTAGGGGTTTTTGGGATGGCTGATTATATATTCTTTGTCAGTTTTTCAAAATTCAAAATGGCGGATCTGATATAGTAGAAAAAAAAAATTTAACCCTTTTGCGTATAAAGCCGAATATGCCCTCCAATAGAATTGTTATAAAAGTATCGCTCCATATAAAAATTTATTAATCAGTAATTTCTGAGAATATAATGAAATTGAAATTGACTGTATTTTAGCAATAAAAATGCATTAATTGTATTATTAATTTAGTTAATAAAATAAAATTATTGATTGAAATATATAATAATAATAAATAATAAGTGTGTTTATAATTAGATGAAATAACCAAACATTCCAGTGAAATAAATAAATTGTAATTTTTTTCAGAGTGCTTATTCGGAGACGCGCATTTGACTTGTATTTTCTTTCGGGAAGGTGAAGTTATAACGATACTGATTCGAAATAAAGCAATTTGCAGTAGCTCAAATATATGTATGTAAGGTCGCTATTTTCGGGAAGCTCGTTCTAAACATGGTCATATATGCGTTGGCGTTTTACCGGGCATATATCCCTGCTCAAATGCCAATCTGTGGAAGGGGAATTTCATGTAAAATATACTTAGGCAATTTCAACTCTAAATTTTAGACAGTAGGTTTATTGCTATCTTCTCGTACAATTCTTCTTAACATTACTTAAACAACTATGGTAAGTGTAATTGCAAATCCTCCCCAAAAAAAACACATTAACAGGACATCATGACAGTACCAATGCAGGCTACTGATTATTCCTTTCCTTATCGTGATACTTAAAAAAATATTTTGCGAATTTATAATTAAAAATTCTTCTATCAGGATACTCTTAAATAAATACTATGAAAAGAGTTTCTGATATATATTTGAGGATATAAAACAACAAACTAAAAATATTGTTACTTAAAATATACTTACATTGTTTATTAATTGTAATTAATACTGTAGTAAAAATTTTTTTTATCATAAAATTAGTATTAGTAACAATTAGTATATAGCATTAGTCACAAGTATACATGTAGAAAAAATTAATAAATTTTAAAAATAATTGTACAATGAGAATATTGGTAGTTAATGAAAGAAAAAATACATTAGTGACATTAGCATTCCATAAGGATGCATACACATTAGGTTTAATACACATCCTATAAGAAGGTTAAAATAGACCGCACAATTAAAAAAAAATAATTCTTCGTAATAAAAGTATTATCTTTTAATTCTACGTATAGAACAGAAATTAGTATAAAATTGTTTTCAAAGCAGTTCGAGAAAAAAAGAATAAACAGCTAAATGTATACTATTTCTTATTGCATTCGGATATTAAGGATATTCTACAAACCTAGGATATCCAAGGGATATCCGGAGACTTAAAAATTAACATATTTACAGAATCTTCCGGGGATATCCTTGGTTATCTTATGGACATATTGAAGGCATCCTAATTTCTGAAAGGCACTAGATATCCTTAGAACGTCAGTAGGATATCCTAAAATATCCGTTGCTGTGAATGGGATACTCAAAGTATTCTGTGGACGTCCTAGAGATATCATTTTGTCCGGGGAAATTAGGATAACCCTAAGATTTCCCGAACCAAATGATATTTCAAGGATGTCCATTGCTATGGGAGTTACATCACTGGATATTTTAGGATATCCTAAAATATTCGTCGGATTCCAAAATTTAGATAATTTTATTTGGGGAAATTTGGATATTCTTAGGATTTCCTTAAGACATCTTAGGGATATCCTAATGTTTTCGGACGAAATTATATCCCTAGGACGTACATAAGATATCCTCAAATATTCGTTACTGTGAGGGTAGTGGAGAGAAATGAAAAAATAGGATTTAAATTAACTTTTAGATTACAATTTTTTATCATAGTCGAAAATTTGTTGTTTTCTCCTAATTTTATTTTTCTAATTATATATTCCTAATAACAATTTTTCCTAATAGAAACTTTTTCATAAAAAAATTTCCCAATTGGATTTTTCTAATTGCATTTTCCAAATTTTCTTTTCCTATAAAGTATATTTTTTCCCAATTCCACAATGGCATAATTAGCAATTGTTTTTCATTTGAAAAATTTAGTGTGGTTAACTTAATTTACTTGGCAAAATCAATTCTAATATCTACATATACATATATGTGTCTTGTGTTATGACCTGAAGGGTCATAACATATTTTTAAAATTTAATAAAAATCTTTGTTTTATATTTACAAGTGGAAGACTTGAGTTAAGAGAACAGGATTAAAAGAAAAGGTTCACTGAACAATACTATTAAATTATTTTTTATTTAATGAGTACAAATTTTGGAGGTTGAGGTTAAAGGTAGAATCAATCAAAAGTTTAAATCCTTGATTACTGTTGACTGAAACAATGATTTGTGACCTGCAAATGTTGTTTCGAGGCAGTAGCCTCAGAAATGTAAAACAGCAGATCCTTGGATGCAGCAGAAGTGTTGCGTAAGCTTGAGTGGTGCCTTTTACCCGTAATAGCCGCTTCCAGTAATAATTCGAAAATTTTCGGGAAATAAGTGCTCCTTGAGGATTTAATTTGCATATTACAAAACGAGCGTTTGGAAAGATGGCACTTTCTGACATGATAAATGCTACACTGAACGAGACAGTCTATTTGTAAATTTGTATTTTTCTTGGCACATGATTTTCATAATTAACTGCATATTATAATAGATAACGTCATAATGTGAAAAAATAAACTATAATTTTTTATGAATTACACCACCAATAATTCTGAGAAGAGAAAATCGACTTAAAGTTCAACTAATTTCATTTTTTTAAGTATTTCCACAAATACTTAAAATTAGTTAATCCATCACAAAGCCATTTGATATATTTTAAAAATAAAATATAATATACTTCTCTAGAACTGTTTTATATTTTTTAATTCAAAAAAACTGTTTTGAACTTGTAGAAGGTTTTGTACTAAATATATTTTTGTAGTTATAATTAATGCTTATTTTTGTAATTAATAGACTTAATGGTTATACAGATTCATTTTTTCCTTTGATAATAATATAATTAAATTTATTTTTTTATTGTATAAATTTATACTGAACTCTAACTTTTATAACGTCGGTGAAGTTCACAACGTTTTTGATCAACGATTGAGAAGAGAAAATATTTTTCTATGCAAACTGTTTATTTATTTATCAAAAAATTTTTTTTGCAACGTTTCTTGATCAATAATTTTTTGAAAAAAAATTGTAGGCAAAAAATTAGTTATTATTTTTTGAGTGAAAAATATTTTTTTTCGCAAACTTCACCAACGTCTTTTATAGCGCCAACCTAGATTTAGTTAATATTTCATATTTTGTATTGTTACTTACGTAACTATTAAAATTTAGGAGTACATTTGAACGAAAGGGCTTGTCCCGCTAATAAATAAATAATAATACCTAAGTTAAAATTACAATTATAAAATTTATAAATAATCTTTATCACTTGAAAATATAATATTATAGAAATCATGAAATTTTGAATCAATGCAGATTATTTATATATTTATGTGAAAATGAAATGTTTTTGGCTAAAGAAAATTTGACTTGACCTAAGCCAAGCGTGGGTGGAATATGGACGATAGTATTATGGATGTGATGCAAGTAAATAAATGACTTGGACTACATACTTGGAACAAGACCAAACTTCAGATGGATCAGAAAATGTTGTGCTAAATGAAACCAATCTATTTCTTAATTTGACAAAATAGTTTCTTATTACTTTAAAATAGAAATGTTTTTAGTTGCGTACATATTAAATAAAAGTAATAAAAATATTTTACAAAAAATAATTTATTTTGACTTATCGAAAAAAAATCAAATTCTAAAAGAATATTTTTTAAAAAAGTTCTTTTAGAACGTGACCAATTATTTGTTTTTAAGTCGCGGGAAGTTTTTTTTTTTAAATTCAACGAATGCATTTGAAGGTTTTTGGGGTCGCAGATAACAAATTTTTTTAATTTTTTAATCGAATCTAAAATTCTTAAAATTTTAAAAACTGAAATTTATCGATTTGTGCTGGAAATATATTTGTTATTTTATTAAAAGGCGGATAAGGAGAAGAAAAAAAAACCAAAAAAGAAGGAGGAAGCGCCCGCAGCTGAGGCAAAAGCAGAGCCTGATGCAGCACCAGCCCCAGCAGCTGCCCCCGCGCCAGAACCTGAACCAGCAACGAAATCTCCATCAGAATCTAATAGAGCTAGCCGTGGCAGTAAACGAACAAAACGATCTGGCTCAAATGTATTTTCTATGTTCTCGCAGAAACAAGTGGCGGAATTTAAAGAGGTATAATTTAAAGATTATTAAAAAAAATGTTCACATAGCACACTAAAATCCTGGATATCCTGTGGACATCCTAGGATTTAAAAAACGAAAAAAATTAGATTTTAAAAAAAATTTATGGGGTCCGAAACATAAAAATCGCTTTGTATAATATCTCATAAGTTTTTATCAAATACTAATTTTATATAAATTTTCATTCATGTTTGTTTTAATTTTCCTTGAACAGAAATTTTGATATATAAATCCTTATGAAAAATAATTACTGAAATAATTATTTATAACTACTGGGATAAATTACTGCAAAAAAACCAATGGAATAATTACTAGAGCATCCGCAGTAATTTTTTCGCCATACATTTGATAAAAATTTACTTGTGCACTAAGTTTCTATATGTGCAAAAGTTTTTTGTTGTAAATTAAATGGTTAGGAATAAAATTAACAAAAAAATATGATTCCATTGAAATTAAAAATTTTGTTGTTGTACTAAAAAATACATATCACGAAAAAATTACTGGAGTTTCTAGTAATTAATTCAGTGGTTTTTGCAATAATTATTCCGCAGTAATTATTTTTTTTTATAAGGGAAGTTTTAACTTTAGCAACAAATCGAATTTGATTCATTTGAATCTCTTTCCTAAATCTTAATTGTTAAAAGTGGAACACAAATTTAATTTAATTTAATTTCCAAATAGTTATTTGATTAACACTTTTATATGTTATTGATACGACTTACTCGCTGTGGATATCCAAAGTCGTTAATTGATGATGTCCATATGATCTTCAATTAGTACGATGTTCATCAGATTCATTCCTTCGTGCGTATTCATCCACCAAGTGGATATAGAACACTCGCACTATATAACTGTCGAAACACTTGACTTTTAATTAATCGCGACACGATAGGTACATACTTAATTTTCAAAATTATCGAACTGAACTTTTATCACGTTCCTATTGTTTCTTTCAAAGGTTACTGAATTACCGGCTTTTTCGTTCCTCTTCGTTTGCTTCGATTTATTTCCCTTTGCAAATTTACCCGTCTCCCTCCATTAAAAGATTTCAGCCTTGCGAATTGCTACGGTCCGTATCAATAGTTAATCTCATAGATCAACTGAACTTTCATGTAAAAATTAAAAATTCGAATCTTTAAATATAAATTACCTCCTTGAAGGAGGCTGTAAAAAATATGAAAATTATTGTGCTATTTATTGAGTCCAACAAAATGTTTTTATTTTTATAGGGTTTCAGTATGATGGATCATGACAAAGATGGAATAATTTCTAAGAGTGATTTACGCCATACTTACGATCAAGTCGGACGTTTATGTAATGAAAAAGAGTTAGATGAAATGATTGGAGAAGCGTCTGGTCCTATCAACTTTACACAACTACTTAATCTTTTTGCAACTCGCATGTCTGGATCTGGAGGTACTTTTAGTAAAAGATTCTAAACAATTAAGTTGATTATCAAAGTGACTTTTTCGAATAATTAATATAATTATTAATAATATCTTATAAAGAATATAAACATTCCATAGAAAAAATTAATTAATTAATAAAAATTTAAATAATTTAAGGTGCTGATGATGATGACGTTGTAATGCAAGCGTTTAAAAGTTTTGATGACGGCAATGGAAAAATTGACGCACAAAGGTACATTTAATTTTTATTTTAGTATAAACATTGCTTAACTCTAAATCAAGGGTTTCTATACTTTTGGTTAGAATTGATATAAAATTAAAACAATATTAAAATATTTTCAGCTATACAATTAAGTAAAAATTCGATTCGCTCATTACAAGATAATTTATTATATATCTATGAGTTTTATTAAATAAATAATTAACTGAATAATGAACAATAAAAAATAGTTACAAAAGCAGTTCCAAGAACTTACAGTGTTTATATTATAGAAAAGTTTTTATTTTAATTATTTTTAAATTATTTACTTTTCTAGCAATGATATAACTCTCTTTTCTTTTGTAATTTAAAAAACTCTCACTATTTATTTTAATTACATTACTTCTTTTAAAATTAAAATGAAAGAAGAATATTTTTAAAATTTATGAAATTAAATATACCTATCACTGTAAAAATTATTAAAGGAATTTTCCCTGTTTGAAAGAGGGAACGATTATTTCCCACTTTTAATGTGTCACTTTTACATAAACAAGTGATTGTACCATATTAAAAATGGCAATATTCCTTGGTTTGATAAAAGAAAAATTCCCATCTTCTGGATATTTGACATTTTCAACATGGTAAGGTTCCGTTTCGGTAATGGAATTTTCCCATCTGCTGTAATTTCGCCATCATTAATCATTTTACCTCATTGAATGTGGGAACGATTATTACCCTCTTTAAAAGAAACAAATTTACCGTCAAAGAAAGGAAATTTACCGCAGATTTGAAAATCCCAATACTCAAAATATCAAAATTACAATATTTAGTATTTCCCCACATTAAAAGTAGTATTATTACTAGAGATTTTAAAAGGAAAATTGCCGTCGCTGGAAAAATTTTTTTTTTTACTTTTAGCTGCTAATTTTCAAATTCTTTTACTTTCAGATTAAAGAAAGCTCTCATGACTTTCGGAGATAAATTTACTCAAAAGGAAATAAATGATGCATATGATCTAATGGATATTGATGACAACGGAAAGATAGACACCGAAAGTCTTATTAACATGCTGCTGGGTACAGGTGAAGAAGAAGAGTCATAATGACTACATATTTCTACAAAAAATTATAAATTTTTTTATTTATATATTTTTATGATCAAGAATTTACTTGAAAAAGTATTGAAATAATTTTAAATCTTTTGAAAAAAATGTCAACATCATTTTTTAAACATTCAATAATAATGAACAAATATATAAATGTAAATATGTTACTGCATTGATGTAAAATAAAATTTCAATGACAATAGTATTATTATTTATATCTTTCAAAATTTTTGTTGCCTAATCTAATTCACTATTAAACTTTACCGAAACAACGGAAATCTAATATTGAGAATAAAATATACTTAAAAAAATATTCTTGTTCTCTAACGAAATGCATGCGTTATAGAAAAGGACAGAGATATATAGTTACAAGATAAGTCGGATCAATCTCGTAAACATGAGAGGAAGACAAATATATTCTCTATCCTTTTCTACCTTATGTTAAATTTTCGATTTACGTTTTATACGAAAAAAAGTTGTAGAAGCAGCTTTATTATTATGGAGCCCATCCCTGGTCATTTTCAATCCTTGTCAACTCTGGACCTGTCACTTTATCAAAACAACATAAAGAGTAAAGACGTTTCTGTCTTCTTGATAAAAATTATAAAATAAAACAAGGAAGTTAATAATTGTACGAATTTTGATTCGATCTGCTCAGTTACTTGCTCAATCAAATAAAAATTACAAGTTCCAGAAGAGGAAATATTGTTTTATTATTTAATATATTACAAAAAATTTATTGTTTACATTTTGTGAAAAGAAAAAATTATTATTCCTCAGAAGAAAAATAATTGTAAGTATAACAAATTAAAATGATCGAACTGTATGATTTTAAATTTAAAGAAAAATTACGTTACGTATAAAATAGATCTGTCCACAGGTCATGGATAAAATTTTATTAGATGATAAAAAGTGTGTCAATAATAAAAATATTACATCATTATTTATAATAAATATACCTGTTAAAACTTAACCTTAAAAACGTGTACTATAATTTTTGATTTGCAGTTATATACATACATACGAAACTTTAACTATTAAATGTATTGTCTATGTTTAAAAAAACATTTTACAAAATTTGCAACTAAAAAAAAAATGTTTTCAACAGATGTTCTTGAGTTAGTGAGTTGCTGTAAAAATAATTAGAGAGAGCACACACAAATAAGAATTATGTCGTTGGATATATGTTCATCTTTAATTAACTGCTGTCGTTTGGGTGATGAAGAAGACGTTAAACATATTATTACTCACTATAAATTTTCCGATTATCCAGAATTATTAGAGGGATATGTATTAATTTGCGAAGCTTTAAATAATGACAATATGCAAGTTGTAAAATTGCTTCTACAAAATGGTGCAAATGTAAATGTTACTCGAAATTCAACTGAGAATAGTCCTCTTCATCTAGCAATTATAAAAAATAATATAGAAATACTTCAACTTTTATTGGAAAAAAATGTTCGTCTTAATGTTGTAAATAAAGAAAAGAAAACTCCTCTACACATTGCAATTGATCAACAAAATGAAGAATTTGTCAAATTATTATTAGATAAAGGTGCCGACACTGAATTTAAAGATAAATTTAATTACACACCTCTTCATATGGCAATAAAAAATGGAAATTTAAAAATTATTCAACATTTAATTAATCATAAAGCGGATATAAATTCATTTCGTGAAAACGAGACAGCATTACATTTTGCTGTTAAGAATAATCGTAGTGATATTGTAAAATTACTATTAAAAAATGATGTAATTAAAATAAATTCAACTTCGTATTATTCACTTCTCTTCCTTGCCGTTTCGCAATGTAATCATAAAATACTACTTCTTCTTTTGGAACATCAAAATGAAAATGAAAATGAAATGAATGTCGATGAAAAGATAAATTCAGAGAGTAATTTTAAAGTCTTATTACATAGGGCTGTAGTTGATGGTAATAGGGAAATAATTGCAGTGCTTGTAAAGTATAATTTTGACATAAATTCAAAAGATGAATTTGGACGAACACCAATGTATCACGCGTATACTCACAATAAATTGGATATTTGCAAATATTTATTAAAAAGTGGTTCATCTATTAATGAAAAAATTGATGAAAATTTAAATATTCTTCATGTGAGTGTTGAAAATAATGATGAAAAATTTGTGAAATTTCTATTAAAAAATGGAGCCGATGTTAATGCAATTACAATCAATGGTTGTACATCACTTCATATAGCTTGTAGAAATGGTTTTAAAAAAATTGTCAAATTATTACTAAAATATAAAAGCGACACTTCAATTATTGATAATAATGGTTTAACTTGTCTTCACGAGGCTGCAAAACAAGATGATGAAAAAATTCTCAGACATTTAATTCACGAAGGCGCGAATGTCAATGCAATCGATTATAATTATAAAACACCAATTTGTTACGCTGTCGAAAATCAAAATACAAACATAGTTCTATTTCTATTGGACAAAAATCCAAATGTATGTAATTATAATAATAAATTAGCTTTTTGTCTTGCTGTACTTGGTAATTCGGTAGAACATCGTAATATTGTTGAATTATTTTTAATACGCCGCTTTAAAATAGTATCGGAAAATTTTGACAAAATCCACATACCAGAACCACTGTACACACAATTTTCCAAAGAATATAGAAAAGCAAAATACAAAACAATGTTTGATGAACTCTTGAAACATAAAAAACCATCAATTAAAGGTTTTTTCGAATATCGAATTTTATGTTGTTCGATTGAAAAGGGATTTACTTTAATAATTCCTTATTTACTAAAACCGAATGCTAACGTAAATGTATTTTTGGAACAAAGTTTTACATTATTAGAAATTGCAATAAATAATTGTCAATATAAAATGATGAGGGAACTTTTGAAATTCGGGGCAGATTTAAATACAAAAGACATTCATGGCAATACATTGTTACACATTAGTGTTCTTAACGATTGTATGGATACTATTGAATTTCTATTAAAATCGCAAATTAATATTGAAGCTCGAAATAAAAATGGCGAGACGGCACTTCATCTTGCTTCACATCGAAAAGCAAATATTGTCCAATTAATTTTAGACGCTGGCGCTGATATCAATTCAAAAACTAGAACAATGGAGAGCACTGCTCTTCATATTGCCGTAAAAAATGGTAAGGAAAATTTGGTTAAACTCCTCTTGGAATATGATGCTATTGTAAATTTGAAAAACATTGTTAACGCAACACCACTTGATTTTGCGATAAATTGTAAAAACTATGAAATTATTCATGTTTTATTACAATATGGTGGGACATACAATACGAATTCTTGTTTCACAAGTGAAATTTCCGAAATACTAATGCAACATTCAATTAAAATGAAATTACTTGCTGTCGATGAATTTCAATCAGATAATAGTGAATATGTTCACAAGTGTATTGAAGAAATTAATAGAATGAGACATTGTCAATTGGAGGCAAAAATTTCATTATATGATTTATTAATTAAAAATGTCGCTCAAGTCGAATTGTACATGCGTAATGAACAAATTTTACTGTTTGATTTCAGTGATTTTAAAGATTTATATCCAATTTATTTTGATATTTTAAATGTTCAAATCAATAAAGCAAAGAGAAGGAATATGTTAATAAAATTAGCGAGTAACTCTTTGGAAAATATATTGGATATAAAAATACCATACTTGGTTGTTGAAAATATCTTTTTCTATATTAGCAATTTAGATTTGAGAAATTTAATTTATGCATCGAATAATTGTAATTAAAAAAATATAGTTTCCCTTGAAATTGTATACGCGTTTTGTATTTTTCTAAAACTGAAGAAATAAAGTCATTTAAATTTCTTGTTTTTTCGAATGTAATTAAATTTTTCAACAAATGTAATGAATTCAATGATTGAATTAAAAATTAATTAAAATTTCTTCTTTACTATCTTTATTGTACATTTATTACTATTTAAATACCTATATTAAGTCAAAATTATTAAAAAATTAATGGTAAAATGACATACATGTAAATTAATAACATGAACGAAACTGCGAATATATACTGACCAAAATATAATTGAGTGATTATTTACATGACTATAAAGTGTGATTCACGTCAAAGAGTTTATTTATTAAAAGTATTATTAATAGAAATTTGTCTTATCGAAAGAATATTCGACACTCGGTGCCAGTGAAAATCCATCGCTTGCTCAAAACAAAGGAGGTATAAAAGCACCTTTATTTACAGAACGAAGATATGTTAAAAATGTATATGTTATGTTTTATTTTTGACATAAAATTATAAAAAATTTTGTTTGAAAAAATGTTTTTATAATTTGTAATAAATATTACAAAAAATATCTTTCAGGAAAAAATTCATAGAATTGTTAGAGTGAAGACATCTGTTGGTCACACACATTATTAATTATCTATTTAAATAACGTATGTATATCTTAGTTAAATAGTACTTCCGTGTATTTTTTTTGGGAGAAAAAAAATTTGTGAGAATTTCCATACATATTAAAATTAGTATTTAGAGATATAATAATCAGAAATAACAACACTGCAAAAAGAAGTATCTTATTTTAAGATGTTTTGGTAAGGTTTTCAAGACATCAAGACATTTTAATGTCTTAAAAACGCTACCAAAACATTTTAAAATAAGATTTTTTTGCAGTGAACCTGAAATACATTTTTTAAACCCATAAAATTTAATTATTTTCTATGTAGGATCGTTCATAGAAAATAATTAAATTTAATGGGTCTCATCTAACAATTATTATTGTGTACTTCCGATTGTTAATATGTCTATAATCACTTGACAGTTTACTCTTGCTTTACGGTGTGTAGATATTTGTATTATATAACTCGGAATTTCTGTCGGAACACAATTAGTATACATTTATCATTACAAGTTGAACGTTGATAAAAATATTTCAAGATGGTTAAACCACGTGTTCTCGTGATCAGTGATGACACACCTGCAGTTGGTTTAGATCTCCTTAGAACCAAGTGAGTTTGGGAAGCTTGAATATTCCCCATATTAGACATTTTCATATTAACAAAAATAGATAGAATAGAATTAATAGAATTAATGTTCATTAACTGAATTCTCATTTGATATAATTTCTATTTAACCAAATGTTTATTACAACTAATTTCCATTCAATTTAAATTCTACTTACAGGGAACTTTTAAGTGAGAGAATTTCTGTTTTCACCCTAGTGTAAAGAGTTTCAAATGGATTCAATCAATTTAATCTTAGACAATACAACTAGGATTGAAAACTATCCCCAAAAAATTCAAACTTTGGAATTTTCTGTAAATTTTGTGTTATTTGTAATTTTTTGACCATATTTTTGATTGTATCAAAGAAAAAAAACGCTACCTTCTTCCTTATAAAAAAATGAAGAAAATGACATAAAGTTAAGTTAAACTTGTTGCGCACTAACAATAAGTTTCTATAGCTCCTGTTGTACCAAAATAAATAACTAGGGTTTTTAGTAATTAACCAATATTATTTTATTTCCCCTTTTTCAGATGTGATTTAACAATTATCCCATCTTCTATTCCAACAAGGGAACAAGTTCTTAAAGCAATTCCTGGACATGATGGGATTTTTCTCGGTATTCATGCCGATATTAACAGCGAAATGCTTGATGCTGCTGGTAAAGCTGATGAAAAATATTTATTTATGTATCAAAAGCGCATATCTAGGGAAAGCGAGACTCAAACTGCGGGCGAATTTTTGTTCCAATGGTGTACAACTTGCAAGCGTAAAAAGGAGTACAATAAAAAAAAGTGTTGTGAAACTTGTTACTTCTGACGGATTTAACAGCAGAAGACAGGTCAATTTGATTAATTTTCAATCAAGTCCTGACGAAGAATACAAGTGGCTCTATTAACTATCAGGATATCGCAACTAAATATTTACATCTAGGACGACTAAAATCAAAAGAAGCAATTTATACTGCTGAAGAGTTCAAAATTTTTTTCACGTTTGATGCACCTTGTATTCTACAAAGTGATAATGGCCGAGAATTTGTTGCTTCTATAATAAAAGAATTGGTTTCTATTTGACCACACTACAAAATTGTTCACGAAAGACCACGACATCCAGAAACACAAGGCCAAAACAATTGGTGTTCACGTTTTAAATTAAAGTTAAAATATAATTCACGATGTCATCAACTTATTGTAACAGGCAACAAAATAATTGATTGAATTTTAAAATTATTTTAAATATTATCAAATAAATACAATTTAACATTTTTAGGGTTCCGTACTCGGTTCGGAACCCTATTAATATCGGTTTTTTTGAAATCGTGTACCCCCCCCCTAGCGGCCACATAAATTTATCTGGAGGGCTGAAAATTAGTACACATATGTATTTTCGCGTGTAGATTACAGGAAAATTATAGCGAACTTGATTGGAATTGATTAACATAGCGTTGTCAAGGAAAAACCATGAATTTTTACGAAAAATGCCTAAAAATGACTATGTACCCCCCCCCTAGCGGCCACATCTTTTGACATAAAGAGCTCAAATTTGACACACTTACGTATTTTTACGTGAAAATTACAGGAAAATTATAGCGAACTTGATTCGGATCAATTTAGATAGCGTTGTCAAGGAAAAATCAAAAATTTCGAAAAAAATAATTTATTCTCCCTAGCGCACACAATATTCAACCCAGACAGATCATATTTAGTATACAAATGTATTTTTACGGGAAAAATACAGGGGAAAAAAAGCGGTCACGATTAGAGTTGATGATTAACTTTTTATCAAGTTTTTCAAGAAAAAATGACAATTTTAGGAAAAAAATGTATTTTTCCACCAAAAACGAACAAAATTTTATTTAAAGGAAATTAAATTTATATATTTTAACGTATTTTTAGGTGTAGATTACAAAAAAAATATAGCGAGCATGATTGGAGTTGATTATCATAGCGTTGTCAAGGAAAAACCATGAATTTTTACGAAAAATACCTAAAAATGAGTATGTACCCCCCCCCCCCCCTAGCGGCCACATCTTTTGACATAAAGAGCTCAAATTTGACACACTTACGTATTTTTACGTGAAAATTACAGGAAAATTATAGCGAACTTGATTCGGATTAATTTACATAGCGTTGTCAAGGAAAAATCAAAAATTTCGAAAAAAATGATTTATTCTCCCTAGCGCACACAATATTCAATCCAGACTGTTCATACTTGCTGTAAAACTCAATTTTTGCGTGAAAAATACAGGGAAAAAATGTAAGCGCGATTGGAGTTGATGATCAATTTTTATCAAATTTTTGAAGAAAAATGATAAATTTCAGAAAAAAATGTATTTTTCCGCAAAAAACGAAAAAAGTTTTTCTACAGTGATTTAAATTTATATATTTTGACGTATTTTTACGTGTAGATTACAAAAAAAATATAGCGAGGATGATTCGAGTTGATTTTTCTGGAATTAATAAACAAATTTTATTTTTTAGATAACTTTCGATTTTTCCTTGACAAGCAGCTACTAGCCTTATATCAATATCTTAAGTTTTATCTCTTTTTGACTTAGAAAGATAAAATTTAATATTCAATATATTTTTAAAATGTAAATACAATAAAAATATTGCGAGTTGAAATAAAATTATGTTTCTTATATTTTTTTAGTAAAATATTTTTTAAAAAATAAAATCGGACAAGTGCGAGTTACACTCGCACTGAAATCGAGGGTTCCGTACTCGAAGCGAACTTATTTGGTATAAAAACAAATGTTTAAAAAATATGTGTTGTATGACAACTAATATAAGTGATACGAAGAGGAACAATTTTCTTGAATTTTACAAAATTGTTCCTTTTTGTATCACTTATAATAGTTGTCATACAACACATATTTTTTAAACATTTGTTTTTATACCAAATAAGTTCGCTTCGAGTACGGAACCCTCGATTTCAGTGCGAGTGTAACTCGCACTTGTCCGATTTTTTTAAATTAATTATGGGTTTCTAAAGATATTTATACATCTTTTTCCATTTTCCGGGAACATTTTAGCTTATTGACTAGGCAGTAAGCTAAATGACTGACTGAATCCAGGCAGATATAAGAATGCGTGTCCTTCACTCGTGCATTCTAATATTTGCCTAAGTTTAACTTACTGCCTAGGAAGTAAGCTAAATACCTTTTAATCGAGCGGGTTATTTTATTCAAAAAGGATTCGACTAAATAGTCCAATCTGTTTTCTTAGATCATGCTATCCAGTACTTTTTGTGGGGTTCATAAGCATGATTTTCTGTTTTTTTTATTAGGTCCTAACATGAAAGCCGTCTCGACAATGTCAGCCGGTTACGATCATCTGTATGTTCAAGAAATTAAAAAAGGGGAATAAAAGTTGGACACACATCTGAAGTTTCATCATCCTCTGTTGCTGATACCGCTGTGATGTTGCTATTGAGTGCAGCCAAAAGAGCCCACGAAGCTCGATTGAAACTAGAAGAGTAGGTTGTCATAAGAACTATAGTAGAGTAGCTTTTTTTTCCCCCCGATAGCACCAAAGCTCCAGGTTCAACTCACACTAGGAACATTAATCATAATCTACTATGGTCAACAACTGTTTAAGAAAATTTTGATTCTAATTTTTAATTTTAATTTTATTAATTTATCGATAAATTAATATATTTAATTATCTCTGTTTATAAAGAGGCAAAGTTGAACATAGGCCACAATGGTTGTTAGGAGTTGATATAAAAGACTCAACAATAGGAATCGTGGGATTCGGAAATATTGGACAAGCAATCGCAAAACGCTTAAAAGGATTCGAGATAAATAGCATTCATAAATAGCACTGGACACAAAAAAAAGAAAGTTGGTAGGTAAATTAAGAAAAAAGTAAATTCAAATTAAATAAGAAATTAATTTTTTAGGTGATGAATAACAAGCTAAATTTGTGTCTCTTGAAAAACTTTTAGAACAAAGCGATTTTGTGATCGCAGTCACTCCTTTAACAAATGAGACTTTAAATATGTTTAATGACAATACTTTTTCAAAGATGAAGAATACTGCCGTTTTTGTCAATCTTGGAAGAGGAAAAGTTGTCGATACTGATTCATTGGTGAGGGCTCTAAAAAATAAAACGATTTTTGCTGCTGGCCTCGATGTCGTTGATCCTGAACCTCTTCCTTCTGATCTCGAACTTCTGAAATTACCAAATGTTGGTTAGTTGAAAGTAACATAAAACAAAAAGTGTGTTTCTTCATTTACGTTTAATTAACTAAATAATTTTTTTATAGAAATTATACCACATCAAGGCAGTGCAACTGTGAAAACAAGAAATAGTATGTCAGTAATAGCTGCTCAAAATATTATAAACACGTTGGAAGGAAAACCGATGATTTATTTTCTTGAGAACAATAGCCAACAAACAATACATCTAAAAGTAATTGACAAAGTGTGATTCAAAGCCATAGAACTGAAATGATCGATTTGAATCTGTGTCAATCAGAGAACTTTTTTAAATCGATTTTTATTAGGCTCAATTGCGGGGACACTTACTTTCTATTAATAGATTATATAATTTTTAAAAAATTTTTTTGGCAAATTATATGTGAACATAATATTGACATTTCTGTAACTTTTCCCCCATTATTAATTCATTTATCACGATTAAAATTTTTTTAATTATTTCAAATCTTGTTTTTTGCGAAGATACAACTTCTCTTAAGGAAGATTGTTAATTTTCATAACTTCATTTCCAGCCTACTGAATATCACACTTCGTAAAAACCAGTACTGCATTTATTATAGTTGTTTATTAGTCGATTTGTAGTTCCGATTTCGTAGACACCATTTTATCAGTGTCAGGGCAAACGCACAATAACTTGGCGAAAGTCGTTCGCAAACGAAATGCATACGTTAGAAGAGAACAGAGATATATCTGTGTCTTTTTCTATCTCATGAACAACGTTCGCGAAACTGTTCTGCTTAGGCCTTCAGTCACTATACTAAATTATTATGAAAATCGAATGGCCCGCAATCAAAATTTGGAAGTGAAACTGTACCGCCATCTCCAATTGTCCTGAATTATATACAACAAAAATTTCATCTGGTTTCACAAAACGTACAAACTTTTTGTAACTGACTTCACTAATAGGATTTGCGGGAGATTTGCGGGAAATTGAATTTATACAGTTTCAATCTCGAAAAGTGCGATTTTTTTTTATTTCACTGGCTTAAAGTTTTATGCGCAACCAATGACATGCAAACACTTACACTTTTCGAGATTGAAAATATATTATTTCCATATGTTCAATATAATATTGTCGTTAGAGTTATATCATAATTAACTTCATTCCGAAAATCTCTAAAATTTGTTGTAAATTAAACTATTTATTACTAACTCTCCTAAGAAACTATTTAAAAAACTAAATGTTACATATAATATTTTTATATTTTTTATCATATAAAATTTATTTAGTATGGTAAACATAAATTGTTAACATCGAAAATCAAGTTTCGCAATTCCCTAATGAAAAAATTCTTCAATAATTATACAAACTGTCGAATAAATATTTAATAATAATGTACAAAATAATATTTTTTATTTTAAAGATATTAAAAATAAAATTTTTTTCGCATTTAACAACATAACAAAATTTTCCAAGTAAATTAGGTTGCAAAATGATATAGACATAATCATAGGTCAATTATCTTTCCCATTTTCAGATCTGGTATGAAACACGAATAACGGCGCGAGCGTCAATGTTGTTTTGTTTTGCTTACAGAAATTACAATTAAAGAATAATAAATTCTTGTTATTTATTATCCCTGTATTTCTTTTTTGTGATTAATCTCTTGTTATATCCGACTTCTAAAGACTTGTTTTTGAAGTTACATTGTCATTGTAAATTGTGAAGACTCAATGGAATTAAGTACTTTTTAAGCATATAAAACCCGTGGTTTGTATAACTATTTTATTTAAACTTCTTTTCCCTTAACTCGCTTTATAGAAAAATTTTCTTATTAATAATTTGCTTTAGTTTAAAAAAAGTAATGTTTTAATTAATGACAGTTTAATTTTACTTTAGTACAATAAATAGTTTCTCATTTGTACATAAAAAAATGTTTCACACAAGCGGAATATTAAATATTAGATGAAAAAAGTCTGTTTTAATTTTAAACATTTTTTAACCCTAGACAGTAAAACATACCTGGCTCATGTGTAGAAGTATACAACTGGGGTAGAAAACTACCCCTAAATTGATTTGTTGATAAAATGTTCATATTTAACGCAAAATAACTTTATTATATAAGTCATTTTGTTCGTTATTTTATAATGAAGAAGATAGCGTTTTTTTGTTTTTTGATACAATCAAAAATATGGTCATAAAATTACAAAAACAAAAAAAATACAAAATTTGCAAAATGCCATTTAAAAAAAAAATAGTGTATCTTTTAAAGAAATTAATTTTTTTTAACAATTCCTTTGGATTTGTAAAGCTAAATAGATTTACTTGAGAGACCAATAAGCGTGTTTTGGAAATTAAAAAAAATCATCATTATTGGAACACTTGAAGTTCAAGAAATGACAAGAATTTGACGAATAAGGAAATTAAGGATTTGAAAACTGACTTTTTTTAAGAAAACGGTGTTGTTAAAAAGATAAAAAGAAATGGTGGACAGAAAGTATAAATGTTCTCTTAGTTTCTATGTTAAACTTGTAACTTTTAAGAAGCTTTTGGGGGGTGATCGCCCCACCGTGGATCAGCGCCTGGATTAGACTAATAAATTATTTTTCAATATTGTTTATAATAATTTTCTCAAATTAATTTTTATTAATTTATGGATTTTTAATAATTAAATAATACCTATATTTAATAACTTAATTATTTTTAGCAAAAATCATCTAGAGCCGATTGCTTGGTGACTTTAAAAAAACCTGAAATTTATATACATAGTAATTAATATTTATAATTAATTTTTTTTAAAGCGCCGTATTAAAAATACAAAATTAAAAAAAAATTAAAATCGAATATCGAGGACAGTTTTGGAAATTTTTAAAAAATACTTGGGAATTTTATGTTACTACCACAAAGGAATGAATATACCAAGTTATAACCAAATCTCAAAAACTTGTTTTGCGAGAAAAAAACAGATCTATGTCAGGATTTATTGTAGTTATTAATAATATTAAATGTGTTTCTGTGTATATATCAAAGCAATTTAAAATATTTTTTAATAATTTAATTCTGTTTTTGACAAATGACAAAAAATCTCAAAGATTAACAACATTCTTTTTCAGTGTTTTTTGTTAGGAATTTTATCATTACACTTTGATTGGATTTGGCAATTATGTTTCATCAGGGATAATCAACTTACACAAGTATATGTCCTAAAAATCTTGGAGTATAGCAGACTTATAAGAAAGTATGCCTTTCAGATGCTTGGCTAAAAGTGAAAGTATAAACAGTAACCGTGAAGTTTCCTTCAATTTTATTCTAAAATCTTTAAAAAATTGTATTTATTATATACAATAATGAATTTGAGACAACAATTAATAATTATTTTTTTTCTACTCGATGGATGCTTGTCAATAGAATTTGGTAAGTAAACTTTCATAAAAAAGTAATCGATTTTATTTGTTCACATAAAATATTATTTACATTTAAAAGATAATTTTAGTGCCAAAGAAATTCAAATATTAAGTTATAAAACAAAAAATCTTCAATTTTTATCAATATATAATTTATGCAATTTAATTCACTTTTGAAATTCAAGTTTTCAAAGCAGAAAGTCATTGTTTCCCTGGACCATTAAAAAATTTGAAATATTTTAAATAAAGCACTAAAAGGCTTTATTATTTTAAAAAATTTATATATTAGCAATTTTTTTTAAAAGTATTTTTTACATCATTATAATTATTTTGTTTATTTATTAGTGTCAACTTTGCGAAATAAACTTGCAATTGAGTCAAGGTTCGTTACCTAACCAATTTACGACCGCGCAATAATAATTTTTGATGAGTTCACTAGTCCAAGTATATATGCGTTTATTTACAATGTTTGGCACACGTTAATGGTGATGCATTCGAAAATCTTTCTCCTCTCATAAAAGAAAAGAGACAAAAACTACGCATTAATTTGTTTTCAATGTATTTTTCATGAGATTCTGTTTCTTTTTTCAATCTCTTCCGAGCCTCGAATGCGTCACTTAATTCACTATCTTTATCGCTACTTTTTTAAAAACTCTCTTCTTTACCTTCTGTTATTAATTACTAGATGAATATTTTTGAATTCATGATCAATAATATCTTCGAACATAAAAAATATTACAATAAAATTAAATCTCCGTCATTTTTTAAAAGCCAATAAATTCTAAGAAAAGACAAACAAGTTTAAATTGAAACGGGATACTTAAACTAAATTTAAATGACAAATTTTATCAAGGTTAATTATTTTTTTATTCGATTTAAGAGAACAAAACATTTGGTTAGTGAAAAAAAAACAAGTCGGATTTACGTCGAAAAATTTAATTATCGAAAGTAATATTTCTGATTAATTTTCAATATTTGGAAACGTAATAAAAATTTAATTAATAGTGCTCTCAAAAAATAATCAAATTAATAATTAAAAAAAATAAAAATTTTGATTTAAGGTCATATGTGATTGTGTTTTCTCGCAAAATATCCTCTTACGGCGCGCAATAAATTTTTTAACCTCCAAAGCAGGGTGCCCTTTATGTTTAAACCCTTTAAACACATTGTTTCTAAAAAAATGTTTTTGCTTGCAGCAAGCTTTTTGCAAGTTTGCTTAACTACCTTGCCGTGAGAGAGGATATTTTGTTACTTGCACCAAACTTGCTAAATGTTTGCACTGCAATCTTGCACAACTTGTACGGCAAGCTTCCTGCAAGTTTTCGTGCTGATTGGGCTCTCACGCCATTGTGATGAGGTAATATATCAGCCCTAAGATTTTCTTCAAATCCAGATAATAAAAACTATAAAATCGGTTTTGTATAAATAGACTTTGAGATAGTACCTTTGATCTTCCCTTATCACCACAATTTCTTGTCACTTCGAAAGGAAAGACACACTAATTTATGACGTTCAGGTGGTCATTCTTTTTTGAGAGGGTGGAAACACTAGCCACGATAAATTTCCACACGGGTTTATGTTTAAAGCGTTTAACGATTAAATTGAGAAAAAAAATAATTTGTAATTTTTTAGGAGAATACTTTAAAAATTGTTATCTGAATTCTCCTGAATTTGATTCTTGCATCGTGGAAAGTTTAAATGCTGTAAGGCCCTATTTCAAAACTGGATTACCAAAATACAATGTGACTCCGTTCGATCCATTTTATGCCAAGGAAGTATCAGTACGCAGAGGTTTACCAAATGCAGGATTTAAATTAACTTTGAGGAATATAACGGAAAGTGGATGGACAGCTAGCAAAGTGACAAAATTCTTCAGTGATTTAGATAACTACAAGGTATATTTTAGAAACTAAAACTAACTCTTTTAATGTCTTTTTCTTAAAAATTAATCTTTTAAAAAATGGGGCAATTGATTTGGTAATTTGAAAAAATCACTTTCAGCAAAGTTGACAGTTGATTATTATTGATAGCTGTTAAATGATAGATTGTCAATTTCACATAGCAACCCCCAAATAACCTTTCATTGACATTTTCATTAAAACCAATTGCATTTTGGCGGTTGGCAATTGCCAATTTGACATTAAATTTCTGATCCGACAGCTTAGTTACTTTAATTCAGTGAAGTTTGGGGTCAGCAACCCTGAAAACCTTTAGAATATATGACATTGATTTATACTCTCACTTTTCTTTGGGTGTTCAAGAGTTCTGTTATGCTCTAGGATATTTTGAACCCTATATATTCTTTTCGATTTCATATCACTGCATCGTCTGCCGTTTTTTGATATTTTTATACATCCTATTTCAGCTTCTTTAAACCACCATATTAATCACTAAATTATTTACGTGTTTTCTTTCAGATAACATACACTCAGAAGTTTCCTAAAAAGAAATTGGTTGGAGATTATGATTTTTCGGGATTTTTCCTCGGATCAACAATAAACAATAAAGGAACATTTTCATTGATTCTGTGTAAGTTTTAGGAACAGTTTCACCAACTTCGGTTAAAAGTTAATCTGCGATTAAAGTCAATTTAACAGCTCATGATTGGTCAGTTAGGGATTTAATCGCTGATTAACTTTTAACCGGAGTTGGTGAAACTGGACCTTAATAAAGCAACTATACCTAAACGTTTATTTTTTAAGGGATCATTTTAGCCACTGTTCTTATGACGTGTTTCACAAACTAAACATATTACATAATAATTTTAAAACTGTTTGTTGTCCAGAATTACCTCTTTTTCGGTAATTACACTAAAAAAAAATTTATTTCATTCAAATACTCGATTACTTGACTCTTATCAAATAATTATTTACTTGAACCAAATAATTATTATTTTAGCGAATTAAATGGTATTTTTTTAAATACAGAAATTATTGGTTCAAATACAATCCCAGGTGCGAATTGTCGGTCGGCCCATGGTCGGGCCGACCATGTGCATGGTCGGCCCACCTCGGGCAGCCAGAGGTCGGGCCAACTAGCGAATTGATAACGTCGGCCGACCTATGGTCGACTAAGTTGGACCGACTATGGGTACCATAGTCGGGCCGACCAAGGCTGCCCTAGTTGGGCCGACCATCCTTGCCGACGGTCGGCAGCCATAGTCGGGCCGACCATGGCAGCCATAGTTGGGCCAACCTTGGCTGCCGACCATCCAACTTGACGGTCGGCAGCCATAGTCGGCCCGACTAAGGCAGCCGAGGTCGGCCCAACTATGGCTGCCATGGTCGGCCCGACTATGGCTGCCGACCGTCGGCTATGATAGTCGGCCCAACTATGGCAGCCTTGGTCGGCCCGACTATGGCTGCCGATGGTCGGGCCAACTAGCGAATTGATAACGTCGGCCGACCTATGGTCGACTAAGTCGGGCCAACTATGGGTACCATAGTTGGGCCGACCTTGGCTGCCGACCATCCAACTTGACGGTCGGCAGCCATAGTCGGCCCGACTATGGCTGCCATGGTTGGGCCAACCTTGGCAGCTAAAATTTTGCCGACCATAAACATTAAAATATAAAAATTTGTTATACAAATAACATATATTAGTAATCATTTTAAATTCATTATACATTTATTTTATATACTTAAACACTAAACGCAATCGTAAACATACATATATACAAATTAAAATTTTTAACGCTCGCAGGGATCGAACTCGCAACCTAACGCACCGCAGTCTAATACGCTAACCACTACACTACGCAATGACATATGAGTCACGGAGAAAAATAAATGTTATAAGCTACAGCTTGAAAAAAATTAAAGTTAGTAATTCAAAATAATAAATTAATCACATATAACCTTTTTTCTTTTTAAATTAATCAATTACAAGTAAATTAACAAAAACATTTTACATTTGTCAATGGTAGGAGAGAAATTTACTTTATGATGGTCGGCCCAACTATGGCAGCCAAGGTTGGACCGACCTTGGCTGCCAAGGTCGTACCGACCATTGTCCCCCATGGTCGGCCCAACTATGGCAGCCAAGGTTGGCCCAACTATGGCTGCCAAGGTTGTGCCGACCATAATCCCCCATAGTCGGCCCAACTGTGACTGCCGACGTCGGCAGCCATAGTCGGCCCAACTTTGGGTGCAAATATTTACCATGGTCGGCCCAACTCTGGCTGCCGACCGGTCGGCAGCCAGAGTTGGGCCGACCATGGGCCGACGAACCAACTCTGGCGGCCGACCGAAATTCGCACCTGGGATTTATTGAATTCAAATAAAAATTATTGTTGCAAGTAAATGTTTATTTGATAAAATATAATAGTCAAGTAATCGAGTATTTGAATGAAATAAATTTTTTTTTAGTGTACGATTTCTTTGAAACAATTGTACCAATCGAGCTGGAACAAAGTCTTAAAGTTCCAGATCGGTTGATACAGTGGTTTTGGAGAAATCGCGTATAGTCACCACAAACACCTGAGGAAAAAACATCCTTTAGGACAATGGTAATAGTTTTTCACAATTATTATTTTTTATTTGTTAAACAAGTGCATTAAAAATATTATAGTTGACATAATTAGTTTTTCTACTCCTGTAAACCACATATTTGAGGGGTTCCCTGTTGAAAATCACTGTATAGGATTTTGTACCCTTAAGTGGATCAGTTTAGCGCGCTTTGAACGGAAAAGCGTTGAAAACTCAACGGGCACTAAAAATATTGTTTAAACAATCTAATATGATAAAGTAACTACAGTGAGACTCCGGTTATCCGAGCTAATGTGGACCAGACCTACCTATCGGATAAGGCGAAAACTCGGATAATCCGAATTGTTAAATATTTATTACAATTTAACATTATTGTTCTTTAAACAATTATTATTTATTACAAACGGGAAAAAATGTTATATATATTCCATAATAATTTAAAAAATTTGAATTTATTAAAAATAACTCGGATGACGCGGACTAGACTCGGATAATGCAGAACTTACTACTGGGACACCACCTCGGATAAACGGGGTTTTACTGTATTGGGATTTGTATAAAAAGTGTTCATGTGTCAATTAAGACCTAATTTGTGGCAAATTAATGCGAAACAAGTGATTATATTGTTACTGACAGATTTTTAGATATCTCAATTTATCAGGGACGCATTCCAAATCAAATTTTTAGAAATTATGATTTGATCGAATTTTATTCTGTAGAATATTACTTTTGCAGACTATTAGTAATTGAATTTATTAATAATTATTCGAATTTTGACTTATTAATGTATAAATGAAATAAATATTTAAAAGTACATCCTGCATTTTAGATAATCTTGTGCAGACTACAACAATAACCAGTGTTCCAAAAAAAGCAATGCAAGTGAAGGTTAACGTGCAAACAATAAAAGATTTAGAACTGCATATATCAAATTTGCTACAAGGAAGAAATTTTTTGGAGGAAGTTTTAGATCGCATTATAAATGGAGCTTGGCAACCAGGATTTGCTGTAATACGGCCAATAATTAATGAATTAGTATCAACAGCGTTCACTGAAATATTTGGGAAAGCTTTTAAAAACTTTCCATTTCAAGAAATTATAAAACCACAACCTTTTTACAAATTTAATAGTACTAAAGTGTAATTCTTCTTACTTGTGACATTACAATTGAATACTAAATATCAAAATGTATATATGTTATTATATAATTCAGAGTAACTTCTATGATATTTAATATATATATATATTCTTTTTGCAGAGTTCAATTTTTTCAAACCTTTTCTAAAAAACAGAATTTTAATTTAGATACATAATATATCTTTTATCGGAAAAGTGGCGCCCCTTGGATTCCTTTTTATTTTATTGATGATTAAAGTTATTACAAACATCGAAGTTTCAATAAATTAATTTTTCTCGCTATTATTTACTGTAATATCACATGTACATATTTAGTTTGCTTGGAGATTTCCGGAAAAGATCGTGCAATCGTGAAACAGAATAATTTATGCGCACGTAGATTGCAGCGCCCCTGAAGGACGAAATTCACAATATAATTGTTTTGATTGGCTTTTAATGCGTCAGGCGTGATAAAAGTGTGGTTAAGTTGTAAATTCGATTAACTTATTATTCAATTAAAATTGAGATGTTTATTTTCATCAAATATTTGTGATTCTACTTCTATAAAAATGAATAAAGTCAACAGTGCAGAGAAAAGAAAAGTCATTTTTTCAGGGCATCAAAAACAGTAAGTAAATGTATATAACAAATATCATGTATTAACTTTTCCTAATTATTTTTACTATTGATTGATTAAATCTAAATGATATGTGAAATAAACATATTTATTTTACATAACACCTTTACCTTCTTTATCAACTATAAAATTGTTTTACTCACTTTTATTTTTAAATACATTTTGTTTAAAATTTAAATTTACAGTTATTGGTTTCCAAACCTGCTTAAATGCCTTCCATATAGAAATAAATGAAGTTACTATAAGTTCAAAAAGGGTTCCAATTCCAATATTCAATCTCTTGTTTTAGTTAAAATATTTATTTTTTCTATTTGCTTTATTTTCAAATTTTAATAGATATTTGTTATAAAAATTTCTTAAATTTAACGTTATTTAGATTTAAATAAATTACATGTAACTCATTTCCAAGAAATAAATTAAATAATTTTCATCATTATTATTCACGATCTGGAAATAGCTCATCATATGTGAAAAATTTGCAAATTTTATTAGCAATTTGCAGTATATCTTCAGAAATTTTCCTCTCTAAGTTTGGTGTTGTACTGTCAATAATTTCTTGACGGCTATTCTCTAATGCAGCGTTGATAGCTGTAGAAAGTGTACTATCAGGTCCCTCCTGGGGTGTAAATTGCGAAGTATAATCTTTGATATTCAATTTGGTATTCATTGATGGAAAGAAAACAAATTTTTTTCCTTTGCGATCTATTACCTTAAAGTTCATTATAACTTTTGCTGTAACATCAGCTGCAAAAAAATTAATTATTTATATATAAAATAGGTTGAAAGTAGTAAAAGTAATTAATAGTATAGAATGGGGTAAAAATGACACTTGTATGAAATTTTTCTTTTTAAATTGTAACTTTTTCGAGTTTTGGATTTATCTTTTCATCCAGACCGATTGCTGACGGATTGAATACGGTTTTCGTACAATTTCTGGGCTAATCCGGACCGTTCTCTCTGTATTTAATCTGAAATCAATCCGAAAATTTAACCAGGTTTGTTAAGTCGTTCACATTGTTAGTTAGTGAGTCGGTGCTGTACGTTCCAGTTATTTTGTTATAGTCATTGGTTTAATATTAATATTTCCATTTGATTTGTCATGTGGAATAGTTTTCACGTTCGATTTGTTGTTATTGGTTTGTACTTCTGGGTTCATGGTTGAGAAGAAGGACCTTCGCGGTCATAAAATGCTCTATTGTGAGGCTTGTTTTGGGATGAGTAATGAAAACTAATTCAATCGAATTGAAATGAATACATCCTGGGCTTCAGTGATTCCCGCTTAGCGACAAATTCGAATTGGAGCTATGTTGGAATTCTCCTGAATTCGACAAACCTGTATTCAATATCCAAACTTTCTATTCGTACCGATTCAATGAACAAACTTTTGAGCTTTAATCTTTTTCCAATCGACAGCAGAAATTCAATAGACGAGTTGGTCACTTTTTTTGAATTCTCAACCGATGAAAACTGATTGGTACGAATTGAATTGATCGAATATACAAAGGACCTCACTGAATCTTGCTTAGCAATAAATACGAATTGGACCTTACCAAAATATGTCCTGCTCACATAGGAATTAGAATCCAAACGCCTTGATTTTTGCCTGTCGCCGACAGTCTATTTTTGAATTATTTTTTCTATTATTGGAGAATTATATCCTTTTATAATAAATATAGTGTGGGACTTAATACATGGTGATTGGAATTTCTCAGTTGGTCGAGTCATTTAATTATTTATCGGAAAATTGGGCCCATAATTAACGATTTTGTTCTTTGCAAAATAGCAACTCAGCAGCATCCAGACTTGAGTGGAGACGGAATCCAAAACAAAATGATGCGTCATCGCATCATTTTAAGCCACCGACTACATAAGTTTTTTAGTTTATTAATTTAATTTTCCTCTTGTATATATTTTTTATTTAATTTGAATTGAATTATTTTGTGCCTCGATAAATTGTTAAGAGTAAAATCAATCGTTACAATTGTGTCTTTTTTACTCCACTCTTCAATCAACTGAAAAATTACTAATTTATTTAATACAGAAAATTTATTTTTCTTGTCTTTTTAAACTATAATCTAGTTGTAAGAATAATAATATTTTAATAATTTATCTTAATTAAATTTATATACTGCTTAATAAAAGTTGAATATAAATTGATATAATATTTACTCACTTGCAACTATGTTAATGGGTCCAGTTCCAGCGACAGGGACAAGAATTTTTGCATTAACATCGTAATCAGCTTTAAGTGTTACTTCCTTAAAGGTTAATTCAACTTCAAACTGATTTTTTTCCAAATCTGAATGCAAATTATCAACTATGAAATTAGATAAACCATGCAATCTGACATCACGAGCAAATGCTTTAAAATTTGGTAAATCAGCCAACGAAACATTGTCCATATACATTGGTTCTATAGAAGGAATTTTAAGTTCGGGAATCCCTTCTCTAAGTTTGGCTCTCATTGCTTCAACAGAATTTCGTATACAATTGTCTAATTGAGGATTTCTGCGACCACAGACTTTGATGTAGGATGCTGTAAAGTACAAAATTAGAATAAATAAAAATCTCCTTTTAGTGTAAAAATATCTTTCATTACACATGCACTATTTTGCTACTTTTGCGAAAGTGACGTCACTGGCGTGAAACAAATTGTTTATACACACTTTTAAGTCATCTCTTCTTATCGTATAGAGATATACGAATAGAGTGCTTCGAGGTGTCGGTGAATGCGACTGGTCAATGTCAGGATGGAAAACCAAAAATAATGAGAGTGAAAAAGACAGGGACATGTCACTATCCCTTCTATTCTTATTATTTTCGGTTTAGCATTCTGTATTTACATCAACATGTAAATCCATCCTCATTAGAAGCTTAAAATTGAGATATGTCTGGTTTACTCCAGGGGATGGGACAAATCGGACATACCTATAGGTATTAAAGGAGAAACCACATTACAGGGTTCAAAAAATCAATTTTTTGCAGAAATAGTTAGTTTGTATATTTAAAAGTATGCTGAAAAAGTTTTCAGAGCGAAATTCGATGTCTTCTCTGTGCTAAAGGTAATGACGGGAGCTTGGTTCTAATAGCGAAGCAGGTAGATAGCGGAGTCGCTGAGGAAGTCCCTTTGTGATTTGAATTGGGAAAAAGAGAAAGGACTGATGTATGCTGCTAGAATAGCAGATTGAAATGTAAGCACTTTAAATAGTTTTTTTCTTATCATAAATTTCAATTTTTCGATCTTTTTTTCAAACGCGTTTTTCTTGAAACAAGATTATTGAAATTGCCCACATAGCACGACATTTTTCAGCAAGTTTGCAGCAAGTTTGCACGGCAAACTTACGAAGTTTGCATTGCAAGTTTTCTGCAAACTTGCAAAGTGTATAGAAATGTCCTCAGTGCTGCAAGTTTGTAATGAAAACTTGCCGAAAGTTTGCAATGAAAACTTGCCGAAAGTTTGAAATGAAAACTTGCCGAAAGTTTGCAATAAAATCTTGCTGAAAGTTTGCAATCGAAACTTGCCAAAAGTTTACAATGAAAACTTGCCTAAAATTTGTCATATAAATTTTCTAAAAACTTTCTTTGTAAATTAACCGAAAACTTACCTGATACAATTACTGGAAACTTTCATGTTAAATTTGTTAAAAAATGTTAGGTGTCCTTGCCGAAATTCCTCTGGAAAAATTGTATGTAATCTAAATTTCTATATACGAAAAATTTAAAAAAATTAATTTTCATTAATTTAAATTGGTTTTACTACTACAATTATTGTAATTATATAGTACATAATCATATAAAAATGAAACGGAGAAATAAAATAAAATTATTAATTTAGGATAATATTTATTTTTTATTTATAAACACATAGATGACGATGATAAATATGTCAATATCCGATAATAAAAATTTGTTGAAAAATATGTTTTAAATTCACTTTGATTATTAAGAAAAATAACTTATATTCATACAAATTCATCTATTATTAGATTTAAGTTTTAACGAAATATATACATAAAATATATGTTCAATTTTTAAAAAAGTGAATTTATTTTTTTTTAAATTATTAGGAAATTATCTTATACTTCTTCAATAGAGAAGGATCATCAAGAATGTTTTAAAGGAAGCATGATTATTCCTCTTTTGGAAGGTATTCTCCACATTTTGGATAATATGTTCTTGAATGAAATTGTGCAGTAACCATCTCTTGAAAAATTTCCAATATGAATATTAATATATCGAGAATCTGGATTGTCGTATAATTTTTCAATAGAGACAATATTTTTAATAACTAATAGAATGTCATCGTCACATTCTACAATATTTAGTACTTGGCCAAATCTTCCGTCTTTTAAAATGACAAAACTGTTTTTAGATTCACGACAATTAATTTTAAATGATTTGCATTCCAATCTCTTAAACTGGTGTTTTATATTAGTGCAATCTTTTGTTACTGGTCCTGTACTATGAACATCCTTTATTTCAATTTTTTCAATTATTTCCGAGTTGTTTTGTGCAGCTTCACGTTCAGAATATCTTTTAGCAATTTGTTGAAGAGGTTTCTCCCCCTTTCTTATCATCCTCTTTATTGTGGACATATAGTTTTCAAATCTGAATGAACTGTATTTGTCAAGGCGTCCGTACTTTTTTACGTCAGGGCAGATATGCAATAAATTATGAACGTTATGAGAAACGTACTCTTTGCCGTATATTTTTTCAAATCCGTTCACAAATTCTATGAACATATCGTGACATGCATCAATATTTGTCGAATTTTGAAGAAGAAGCTCATCAACTAAAACTGAAATTGCAGTATGTAAAAGTATGAAATTATCAAATATTTCAGAAGAAACAATACCTTGTAGAGCAACAGGCCCCGCGTACAATAGAAATGTACGGAATTCTGTTGCCTTCCAAAAACGGTATAATAACATTGATCTAGGTTTTCTTGAAAATTCAGTTGGTATATTGTAACGAAGAGTACGCATTCTTTTATCTATTCTTCCAACATCTACTGCACTTAATCGAATTTTCAATGGACCAGTAATCCACAATTTAATAAGTTTTTTCATCACACCTAATAAAACTAAATGCATATAGTCTAACGGAACATTTGAAATACAACCAAAATTTGGAATGGATTGTAAAATTGTTTCCCTCCCGGTGTCAAACTCTTCATAATCACCTCTTGCAAAGCCTTCATCAGTTTTAACTGCAAAAGGTTTAGTTCCGGGAAAGCATACTGTGCCCTTGTTTTTCCGTTGGTTCTTATTTTTCTTTCCATTTTTGCGTTTTGTTGTTCGTTTAATGTATTCACCAGTTATAACACATTTTGAGCAACTATCATAGCCAGTGTGTCCCTTGAGATTGAAAGCGAAAGACTTGGCTGGAGCATCACAAATAATTGCTGCACATGAAATACGTACATTCGATTCTTCAAAGCCATTGTTGCATAAATAAGACAATTCGTCAACAAATTGTTTCAAAAACTCATTTGCATCATCCGGTTTCTTTTTTCCATAAAAGGCACCAACAGGATATACTACATCACCGTTAAGTTCGGAACAAAGAATCAACCAGAGGCTTTCAGTTCCAGACTTGGAGATTGGTAAACCATCAATATTAATCATTAATTCTACTTTTTTGATTGATTGACCTTGTTTATTAAACTCCCGAATAATTCCTTTTACTGCTCTGTCTAAACCAAAGTGGTGATACTCGCCATCATTCATTTTGGAAATTTTAACTTGTTTTACTGTTCTCAACAAAGTTCTTGCATCTACTGGCAACGGAAAGTTTATAAAAGGTTGCAAGAGTAATAATAAAGCAGAAAGTGCCATAAGACTAATGTGAAAAAACAAAGCCCAATCCCGTAATTTCCTTAGAAAAATGTTTCGTGGGTTAGAACTGTCTTGATTATCAATATCATCATCGTCAGTATCATTCAAATCATCATTTTCATCAAGTACATGAACAATTGTTTCTTCAACTCTAAATATTTCATCACTATCATTATTTTCCTCACCGAAAGAATCGTCTAATGAAGTGCTCTCAATACTGGCATCAGAATGTAAATATTCTTCTTCTTCAGTATCCCAATATTGCAAATCAGAGTCAGAACAATCCATCCTGTAAAGAAATTAATCAATAATAAGTATTAAGTAATAGTAATAAATTAATCAAAAATTTTTTATAGAGGAGAAGGCCCCAGGATGGACAAAGTTTTTATTTTGTGCTGTAGAATACAAATGTCTTAGGATATTTTAAAATGGTGCATACCGTATGAAAGTACAATAAATAAGGTATTCTCTGGCCACAAAGAAAAAATTTTTATTTGTAAACAAACATTTTTTAATGTAATGTAAAAAAATCACGTGGCGATATACACTTATACGAAAATTTTATATCAAATGTCCATCTTGGGGCCCTCTCCCCTACATAAAAAAACTTTTCAAAAAATTTAAAATTTGCCTCATTTTTAAAATAAAATTTTTTTTGACTTTTTCTAAGATTGGTTTTTTAAAGAAATATTAAGATGTCCTTTTTATTTACTTTCAATATTTTAATTAATTAATTAACTAATGAATGTTAATAAAAAATGAAATATTTTACAAATAAATAAAGTTATTGTAATTCTAAAGTTACTGATTGAAAACTGACGTAATGCGGAATTCAAAGAGCCTAATATGAACTACGTTGGATTAGAGGATATTTCATAAACAATTGCAATGTTAGCTAATTGTTTATTAACAATTCACGAATTAAAAATATTTCATATACGGCTCGTTGGATGCGGCATTATGTCAATTTTCAATTCTTAGCTTTAGAATGACGATAATTCTGCTTATAAAATACATAATTTTTTATTAAATAATTAATAAATATCTCGAAAACAAAGAAAATAGAAAATTCAATATATTTTGTGTTGAAAGTATACATTTAAAACTCTCTTAAAACAATTTGAAAAAGAAATAAAAGGCCGATTGAAAAAAAACAAACAGAATTTTTAATTTTAAAAACAGGATAAAATTTTGATATTTTTGACATTTTTTTGCCAATCAAAAGAGCTAAAAAAATCTTTGAAAGGGAGCGTTCACAAATGATGTCACGCACTTTTTCAAGATTTTTAACCCCTACCCCCCCTTCATGCCCTTTTACTATATTTTCTTATATAAAAAATACATTGTGTCACGTTTAGCAAAGATCTCCTTCTTCCTCCTCAGTGCGTGACATCATTTGTAAAAGCTCCCAAAACATATATGTCAAATATTTTTCAACTACTTATATAATAATTACAATTTTTAGTTAATACTTCAATTATCAAAAAATGATACATGTTATAAACAAATAAAGTTATTGTATTTCTGACATTACCAAATAAAAGTTAACAAGTTAACCGCATCCAACGAACCTTATAGGAAGTACTTTGAATTCGTAAAGTCTTAATTAACAATTGGCTAACATTGCAATTGTTTATCAAATATTCTCTAAAAAAATAGTTCATATTAGGCTCGTTGGATTCAGAATTAAGTCAGCTTTTAATTTATAGCTTCAGAATTACAATAATTTCGTTTGTTTATAAAAATATATCATTTTTTATTAACATTAATTAAATAATTAATAAATATGTCGAAAGTTAAGAAAAAAGAAATTTTAATATTTTTTGTGTTGAAACTATACATTTAAAACTCTCTTAACCCTTTAAGGTACGAATTAATAATCGTAAAACCATCCTTTAGTCATTTATAATTTTTACATTTTTAAGGTCTCTGATTACGAATCCGTTGCCGGTTTTTCAAAGTTTAATATGGGGGAATAATTTTAAAAAAATGGCTCGAAAATCGTTACTCGGGGTTTTTTGGATCGCTGATTACAAATCTGATGTTACTTTTTCAAAAATTAAACTAGCGGAACCAGTACGACAAATAAATTTTTTTAAATTTGACAGTTTTGCCTGAAACTTGTTATTCAGGGGTTTTCAATGTCGCTGATTAAGAATCTGATATTAGTAAATTGAATAGATTTTTAATTTTTCTGTCCGCCATATTGGATCTAACATTTTCAATTTTGAAAAACACCTAATTCGTAATTAGTGACAGAAAACCCCCGAGTTAGAAGTTTTAACCGAACTGCATTTGATTTTCAAAAAGTCGTCCGCCATATTGGTTCCGCCATTTTGAATTTTTAAAAACTGGCACCAAATTCGTTATGAGAGACCCGGAAAACCCGGAAATAACATGTTTTAAGTAAATTTTTTAAATTATTAAAAATTTGTCGATCAAATATTAATTTCTTATAATTTTTTTAACGCACACATTTTCAATAAAAGTTATTGTAATTTTTATGAAACTATAATTAAAACTTGTTTAGTTCGAAGTTAAAAAATTTCTATTTCAAAAGTGACATTTTTTCTTTACCGACATATAATAATATGTCATAATCAAAGTTTAATTCAGTTTTTGAAAATCTTTTCAATTCTTTTCAATTCTTTGTTTCTTTAACTTCAATAGTTTCTTTTTGTCAATTTACTTTTAAATTTTTGTGGCAGATTATTTACATTTGTAGATATGCAGTGAGAAAATCTCTGTTTGATTCTTATTTTTGTCACTTTTTAATTTTCATAAATGTAATTAAATGGAAAAGAAATTTTGAAAAAATGAAGGAAGCTCAAACTATTAACTTTAAATCTCCTGGAAAACTTATCTGTTTAATTGTTAATAAATAAATAAATAAGATTTTATCAAAACAAAAATTTATTCCATTAAGGATATCTTTTTATGTGTAAAAGAAGCATTCCAAATTTTATAGGCATCGAATAAGCGGTTTTTGTTATCGTGTTCACCTATCTTAAAAACAAAACTTTAAGAAAACAAGATTAAAGCATAAGCCCTTCATTTTGCTAACTGACTTACTAGACTCGATAATTTTTAAATTGATTTGAAAATTCCACAAAAAATTTACTAGATAATTTATTTGATGAAAATGTAAAAATGTATTTATTGAATATTATGACTGCGGGTTACCTTTTAGATTTAAATAAATAAAATATTTTACTTTGATTAAATAAAACAGTTTAATTATAAATAGTACCTGAAATCGTTTTGATCTTCCACAATTATTTCATTCCTTAATAAATCAAAAGATATTTCTGAATTACTTGTAGAAGTAACAAACGTCTGCGTTGTCTCCTCATCAAAATTATCATGGACGTTTTTTAATTGTCCGCTTTCAATTCTAAAAAAATATAATGTGTCAAATTTGGAACATTCTTCTTTTTAATTATTTAATATTGTGTACGATAATTGCTCATTTGTCTAGACATTGAAAATTGGTTTATCAAATCATCATAATATATTGCTCCAATATTAAGAAAATATCCTCTTTTTAAAAAATTATTAACTTCAAGCAGTTTTCTAAAACAAAATTTCTAAGAAACTTTTCAAAAACAATATTATTAATAATTCAAAATTTTTAATACAACTTAATTTACTGATAAACGCAACTTTATGTTATTTTTAGTTAAATTCATTAATATTAATTATAAATTATAAAATTGTTTATAGGACATTTAAAAAAAGTAATACTATAAATAAATGGCTCACATGATAGAAAAAAAAGTAGAAAATTTATAAAATACATACATTTCAAAATTCTTGTTGACACTTTTAATAGTGTCTGGTGTTGAAACACGGGCTGATGATTTTTCAATATCACTTTCAGAATCGGTACCACTAAACTGCGAACTTCCAGGTAACTGTTTATCATCTACTACTTCATTATTAATAATTCGTCTGAAATGACGTGTTGAGTAACCACATAATCGTGGTGTCCTCTTTCGTCTTGGATGAAACATGACTTTCGTTTCAGCTCGCGTTTTTCACGTTGCTGAATCTTATTTACCTTCCTCCTCTTAGCAGTAGGTTCTTGTTCGAATTTTCAGCAACTACAAAAATTATTAATGTAGAATATCTGTAATGAAAAGAGTTTAATTTATATGCTAATTAATAAGTACTTTAATAAAGAAAGGAGGGAACTGTAATGACGAGCGTCCTTTTCTAAAGGAATTTTTAGAGATAATGCAATCAAGATATTAAGATCAATCTTTTTAAATTTTTTATATTCTATCATAAATCAAGTTTTGTAACCATTTTTTAATTATTTCAATATAATTTTATCACATCAATAGAAAATATTATTTTACATAAATTAATATAATAAATTCTAATTGAAAATTAACATTTAATTTTTTATTTTTCTCCAAATTAAAGAAATTTTATAAAAATAATTTATTTAATAATTCAATTATAACCCTAGAATGAAAAACTTGAGTGGTTATGCACCCGACGCAAAATGCAAAAAATTTCTATTTTTTATAGATCGTTTTTACAAATTCTTTCACATTTCTTATCACTTTATTAAAAAATTTACAGTATACCATCGTCTTCCTTACTGAAAAACAAAAAAAATTAACTATACTAAACTCGTAAAAAGCGCAACAATTCGAAAAATGTTGTATACAAAAGTTGTAGGTCTCAAAAGAACACACATTTTATGTCCTATACATTTTCACCCAAACTGATTAGTTTTTGAGAAAAGTTCAAAAAACTTCGAATACCATTGACAAAAGAAGTTGTCCACGTTACGTTTTTACTCGCGTAGAGTTTTGCTCGCTTGTATTTTAAAAAAATCTTGGCGAGAGGGGTAGGTTATGGGGGAAATTGATCTGCGACAAAAAAAGTTATGCGGCATACGGCCGCGTTGCGTTTTTCCTCGCGTATAGCTTTGCTCGCTTGCATTTTAAAGAAACCTTGGCGAGAGGGGTCGGATACGGCCGAAAGTATTCTGCAGACAAAATCGGGTGGGATCCAAATTTCTCTCTAGTTATGATGTGCACTGCTTGTCCATCATTTTTGATTGGTTTTTTTCTTTTTTCTCGCAGAATAATCACTTTTGGTAAAAAAATTGTATATTCTTTTGAGACCTACAATTTTTGTCTAAAACATTTTTCGAAATTTTGCGTTTTTTACGATTAATCGCAAAAAACCATAATTTTATTGTTTTCACCATGATAATCAATTTTGCGCCAATTTTCACTATCATTTTCGTAATCTGCGCATCAAAATACGAGAGTATATCTACATGTACCAAATTTCTCTCTAGTTATGATGTGCACTGTTTCTCCATCATTTTTTATGTTTTTTTTATTTTTCTCGAAAAATAATCACTTCTGGTAAAGAATGTATACAAAATAAAATTTTTGCTTTTTTGAGACCTACAATTTTTGTTGAAAAATTTTTCTGGAATTTTAGTGTTTATTAAGAGTTAATCGCAAAAAATTATAGTTTTATGGTGTTTTTTATGGTTTTTACCATGATATTCAATTTTGCGCCAATTTTTATTATGATTTTCGCCATCAGCACACCAAAATACGTGGATATACACAGTTTCAAAAAGATTGGCGGTTTGGGCTAATCGGAACTACACCCATATGTTATAAAAAAATTACCAATAAAATAAAAAATGATATATTTTATAAGCAAATAAATTTATCGTAATTCTGACGTTATCAAATGAAAGGAAACAGTAACGCATCCAACGAGTCCTATATGAATTATTTTTAAAAAATTGGCTAACATTGCAATTGTTTACGAAAAATCCACTAATCCAAAATAGTTCATATTAGGCTCATTGGATGCGGAATTACGACAGCTTTTAATTGATAGCTTCAGAATTTCAATAACTTCATTTATTTGTAAAATATTACATTTTTTATTAATATTAATAAATAAATTAATTAATATCTCAAAAATAACAAAAAAGGATAGGTTTCTCAATATTTTTTGCAGTGAAAATACATATTTTTAACTTTAGAAAAACTCAAGAAAAAACCGATTTTAAAAAAAGGAAAAAAATGTTTGATTTCCAAAAAAAGGAGTCAAATTTAAATATTTTTGAAAAAGTTTGTGCACCATTCGAAAGAGCGGGAAAAGGCCTTTTGAAAACATACAGGTCAAAATATTTTTCACATATAACTACTTAAATGTTATAACTCTTTAAAAATACACTGTTTACATTTTTAAAAAAAATTGAATCTCCTTTTCCTTCTACATTTTCATATAAAACCTAACAATACTTAATGGTTAAAGTAATCACACATAGGGCTTAATTATGTGCAAGTTGCCGCCCGATCCGACCAACTGTTATTTCACTTAGTACGATACAGAAATTTTTATCTGAAATATAAAAAAAATCAGACAAGTGCGAGTTACACTCGCACTGAAACCAAGGGTTCCGTACTCGAAGCGAACTTACTTGGTAAAAAAACAAATGGTTAAAAAATATGTGTTGTATGACAAAAAATATAAGTGATACGAAGAGGAACAATTTTCTTGAATTTTACAAAATTGTTCCTTTTTGTATCACTTATATTATTTAACATACAACACATATTTTTGAAACATTTGATTTTATACCAAATAAGTTCGCTTCGAGTACGGAACCCTCGATTTCAGTGCGAGCGTAACTCGCACTTGTCTGATTTTTTTTATTTTAGAGTTGTAACGACTGAAGAAATAAACTTAAGGAAAAAGTCAAATTCTTATCATGTTTATTAAATTATTTCTATAATCTATACACAAAAATACGTAAAAATAATAAATTTGAAGCCCTTTAGATAAAATTTTTTTCGTTATTGGGAGAAAATTCATGATTTTTTCTAAAATTATCAGTTTCTTCTTGACAGCACCTGAAAATTCAATCTAATCATCCTCGCTATATTTTTTTGTAATCTACACGTCAAAGTACGTCAAAATGTATAAATTTAAATCACTTTGGATAACCTTTTTTCGTTTTTTGCTTATCGTGCTTATATTTTTTCCCTATAATTTTCAAGCAAAAATACATTTATACAGCAAACATGAACTGTCTGGGTTGAATATTGTGTGCGCTAGGTAGAATATACCATTTTTTTGAAATTTTTTATTTTTCCTTGACAACGCAATGTAAATTGATCCCATTTAAGTTCACTATATTTTTCCTGTAATTTACACGTTAAAATACGTAAGTGTGCCAAATTTGAGCTCTTTATGTCAAAATATGTGGCCGCTAGGGGGGGGACATAGTCATTTTTAGGCATTTTTCGTAAAAATTCATGGTTTTTCCTTAATAATCCTATGATAATCAATTCCAATCAGGTTCGCTATATTTTTCCTGGAATCTACACGCGAAAATACATATATGTACCAAATTTCAGTTCTCCAGATAAAGTCGTGTGGCCGATTAGGGGGGGGGGTACACGATTTCAAAAAACCGATATTAATAGGGTTCCGAACCGAGTACGGAACCCTAAAAAATAATTTAAAAAATATATATGTATTTAAATAATCAAACGATATTTAAAGGTTGGAATTATTTACAAAAAACAAGCAATAAGTGTTTGTTAAGCAAAAACCAAAAAAATGTTTTTATCTAAAAAGTTAAAATTTTCAAAAAAGAATTTTGAGTGTTTTAAAAAATTAATTTTTGTACGACTGGAACACAATGCAGGGCAATATTTGATTTTTGAAAATTTTAACTTTACTGTTCTAACTTCTTGGACATAAAAATATTCATATGCACTTTTTTAAAATATTCTAATCTGTTCCGAGTTTTTAAAAAATAAAAAGCACTTTTAACATTGTTAGAGGCAGTGGTGGGGAGACATTTTCGTGGTATTCAAGTTGCATATTTTCAAAAATTGCATAGGAACTTTATGCTTGATTTTGACAAAGATTTCAAATCTTAAATTTGTTCGTCTTGAACCAAGACACTCAGTATCAATTCATGAAAAAATAGTGCTTCTGTATAGAGCTGTAATTTATTATAACATTGTTGGGATCACTGAAGCATAAAAATATGAACAAAATAACAGATTTATAAACTATATGGGTCATTCAACGGGAGATTTTCATTGAAAATTTTTTTTTCCCCGAAACATTCTTTTTCGAAATCTATAAGAAAAATAAGGAAATACGTATATTTTTATTTTTTTATTTGATGAAAATGAAAGAAGTTATGATTTTTTGAAATTTAACGTCAACGAAGAAAGTGTGTTTTTGGAACATTTTTTAATCTATTGTACTAAGAAATTAAAAATTATGTTATATATGACATTTGTTCATTTTGTCTCAAATTTTTCAAATATGTGCTCAAAAATAACGTACTTATAACAGAAACAACAAAAAAGTTGAAATTAAACTTATAAAGTGAGTTTTCTCAAAAGAGACACTTTCGATTTTTAATTTTTTTTTTGCATTACAATCTCTGATGGCTGAAGAATTTTTTCCCCTATCTACGAAAGTGGTACTTTTAGTTTTTAAATTACTATTTACAATTTTTAAGCTTGACGCAACGATTTTTAATATGTTTTTATGAAAATTAAAAAAAAACAAATGAATGTTAATGGAAAAAGGTTATATTTGTAGAAAAAATGCTTAAATTCTGTGAGCTGTACTAAAAAAATTATAAATCGTAATTTAAAAACTAAAAATACCACTTTCGCAGATAGGGGAAAAAATTCTTCAATCATCAGAGATTGTAATGCAAAAAAAAATTAAAAGTCGAAAGTGTCTCTTTTGAGAAAACTCACTTTATAAGTTTAATTTCAACTTTTTTGTTGTTTCTGTTATAAGTACGTTATTTTTGAGCACATATTTGAAAAATTTGAGACAAAATGAACAAATGTCATATATAGCATAATTTTTAATTTCTTAGTACAATAGATTAAAAATGTTCTAAAAACACACTTTCTTCGTTGACGTTAAATTTCAAAAAATCATAACTTCCTTCATTTTCATCAAATAAAAAAATAAAAATATACGTATTTCCTTATTTTTCATATAGATTTCGAAAAAAAATGTTTCGGGGAAAAAAAATTGAATGAAAATCTCCCGTGGAATGCCCCATATCGATTCTTCTTTCACTACATTATAATTAATAATACTTTTAAATACAAATACTAATTTTAAAATAATATAATCTCAACAAAAACATCTTCGATGCAAAAAGTTACGCCAAGTAAAAATTATCTTAGTTCTGGAAACAATTTGTGAAATGAAAGTTAGCCAAGTAAAATTTATAATTATATTTTAGCTTTTCACAAGACGTATATTTAATTATATTTTTAAAATATGCGTGTAATAAAGAAATGTAATAGAAAAAAATGTAATAGAGTTTAACAATTCTTTAAATAATAAAAATTTAAATCGGATTTCTAATTAATAAAAATTTATTTCATAGGCAAAATTGAAAAACTTGGCTTGAATAATTTTTAAATAATTGAGATGCGAATATAGATGATTTTTTTACACTCCTAATCGATGTTTCTTTATTCATTTACAGCATAAGTAGATGTAAAAAAATTATTTACGCCAAGTTTTTCAATTTTGCCTATGAAATAAATTTTTATTAATTAGAAATCCGATTTAAATTTTTATTATTTGAAGAATTATTAAACTCTATTACATTTTTTTTATTACATTTCTTTATTACACGCATATTTTAAAAATATAATTAAATATACGTCTTGTGAAAAGCTAAAATATAATTATAAATTTTACTTGGCTAACTTTCATTTCACAAATTGTTTCCAGAACTAAGATAATTTTTACTTGGCGTAACTTTTTGCATCGAAGATGTTTTTGTTGAGATTTCAATACTTTTTGTTTGACTTAAATAATAGTAATAATAATAATAATAATAATAATAATAATAATAATAAATTAATACTTTTGTCTAACTTATTGTTCCCATTTTTATGTGATCAAATATTTTTTAATTTGTGTAAAACGCATTTTTGGCAAATACACGGATTATTAAAATTCTATTCACACCTATATGTACACTTTAAAACTTTTACATCTTGATTCTTTACTTTTTTGTCTTAATTTAAAGTACATAAATTTTTGGTAATGCATGCTTAAAATTTAATACTCACAACTCGAATCGATTAAGATCTATAGGCTCCACGTGTAAGCAAATATCAATAAAATCGATTTTTTACCTTAAAAATTAAAAATTTTTTAAATTTTTTGAGTGTATTTCAAAATCCTTAATTATATATCGAGATTTTTACCGAACTGATATTGTCGGGGAGTTTCAAGTGAATCGGTTAAGAATTATGGGTTCCAGGTGTGAGCAAATATCAAAAAAATTTATTTTTTAACCTAAAAATTCAAAATTTTTTAAATTTTTTGAGTGTATTAAAATATCCTGAAATATATATCGAGATTTTGACCCAATTGATATTATAGGTGAGTTTCAAGCGAATCGGTTAAGAACTACAGGCTCCAGGTGTGAGCAAATATTAAAAAATCATTAATTTTTGTGTTTTTTCAGCCTAATTTTCCTAATTTATTAAAAAAATTAAAATTTTTTTTACAGAAGTTCTTTTTTTGACATTTTTTACTCGGCAAAAAAAGTTTGAACGAAATCGATAAAGAACTTTTCGAGATATCCAATTTTGGTCGAAAAATGCCGATATTTTGAGAAAATAGATTCGCGGTTTGGAAAAATTACTTGGCGTCGATTCTCTACCGCGAATCTTGATTTAATATAATATAATATAATATAATATAATATAATATAATATAATATAATATAATATAATATAATATAATATAATATAATATAATATAATATAATATAATATAATATAATATAATATAATATAATATAATATAATATAATATAATATAATATAATATAATATAATATAATATAATATAATATAATATAATATAATATAATATAATATAATATAATATAATATAATATAATATAATATAATATAATATAATATAATATAATATAATATAATATAATATAATATAATATAATATAATATAATATAATATAATATAATATAATATAATATAATATAATATAATATATAAAATTCGATTTCTTTGAAATATCTTTTGAAGGAACATTTCTGGGACTGTATAGAGCAGTTATTCAAGATAGTATTGTTGGGATCAGCGAAGCATGAAAATGTAAACAAATAGAGACATACAGACTACCTACATTGACTTTTCTTTCACTGCATTAGGATTAATAATACATTTAAATACAAATATTAATTTTACAAAATTAAAATTTAAAGTCAAATAAAATATATTTTAATATTATAATATAATATGTATTTATGTTAACAAAAAAGATATCTATGGATAAATTGATTTTTAAAATAACAATTTCATAATATTAAAATTTTTACTGTATAATTTAAAATAATATAATACATAATATACTATATAGGCGAAAACATGTGAGATTTCCGTCGACCCTTTAAATTCGGCCGCATATATTATTTTCTTGCTCTGTAGCGAAAAAAAAGACATAGGTATTTTTTTACTTTTTTATTTTTTGAAAAATTTTCGAGTTATGAATTTTCAAAAATTCAATTTCTTCAATGTAGACCTATTTTCAATGGCTGATAACTTGAAAAAAATGGATTTTTTTAAAATTTTTGATAAATGAACAAAAGTTTCAGTTTTTCTGTTACTTCTCCATAATGTTAACAAAATTTTTTTTCATTTTTTATTAATAAATAACAATTCTTTATAAACAAATTGTTTTTTTAAATTTGAATATGATATTTATTTAATTTTTTTTAAACATATCTGGAAATACTAAAGAAATTTAGAAAAAAAATTTAGAGTGGGTCAATAAGTTAATAGGTTTAAATTAACATTTAAACACCGAGTGCAGCATTTTGCGCATTTTTGAAAATTAAAAAAAATTGTAAACTTGTTAAAAAATTTTTTTTTATTTTTCATAGTGAAATATAATTTCAGGTTCCAAAAAAATGAATAAAAATAGTATTTAACAATTTTACAATTTTTTGTAATTTTACAAATTTCTAAAAATTTCAAAAAATTGTTAAAAATTATTTTTTTAATTTTTTTGGAACCTGAAATCATATTTCACTATAAAAAAAGAAAAAAATTTTTTAAGAAAAGAAAGAAATTGAAAATTCATAACTTGAAAATTTTTCAAAAAAATAAAAAAATACGTATCTCTTTTTTTTCACTACAAAACAAGAAAAAAATATATTTGGCCAAATTTAAATGATCGACGGAAATCTCACGTGATTTCGCCCATATATTATAATTTGATATGTATATATGCAAGTTTAAAGAGGATAAGGAAGATACCTAAAAAAACATTTTATATTTTTGAATTTCATAAAAAAGGGGTTACATTTTGAATATCTAAAAAAATGTTTGCTCTGATGCATTCTAAATATTTTTAGTTTATATAATTAAATCAAAAAATTATAAGTATACCTAAATTCTATAATATATTTATTTTATAAATATAAAATTTGTAAATACATAAAACAATATGATAATGAATAAAATGCTTAATGCAACATTTATTTTTTCCAAATCAATATAAATTTTATTATATTTAAATGAATCAAATTTTTAAAATAAATGTAATTTTGAAAAATTGATTTTTCATTTTAATCTTGATAAAATAATTTTTTAAGTATGTGATGGTATATATATTTCTATAATTACATAAAATAATACTCACTTAAAGCTGAATAAGATCTGTCAATTTTTTTTAAAGTTGAAAAGTACACGAAATCAACTATACAATGTACTGACTTTTTTTCTTAAAAGAAAGTAAAGATTTACTAAACTTTTAAAAACACTAGTAATTGAAAATGAAGACACTCGCGTTAACGAAGAGTAAATGTAATCACTATATTTGAATCGAACCAGGTATCACGTCGCAATGACATGATGGAGCAGTCAACGTCTTAGTAATATGACAACGTCGCAAGCATGGTATAATGCTTTGAACTTTCCAAAATTTTTCCTTTAGTTGATATCAGTATCTTGCAAAGGAAGGGGAAGAAAAATAGAAGTGAAAATAATTTATGTGTATTTGTGTAGTTTCCAATAAGGGACATCTTCCATCAACTTCTTTGTAAGTAATAAAATGTAGTATAATATAAATTATAATATATTTAGTTTAAATGTTTTTCAAAATGTGTGTTATTAACTAAACTTTTTGGAAATTTCATGCAAAAAAATAAAAAATTAAAACTTTTCATATTTTTTAAATTTAAATGTTAAAATCTTGTTTTTAAAACTGCTTGTATCCTTCGATTTTTTCAAAAAATTTTCAAAAAAATTATTTTCTTTTACAAAAGTTTTAAGCCTAATCTGGACGTGGGAAAACGATATTTTTAATTTTTTCGAAATTTTTTAAAAATATCTCCAGATTTTTTACAATGTAGTTTTATGTATTTTTATGCACTGATTATTAAGATCATAGTGACAATACCAAACTTTTTTAATTTTTATGGTTAATACCATACATAATATCATAAAATTTTTGATTTGTTTTTGTTCATTGGATAAAATATGCAAAAGTAAGAAAAAATTTAAACGAAAATTGCAGATAATATTGAAATACATTTTTTATGCCTTATGCATTTTTTAAAAATTTTCCATATTTACTTTTTTTGAAAAATACATATTTTGTATATTTCTAAAAATTCATATATTCTAAACGGATTGAGGAAAAAATTTTAAAAAATTGTGAAGCTTTTTTTGGTGAGTTATAAAGGTAAAAATAAATAAGCCAAAATAAAAAGGTCAAACTTAACGATATGTTGGATTGGCATGGAATGCCCATATATTTAATTGATTAAAACTGCGAATATTTTTCCATGTAAATTGACTAAAGTATAGAAATCGATTTTCTTGGAAGATCCGTTTAGAAAAAATTCGTGGGTTAGTATAGAGAGGTAATTCATGATAGTATTGTTGGAATCAGTGAAGTATGAAAATGTAAACAACTAAAGACATACAAACTGTGTACACTTTTCTATCACTACATTTAGATTGCTGAATAAATATAATTTACAAAAATTAAGTTTTAAAACCTAAATATTAAATTAAATTATATAATATTAAAAAGTATTATATAATATAATATAATATAATATAATATAATATAATATAATATAATATAATATAATATAATATAATATAATATAATAAATCATAAATTATTAATCATATCAAAAATTTTAGACGAAAATTGTAGATAATATTGAAATACATCTTTTTCACTTCATGCATTTTTTGAAAATTTTGCATATTTGCATTTTTTAAAAAATTCATATTTTGTAAACGGTATGAAGAAAAAATTTGAAAAACCTTTTTTTGGAGATTCATAAAGGTACAAATAGTTAAGCCAAAACGAAAAGGTCAAAGTCAACGTCATGTTGGTTTGGGATGGAATGCCCCACATATTTAATATTATATAAACGGCGAATATTTATCTACCTAAATTAACTACAGTATAAAAATCGATTTCTTGGAAGATCCTTTAAGGAAAAATTTGTGGGTCAGTATAGAGAGGTAATCTATGATAGTATTGTTGAAATCAGTGAAGTATGAAATATAAACAACTAAAGACATTCAAACTGTGTACACTTTTCTATCACTACATTTAGATTGCTGAATAAATATAATTTACAAAAATTAAGTTTTAAAACCTAAATATTAAAGTGAATTATATAATATAGAATAATATTATATATGGGCGAAATCACATGAGATTTCCGTCGGCCCTTTAAATTCGGCCAAATATATTTTTTTCTTGTTTTGTAGTGAAAAAAAAGAGATACGTATTTTTTTATTTTTTTGAAAAATTTTCAAAATTTCATTTTCTTCAATGTAGACCTATTTTCAATGGCTGATAATTTGATAAAAATGGATTTTTTCAATTTTTTATAAGAAAAGAAAAGTTTCAGTTTGTCTGTTACTTTTTAATAATATAAAAAAAAAATTTTTTTTCATTTTTTATTAAAAAAATTACAATTTTTGATAAACAAATTAAGTTTTTTTTAAATTGGGATATGATTTTTTAAAAAAAAAATTTTTTAAACATACCTTAAAATACCAAGAAAATTTTGCAAAAAAAATTCAGAGTGGGCCGATAAGTTTTATAGGTTTAAATAAACATTTTAACACCGCGCGCAGCATTTTGCACTTTTTTTGAAAATTAAAAAAATTGTAAAATTGTTAAAAATTATTTTTTTTCATTCATAGTGAAATATGATTGCAGGTTCAAAAAAAAAGAAAAAAAATAATTTTTAACAATTTTACTGCGCGGTGTTTAAATGTTTATTTAAATCTATAAAAGTTATCGGCCCACTCTGAATTTTTTTTGCAAAATTTTCTTGGTACTTCCAAGTATGTTTTAAAAAAAATTTTAAAATAAATCATATCGAAAAAAAACTTAATTGGTTTATAAAAATTTTTATTTCTTTAATAAAAAATGAAAAAAAATTTTGTTAACATTATGGAGAAGTAACAGAAAAACTGAAACTTTTGTTCATTTATCAAAAATTTTAAAAAAATCCATTTTTTTCAAGTTATCAGCCATTGAAAATAGGTCTACATTGAAGAAATTGAATTTTTGAAAATTCATAACTCGAAAATTTTTCAAAAAATAAAAAAGTAAAAAAATACCTATGTCTTTTTTTTCGCTACAGAGCAAGAAAATAATATATGCGGCCGAATTTAAAGGGTCGACGGAAATCTCACATGTTTTCGCCTATATAGTATATTATGTATTATATTATTTTAAATTATACAGTAAAAATTTTAATATTATGAAATTGTTATTTTAAAAATCAATTTATCCATAGATATCTTTTTTGTTAACATAAATACATATTATATTATAATATTAAAATATATTTTATTTGACTTTAAATTTTAATTTTGTAAAATTAATATTTGTATTTAAATGTATTATTAATCCTAATGCAGTGAAAGAAAAGTCAATGTAGGTAGTCTGTATGTCTCTATTTGTTTACATTTTCATGCTTCGCTGATCCCAACAATACTATCTTGAATAACTGCTCTATACAGTCCCAGAAATGTTCCTTCAAAAGATATTTCAAAGAAATCGAATTTTATATATTATATTATATTATATTATATTATATTATATTATATTATATTATATTATATTATATTATATTATATTATATTATATTATATTATATTATATTATATTATATTATATTATATTATATTATATTATATTATATTATATTATATTATATTATATTATATTATATTATATTATATTATATTATATTATATTATATTATATTATATTATATTATATTATATTATATTATATTATATTATATTATATTATATTATATTATATTATATTATATTATATTATATTATATTATATTATATTATATTATATTATATTATATTATATTATATTATATTATATTATATTATATTATATTATATTATATTATATTATATTATATTATATTATATTATATTATATTATATTATATTATATTATATTATATTATATTATATTATATTATATTATATTATATTATATTATATTATATTATATTATATTATATTATATTATATTATATTATATTATATTATATTATATTATATTATATTATATTATATTATATTATATTATATTATATTATATTATATTATATTATATTATATTATATTATATTATATTATATTCTATTCTATTCTATTCTATTCTATTCTATTCTATTCTATTCTATTCTATTCTATTCTATTCTATTCTATTCTATTCTATTCTATTCTATTCTATTCTATTCTATTCTATTCTATTCTATTCTATTCTATTCTATTCTATTCTATTCTATTCTATTCTATTCTATTCTATTCTATTCTATTCTATTCTATTCTATTCTATTCTATTCTATTCTATTCTATTCTATTCTATTCTATTCTATTCTATTCTATTCTATTCTATTCTATTCTATTCTATTCTATTCTATTCTATTCTATAAACTATACTATACTATACTATTCTATAAACTATACTATACTATACTATTCTATAAACTATACTATACTATACTATTCTATAAACTATACTATACTATACTATACTATACACATACTATACATTATACATTATACATTATACATTATACATTATACATTATACATTATACATTATACATTATACATTATACATTATACATTATACATTATACATTATACATTATACATTATACATTATACATTATACATTATATATTATATATTATATATTATATATTATATATTATATATTATATATTATATATTATATATTATATTATGTTATATTATATTATTTTAAAATTAGTATTTGTATTTAAAAGTATAATTAAATTTAAATACTAAAACTAATAATTAATTGAAATTTAATGTAAAACATTATATTAAAATAATTATATAATATAATAAAATATAATAGAACATTTCTATACTACAAAAGATTTCGCCGCTTTCTTCAGTATGAGTCATTCCATATCTAGTGTACCTAACCAATGTTTTCGACAAGGTTACGTTAGGAATCGGTCATTCCATATCAATGTATATGGGGTAAAATTCCTAAGTGAGAAAAAAGTTGATCGAATCGAGCTATAATTTGCACATAGTTTATCCCAAGGGGTGAAAACTTTATCCACGAAGTATTATTAGGTTTCTTCAAAAACTATTTCGGATTAGAGAATGTTTTATAAATAATTGTAATGATTCTTAAAAAATGGAGTAAAATTTAAAAAAAAATTTCACTAATCGAAAGGACACAAAAAAACCTTTGGAAATCATATATATATATATATTATATATATATATATATATATATATATATATATATGTACGTTACTAAATGAAAGTTGACACCATTCCGCATCCATGA